GCGAATGCAGACCGGGGAGAACGCGCAGTGGACGCCGGCCAGACGGATTTCGCAGCCATGACGCCTCCCCCATGGACTCTATCAGAAGTCGTAGTAGAGAACAAATCGACGTTTGTGGCTCACGTTGCAAAAGTCACATCACCAACAGAAGCGAAACTCTTTCTACAACACCTGCTCTGGTCTGATCGGCGCATCCGCTCGGCGACGCACAACATCACGGCGTGGAGGATACGCGGGCCAGGGGGCACGAGCTATTCCGACTGCGACGATGACGGCGAAGATGCTGCTGGCGGGAGATTGTTGCATTTGCTGCAGTTGATGGAGGTTTGGGATGCGATGGTTGTGGTTACGAGGTGGTATGGGGGCGTGAAGCTTGGGCCGAGGAGGTTTGCTTTGATTAATAGCGTGGCGAGGGATGGGCTTGTGAGGGCTGGGTTGGGGGATGGGGGTGGGAAGGAGAAGGAGAAGAAGAAGGGGAAATGATGGTGATGGGAGGGGAGGGAGAAAGAAAGAGGAGGGATATTCATATACATTACTTTACTTATATATAACCGAATAGAAGAGCACGTCACACTTCTGTAGCTCTCCGTGGCCCTCGTGGGATGCTTCCAAAGAAACAAGGCGGACATATCATCCGATTTATGATACTTGCTTAACACTTAGGAATAATACGAGCACATGTTGTTTGGAATTCTTTCTTTTTTTATTTTGCAAATTACTCTCTCATAATGCGTCATGTTTTCATTGCCATCGTTATCCCGATAATCCTGATCCAATATAACGGATAGCCAGCTTTTGCGTAGAAGTAGTAGTAGAAGAAGAATATAGCTAAATGCAAAAGCCAAAGGCAAGAAAAAACATCAAGGACAAACAGGCATGCTCCCATACAAACTCTATAAAAATCTTAATCTTGCGGTACCATCTCTTTGATGTTCTTTCATCCAAATCATTCCAAACTATTGTCGTAAGATGTACCAAAAATCTCTGCGGCTGCTCATGGCCGTACTCTCATTGTTGTTTTTGAAGAAACTCCTCGTTCCGAACTTCGTGTCTTGTTGAGCTCGTCGTGCACTCGCTTGGTGCCGGGGTTTATATAAGATAAAAATAAAAGGAAAATAACCAAGGCCGCTCATGAGCCTGCTCTATGCGGTGGCAGTTTCCTTGTTGTTTCGGGGCTGGGGAGCCACCAGTGACTTTTCCCATTCATCCATCAGGTTGTTGGCCGTCCTCTTGAGGTTGCTCGGGGATAGATGATGAACAACGCTAGGAAATAGGTCCTCAAGCGTCGGAGAAAGAAGTGATGCATCGGCTTTCCTCGCCCTAAAAGATTGTAGGTTTGAGTATCAGTCAATCCATTCATGCACAGCTTCAGCTTCATGGAATAAGGCATAATCCTTACGGCTTGGCATCTTCTTCATCTTCCTTCTCGGGAATGTCATCAATGCCACTGCTATTAATGGTAGAACCACTCCAGCGGGCAGACTTGGTGGAGACGGGGGAATCCCAGTTGGACCAGTCAGTATCGTCAACAGAGTCGAAACCAAGCGGTGTCCAGGAGAATTTGTTGTTCCCTTTCCCAGTCCCGGTCTTTGGCTTCAGCTCGGGGGTTCTGTTAGCTTGGGATGTGGTCGACGCGGCCGTACTGGAACCTTCATTACTGCTGGTCCTAGTGTGGGTGGTGGCATGGTTCGGCTTACTCGTATCTTGCTCACGAGCATTGGCGATGGAGGTCGAGATTGGTCTCTGCGGCTGGCCGGTCACCGGTTCATCTCCGACGGTAATCTGACGAATGTCCTCTACGAAGGCGCGGAATCCTAGTTTAAAGTCTTCGACAACGGATGCGACGCCGACGACAGACGCCATGCTTTGCTGCTGGGACCGGGGTTGCCAGGATGATCGTTTTGCCAGGGTCGGGTCAGTGAGCTGGGTTATTCTCTGTTCCACCGATGGGAGGGCGATTGGATCTGCTTGTGTAACTTCATTGAGGGAGAATACGCTCTCTGTCCGTACGGGAGAGAGGAGGGATAGAGTGCGGGCATGTCCGCCACGAATAACCTTGCGGCGGGCTTGAGCAGGGGTGGTTTGGCCCTGGAGAATGTGCTTTCGACGATCCAATTCGACGCTGCGCCGTGATGCCACCAAAGCATCATCATCGATGCTAGCCTGTGAGATTCCAAAGGGATCGGTTCTGTGGCTGTTGCTTCGTTTGCGGTAGACTTCTTCCGATGCCCATTGCTTCTTTAGCCGTGCCAATTCTGTCTCAGCTTGTGCGAGCTCCTCCTTGAGCTCCAAGACTCTCCGCTCCTGCGCCGCAATTGCAATTATGAATTCGTTTGCATTCGATGGAGAGGTAGCAACGGAGGCAGGAGTCTCCAATGGCGTTTGAGGAACCGACGAGACCATGGCTGACGCGGACAAGATCGCCGGCGAGTCGGCCAGCCTCGGGCCGTCAAACGACATGGCAACGGGAAGGGTAAGCGAGAGGCGGTTCTTGTGCCGCGAGACGGAAGGGGATGCACGTGAACGGCCTCGAGTGAAGGAGTCGCTCCGGGGAAGAGGCGGTGGAGGCATCGCCTGAGAGTCGTCAAAGGTGGACGAGGTACTAGACGCACTGTGCGATCGTGAGATTCCAGGGGAAGATGAAGAGGAGGAAGCGAAGGTGGCGGTCCTGGCGATGCTGCTGGTATCGGTCACAGGGCTTCCCGCCGCCGACGAGCGAAGACGGATCTCGTGCTGCTGCGAGGCCATATCCAGGTATCTCGGCAGGTTGATGCGGGCTCGTAAAGACAGGACGATTACAGGTGATAGAGAGTGGCTGCCGTCAACAGGACGGCGTTTTTCAGAGTGCAAATGAGTGGCTGGGGCCCTGAGGCGCCGAAAGTGAACGGAGACGACTGCTACTCGAACAAGGAGCGCTCTTTGGTGGTCCTGGCTTAGCAGCTCGTAGTCATCGAGGAGAGGGCGAGCACTGCTGTCGACGATGCAAATTCCAAAGTGCAGGCCGCTCATGGGACAGCCGATGCTGATAAGGAGAAGGAAAATCGGACGCTCCCGCTCTCATAATAGCACCGGCTGCGGAGCCCTGGCCAGGCTTGTGCAGTCCTTGGGGCAGATGCGACGACTCCGTTTCGTTTCAGCGCAGGGCGGTTATTGGACAGAGGGAGCGCGGCCGGGGTCGCCTTACCCAGAAGTTGCCCGGGGACACGACAGGGGGCGACGAGCCTTTTGTCAACAGAGGCGAATGTTCTGGAGCTAGGCTGGCGTGCTTGTGGTTCTAGTCCCGGTACCAGCAAATGAGGCGGTGGGCGATGTTATATGCAGATGGGGATGGAGATGCAGATGCAGCCCGACGAGAACTGAGCAACAACAACAAACAGCCCGGCAAAAAAGGTTTGGATGGAGGCCCGAAAGAGGGGGCGGGCTTCGTCTTCCCTTGCTGTTTTGTTGACGCTGAGATCCGCTTCTCCCCTCTCTCGCTTCAAGAGGGGGAACAGAGAATGTCAATTTTTGTCTCAAACCAAAACCGACCACTCAGTGTACAGCACTCGTGGGTAAGTGGGCGCGAGTGAGTGGTGTGTGTGTGGTGTGCTGGCAGTGAGTGGGTGATGCCTGAAGCAGCAGAGTTGAGTTCGTATGTGCTATTATTGAATGTTGTTGAGCTTCGTCGTACCGGTGATAATACCAATACTAGGCGAGGTTGTACAATACAGGCGGAAAAAGTTGTAGAATAGCTTAGCACCAGGCAGTCAGATGTATATGTATCAACCGTGACCTCCGTTTCAACGAGCATGACGCAGTTATAACCACTTGTTGCTCGTACGAGGTCAGACATGCGTTTGCCTCTTGGGCTCCCTTGCGGAGGCGTCAACTGACTTGCACGCTGGAACCCGAAGCCGCCAAACCCGCCCAAACAGCTGCGCATCTCCAGTGGATCGCTTGGTCGCTCTTCAGGGGCTCGGCGGAGAGAGCGAGTGGGGGTGCAGCTACGTACATCCTACACTGGGTGCTTGTACCACTACGTGCTAGTCTAGCTAGCGGGCAATATCTCACAATTATGCTCACTGAGCTTGTTGGGGGCTGGCGGCTTACAGCTTCAATGCCTTAACTTTGAAGCTTCCATGCTTTGAATGACAGCAGCTGATTGCTGGGGCACAACAACTTAACATCCATGGATCCATGGAAGTAGCAGTACCAGCGATCGCGTACCGATTCTTGGGCTAGCGCTGGTCGTTGCCGCCTGGCGCTGTAGATGTGGTACGTGCTGTTGGCGGCGTACTCAGTACTCGTACAAGGACTCGGCCTCTTACGAGTACCGACATCCTGCCTGCGCCGCTCAGTGGCCGCATATTTGTTGGTACTTTGGCCTTGTACCTACTGTGCTCGCCAAACCGACCTCAAATTTCCGCGCAATATCTCGACACCTGGACAAGCGGCGCGGCCGTGTTTCGCATGCCTTTCCTTGCGTGTCCTGCAATAATTATGCCCTTCTGCTACTAACTTGAAGTTGAGTTTGTGACTTGTATCTTTCCCGGTCGACAAACTTCTGTCCTTCTCCACCATCCGCTCTCCGGAGGGCTGCAGCCCGTTGCACGTGCAGCCTGTTCATGTGACTTCCCGTCCATCTCGCGTCGCGTGCCCAGAGATCCATGTCAAGCTTTTGGCTGTGTTTTTGATGTGAGTGGAGATTTCACACCCATTCCGCCAGCCCGGCTGCTCGTGTCCTATCGCGCTGCCACAAGCGCTTCTTTCTATCTGCAGGGCATGATCACAGGGCATCTCCCTTCACTGAGTTGGGGCGTATAAGCTTCAGAGCCGATGAATCTTGTCTCACAGCCTTGCTGATCCAGCCTCGCCCTCCGGTGAGCATACCGAACGAGGAACCGCCAGGTACTGGGCCACTGCTCAGGTCGTGGGTGCCATAGTAGTTGGTACCTGGGTATATTCGTGCACCAAAGAAACAAAGCATGTTGTGAAATGTCGTGTGGTTATATGAAGCCGAAATGCCCTTTCCCTTTTCTCACGTCTGCGATTTGTTAGAGGCATCTTACCTACTAGCAAAAGCGCGCAAGTCCAGCACCTCGGCACTTGTTGCATGGTGTTCTCAGCATCGCAGTCTTATCGATGCACCAGACACCAGCCTTGCGGCTCTACTGTCCACATTACTCCCTGAAAAGAGGACGGATAGAGTGTATAACATACACGCAAACAGCCTTGAGCGTGTCATCGGTCGCGGTTTGATGCTTGGTTCGTCTCGCCTCAAGGAACTGTCGGTTTATAAACAGCCGGGTCTTGGACTGGATCTTGCCGATTGTGTAGAGCGTATCCTGACTGTCACTGTAAGCTATACTCCTACCACCGTAGGGGAGTGGCATCTGACTTGTCTCTAGCCGAATCCAACTCTTCCAGAGAGACTTCAAGTCACTGTTGAAGAAATTGACGAGGTTTTGCATTCCATTGCAGCCCAAGTAAGATGGAGTTCGCCATCTATACGAGTTCCAGAGGCAACTATTGCCAAACCGCCGGCTCGGAGTGGCTTGGAAGCCGTCTATAGACGGCTGACTGCGAAAGAAGCAAAATGGTTCACACGGTTGGTTCTCAAAGACTTTCAACCACTGGTGTTTGATGCATATGAAGTTTATCGCTTATGCGATCCTCTGCTGCCATCAATCTTGAAAATTCGTGAAGACTTTACAATTGCCATCGAGACCATGCAACAGTTGAGGAGAGAAACGCGCTCTCTACACCCTGACATATTATACGTCGAGCGGGAGCGACTATCGTCAATCAAGCCACAGCTATCAGTCAAAGTTGGGAGGCAACAGTGGTTCAAAGCTCGGAGCATGAAGCATTGCATGAACATGTGCAAGGGTGGTGTAATGAGCGTCGAAGCCAAAGTGGATGGAGAATACTGTCAGATCCACGTTGATGTTAGCAAGGGTAGACGCGGCATCCAAATCTTTTCCAAGAGTGGAAAAGACAGCACCGAAGACAGAGAGCGCTTAATCGGGTAATCACTCTTGAAACAAATGCCTTGCTTAATCGAGAACGCTAATGGTTAGAAAGGATTATTATTGATTCATTGGGAATAGGAAAGGCTGGATGCGATATCAAAACCGAGTGCATACTGGAGGGGGAATTGGCTGTTTACAGCGAATCGGTAGGCCGCCGCCTTTGACGAGAGTGTGACCCTGTATTAGCTGACTTTTATATATAGCAGAAGAAAATCCTACCCTTTCATCATATTCGAAAACACGTCGCCCGTCGTGGTCGGTTCATGAATACAGGCCAGGACTCACCGTAAGCAAGCCCATGCCTACGATTGCGATAATCAGAGATAGCATCCTAACTTGACCAGTCCGAGGCCTCATGAACACTTGATGATAGTGTATTACGATATTTTGCTTCTCGATGGCCAATCTCTATTAAATGTTCGGCACTCAGAAAGATTCAAGCTACTCGAGAAATTAGTTCGCTGTGATAGGGGACAAGCTGAACTCATACAAAGGCAAATCATCAACACTAGTCACCCCATGGCAGCTCTGACGCTGCGAAATGCATTCGCCAAAGTCATTACAGAGAGGGGCGAGGGACTGGTTATAAAATCAGACCAGCCTTATTTCAACTTTAAGAATGATGGAGCACCGTTTACAAATCACTGCATTAAGTTCAAGAAGGACTACATTGGTCACTTCGGAGAGGTTGGCGATTTCGCTGTGGTTGGTGCTGGATTTAATGCCGCTAAAGCGAGGTCATACAATATTGAGAACCTCAAGTGGACTCATTTCTATGTTGGCTGCATTGACAACAGAGAAGAAGTAAAGCGATGGAATGTCAAGCCGGAGTTTACTGTTGTCAACGTTGTTGAGCTCAATGAGGCTATGCTCAAGACATTCACATTATACACGAATCCAAAGCCGGTATCAGTTGCAGAAAACGTTGAAACTAAACTGAAGCATGCCGCCGGGACTCAGTCCACGCCGATGACTGTGGCATTTACGAATCCACCCGTTTTCGACATGAGATGCTTCAGCTTTGACAAAGCAGGCGACACAAACTGGTGGAGCTTACGGTTCCCGTCCGTCGCAAAGATTCATTTCGACCGAGATTTCTCTGATGTGCTCTCATTTACTGAGCTACAAGAAACTGCAGAGCGCGCCACATCAGCGCCTGAATTGGAAGATAGTCAGGACAATCTTGCATGGATCGCAAAATTAGAGCAAGCCGATCCAAGAGGAGTGGCTGTTGACGCCGCTACACAGTTGACAGCAACAACGATGCCAACACCATCGCCGAGACGAGCCTCTCACAATTCCTCAGGCTCTCTGCCTCTGGCCAGACATGTTACTGGAAGCTCTCTAGAACTATCCCTTGAGTTGATGGGTGCCCCGGTATTCGAGTCTCACAGACTTGCTGCATCACAGCCATCTCCCACGGCACATCTATCCAAAACAACCCCCCATATTGATCATAAAAGGAAGCGCATTACTTTTGCATCGGCCTTGTTCTCTCCACCAAAGAAACGTCGTCCATCTTCTAGAGGTGAGGAGTCTGAATCAACATTTCTAGATCGCAAACCCGTATCCGAATCCCCCATACGGCGTCCACTAGGAGAGATAGATGGCAACTCTGCGCAGAAGCCCCAGAAATCAGAGTTCCCTTCGACTGTCTGCCAATCTGACAACGAAGAGTTGAATGCCTCCCCTCACCCTAAGCAGCCTCAGGCAAAAGAGACGGATACTAGCAGGCAAGAGCACGCTGCAGTTCAACCGGCAGAGATGTCATCTTCCCTTTTGCCATTAAATGATAGCGCCATCGTTATACCTGATAGCGAAGATGAGGATGAGACTGACAGTGATGCCGCTACCCAACCACTAACCCCGACTCGTAGTAGTCATGAAAAGCACGGTCGCGATGTCGAACAGAAACAGAGACCTTCAGAACAAAGTCCTGAAGAAACCGAGGCGATTTGTCAGTATGCTGGTCTTGATTGCCAGCTAGCCAATCGACTTGTTCTGCTACCGTCCTACTTTCAAGATATCGACGGGGTTGAACCGTTGTTTCGAGAACACGGACTATCAAACATTATCCGAGATGCCGAAGTCTGGATCAGAAATGATACAATCGATATTTCCCAGCTACCAGACAGCCAGACAGGTCGTAACAAGATTTTGTTTGTTGATACGGTAGAGAGGGAGCAAGAAACAAAGGCGCTGCTGTCTAAACTAGAGAGCATCCGTGAAAACATCCCAGAAGAGAGACGGGAATGGATAAGCGTCTTTGACCGGAGGGTGCTGAATCATCTCGCCATTTATGAAGACGCAGAGACTACGAAGAAATATTACGATGGGTTTCATGATCCGTGGCGGCGTTGGTATTCAGGGTTGATTTGAGGCCAAATCCCCCTTTTTTAAGCGTACATGTGAATATTATGGGCATATCATCTTTATATAATTCTTAATTAGACAATAAGCCTCACGGCTTCTTTTCATCATCGTACAAAGTACCATAGCTGGCCTTCAGTCTCATAAAGAGATGCTCATTCGCCGTCATCACCTTCCTCTCAGCGTATGGGTTCTCATTCGGCGCGCTCTCATCCGGAATGAAGTTCCTCACTCTTTCACTGGGCACAGGCTCCAACGCCACCGATCCTGCAGGATGACAGAAGAAAGCAATCGAGTAACGCGGTCCGGCGCTAGTCTCGCCCTCTACCTTGCTTGCTGCATCATCAGACGGGAAGACCACCCTGTGGACGGTGCTTCTGAACAGGCCGTTGGTCCAGTATGAAAGCAGGTCTCCAATGTTGATCAGAATAGGGGGGCTGGGATCGTTCTCTGAGCCTGGGGGGCAGACTGGGACAGGGGCCCAAGAGCCGTCTTTCTTTTGCAATTCCAGTCCTGCCTGACCTTTCAGCCGGAAGAGCAGCGTGACGGAGCCGTAGTCAGAGTGCGCGCCGGCACGGATGTCGTCGCTGGAGGCAGAGGTCTGGTCAGGTGGTGGGTAGCGGAGGAGCCGCAGGATGGAGCTGGATTCGCCATTGGTGCTGTGTGCTGAGGAGAAGAAATCGCCAACCTAACAGGCATTCGTAATGAGGTTAGACGATTCAATGAGTTCGTTTGTGGGTGAGATATCAACATCAAAAAGCGAGAGCGACTTACATCGAGGCCAATTCCGAGCAGGTGGAGGAGCTTCCGGCACAATTTGTGGCACGAGTCTGCGAAAGCGCTGACCTGAGGCTCGTCGGCGGCGATGGTGGGTGGGAGGGGCTGCTGGGCTTTCCCATCGATGAATTCGCCAAAGTTGAAGGCCCTTTACATAGTGAGTTCGTGTTGTTTACTTGGGAAGATACATCAATTATGCTTACTCTTTGAAGTCTCCGACCTGATAGGAAGTGATGAGATGCCGTTAGCCAGTGGTCTACTACAGGTGTAGGATTTAAGAAGAGGTTACCTTTTGGGTTTTGGGGTCTAGAGTCTCCGAGTGCATGCCAGACCAGCCGCGGTTATTCGTCTGAATAGTGCAGGCTTGCTTCTCTGCGAGGGGAGCATCGAACAGCTTCCGAGACTAAACACGGCACCCAACGTCAGATTATGAAATGAAGAAAAGAAATGGCTGCTTCAGAAGAGTATTACTAGTGCAAAGGCTCCGTCAATGCTGCTGGCAGATATATCGGCTCCGAGATTTTTTATGTAAATGAAGCCGTGCTCGTGAGCAGCGTCGACCAGCTGCTTGGCGACGACATCCTGGTCACCGGAGATGTCGATGATGGGGATGTTTGCAGTAGCAGCAGCAGCAGCCATGGCTTTTTCCTTTTCTTTCGCTTGGAGTGTAAAATTGGATGCTAGAGTTGCAGAAGGGGAATTGACGGAGAAGAGTCAATCAGCGATATCGTCTTACGATCTATTAACTACCAAGTGCTCTTATCTAGGACGGCACATAGCGTCAAAGTATTACAGCTAGCAGTCCCTTGACGTTCCGGGATCGCTGCGATAGCTGGATTGGGACACCCCGCTATGCGCCTGGAACAGGGCTGTGAGTTCATTGTGGCGGGGTCGACGGAAGCTTGGAGCTTCCCGCTAGTTGGGGGGGAGCTTGTAATATGTAGTAATAGCTCCTGTGTGGTAGGCGGTAGGCGTACTGTAAGTAAGAGAGATAGTGGCTATTGATCTCTAATAGGTACTAAAAGACGAAATAGGTAAACATCAAACACATCCATTGTGGTGGTTGTGCTGGAGACTCAGACCTGAGCCAGCCGAGGTAGCCCCAGATCATGAGATTTGATGAGACACTGTCAAAATGCAGCCCACTTTGCTGTGCTGTGTCCACCAGCCACCCGCACATATGTTACGAGTTGACAGACGCACATGCTAAGCCACACTCTGGCCCTGTTGGACGCCACACCGCTGGACCAGACCAGACGTACAGCAAAGATCGGCCTAGCCTAGGGGAAACTGTTTAGAACCCCCCAAACCCCAAAGAGCATTGGATGCAAAGCAAACCAAAGCCAAACCTCCCTCTGCCGTGTGCGCTTGCTTACCTTTGCATCTCCACCGTGCAGCGACCGCACTGTACCTGTCCTGTCCACTACTTGTACCTTATTGACTCGCTTCAGATTTCCTCGCCAGCTGCTGCTTACCCGCGCAGGGCTGAACTGAACCTCTCCATCGACTTCCTCTTGGGTGCGGCTGCTGGGGACGTTTGTCTGTTTGCAAGTTGTTTGTCTTGCCACGGGAAAGCGAGCCTTGCCCAAGCGTTTGCCGCAGCCTTTCGTACACGGCGTCTGCGAGCTGTCTTGTCTTCCAACGAGCCTGTCTTGTTTTATTTTTTTTTCTCTTCTCTTTCCAACTCTCGGTGCGCACTGGCAAAGACGAGCTTTCTTTCCTTCGATTTCGTATCCCGGCCAACCCAGAAGCCCTTCCACGTCGACCAAGCCGATTCATCCTCCCAATTCCGCCTGCATCGTCGACTTCTCGCTCTCTTCCCTGTCTCTCTTCGTCTGACAGCCGCGGGTTTTCAGCCTCGTCTTGAAACACCCCATTCCACCCCCGCCGTTCCGAGTCGCATAGCGAAGCCGATAGTCATATACCTGTTTGATTCAAGGAGGCTTGCTCGAGATGCCTTGTGAGTCCTTTCTCCATCTCTGCATAGCCGGCTCTGAGCTCGGCGAAGCAAATGTGTCGTCTGCGCGTGACTCTTGTTGCGCTACATTGTCATGGGCCATGGGTCTTGGTCCGGCCACTCTTCGGGTCGTCGCCATGGGCCTCTGTGGGGTGCTATAGCAGCAGATGATGCCTATCTTACTATTCGATGCTGCTTGCCGCCCAATTGGCAAGTTGGTGGCCTTTTTCAAGAGCAGTGCTTCAACGCCTCCTTCGGGACGTTGTTGCATTGGGAGCCTCATGTCCATGCCCATGCATTTTCGCTACTGATAAACATGTGGCATAATCACACAAGCTAATTCGTGCCATAGTCCTTGTGGAGGATTCCTGGATCAATGCCCAGGCTAAGTACGCTTGCTTTCTCCATACGAGCCCGAACAACTTGAAAGTATGCTAACTGCCCGCTGATCAGCACCTATGACATTACCGAGCTCGAAGATTGCGCCATTGCCGTCGATGCTTCTTATTACCTGAGTCTTCTCCTGGACAACCAACCTTCCCACGAGCCCCTGCTCACTGCGCTCGGCGGGTTGACCGGCTTTCAGAGCAATATTCGGCAAAATCTAGATCTTTGGGACAAGCATCGAATTATCCCCTTCTTCATCTTCGACGGCCAATCCATCATTGGACAGGATGAAATTGCTCTCAAGCGGGGCAGAGCTGCGAACCAGAAGACGGATGAAGCATGGGATTTGTACTCTCAGACCGAGGCCGAGCAAGCTGTCACTGCGTTTGGAGCTAACCCAGGTATGTCCATCCTACCCCAGAGAAGATTCTCATGTTTGTCTGTACCAGGGATAGCAGAGATAGATTTGCTAATCACACTGCGAAAAGGTGCCTATCAGCTTCAGAATCTTTACCCTCTTTTACAAGCCATCTTGAAAGAGAGGGGGCTGCACTTTTTGGTGCCTCCTTTCAACGCTTGTGGTCAGGTTCGCTTCCCCTCGTCCCCTTTGTATCTCATGACCATGTCTGACGATAAGAAAGCTGGCCTACTTTGAGATGATCGACACAGACCAATGTGCTGGTGTCATGGGCCCCCAAGAACTGCTCCTCTACCCTGTTCAGGACTCTGTCATTCGAAACGTGGACTGGGACGCTGGAACAGTGACCGCCATCTCAAAGAAGAGGGTCATGCGTACCCTCGGAGTTGGCGAACCCATGTTTGTCGACGCCATGCTCATGACGGGAACCTCATTCCTCCCTCCGTTTCCCCCATTGCAAGACACAGCCATGTATCCGAATCCGTACACCATTATGGATGCTGTCAACATCCTGCGGACTTCAGAAAAGACTGTGGCTAATGCCTGCGCATCGTTCAACGATATTTTGCAGGCTCATGATCCCAACTGGTTGGACAAGTACCGCAAAGCCAGAATGGCGGCCCAACATTTCATCTACATTTCCGAGAGTGGCGAAATTAAAGTCAACGATTTTGAGCGGCTCACTAAAGACAGCCACGAATATCTTGGCCTTCGGATGCCCCCAGAATTGCTTCACTATCTCAATACTGGACTGATTGGGCCTCGTATCCTGAACGCTATAGCACACGGACAGATTATCATTCTGCCAACTTTGGACGGTACTGCTTCGGAGGAATACAAGCAACTTGTTACCAATCAAATCCTCCCAATCAAAGAACAGGCGCTCAGTCTCGTTATACCCCGAGTCCACCGAGCAATCGCGCACAAGGACATCACCCTGAAGGTTTGGTTCGACCCGAAGTACAAGCACACTATGAATCACAACTCTATGCGACCGCTACCTTCGACGTTGGTGGACACCTGGGACGTTAAAGAGCAAGACCTCCGTCGTTTCTTCCCTGCAGACTTTGCTGGTCCGGTGTATCTGGAAGTGCTTGCACTCGCGAACCAGGACTTCGTTGACAAGACTTTTCCCAAGGAAAAACTTATCAAAGGCATCGACAGCACTAACATGGTGGCATCCGTCGTCATCTGGCGCTTCCTCCATCTCAGGGGATACGTTGATGATTCGCACAAGCTGACCAAGTGGGGAAATGCTTTGGCGACCACTCTTATTGCTATCAGAGACACTATGGAGGATAGAGTGCCTTTTGTGGAAGAGGCTGCTCTGTTGGCGTTTGAACTGTTGCGATTCGGACTGCTGAGCGGCAAGTACCGCGAAGGTGCGCCCGGCATGCCTCGAAAAGGAACAAACGAGGACAAATCATGTGTCATCCTCATTAGCCAATGTGCCTCACTGCTTAAGCTGCGGCATCAAGCGTTTGGTTACACCGGAGCATTGAACAAGAGTCTATTGGGATTCCGGGCACTGTCCACGACGGTACGCGAGGCCGACCGTGACTTGATTGAAGCGATTGTTGCATCCATGTTCTTGTATGGACAGTGTAACAGGGATAGGACTGATCAGCTAGAAATCAGTCAAAAGTACGAGTGATCCTCCCTCTTAGGATTTCGTTCCTAGTAGCTGACATTAGACAGGTTACCCTTCTGGCAAGAACCAGATATCGGACTTGGTATCGCGGCTCTGACCTTCTTTGACGATGAGGAAGCCGGATCCGACAAGGAGGCACGAGCCGCTCGGCTGGAAGCATTCCAGCAGACTTTTATCCCCCTAGCGGAGGCATTCCCGGAAGATTTGCGAACTGCCATTGACTTTGTCAGTGCCCTCAACCAGGGCGTGCAGACGCTAAACGATGCCTCTCTCCCAGCAAATGAGAAGTCTGCCTGGTCAAAAGCTCAAGACTACATCAACGCCCGGCCATTTTAATACGACAGATACGTTAGATGCTTAATATCACAGAAGCAGCCAACAAATTTAGCAAGAAAAAAATTATTAAAAAAGGGAGTCCGCACTATTATGGATAGCTTCTTTAGATACCACCCTGCACTGCGTTAACATTTCCATGGCATTCCACAAACAGTTACACCATAGAGTTAAAGGTATTCTCTGGAGGACTCGGTGGGACAGGGGACCGATTAATGCATTTTGACTCTCGCAGTTCACTCAGGTCTCGATTTGGGGGGGTTTGTGTAAAAGAATTTTTGGGGAGGGCCGGCAATCAAAAGTTATTTTACTCATGGTCGATTGATATGGTATGTTCTATGTGGGTTGGAGCAGAGGGAAAAGACGCAGCTGTCGGGGGGAATTGGAACGTCTCCAGCAGGCGAAGGCCTTGGGAAACGAGGATGTGCAAACAGGCTTAAATAGCAAGTTGAAGGTGTTTGCGTGTTCAGGTGGCTTCTCGTGGTATCTATGTGACCCAGAGGTGTGTTTATAAGAAAGGGGGAGAGGATCCGATAAATCGATTTTCTCAGGGGCGGAAATGTGCCATGTTGAATTGCGTCTTTTGACAGCCCTGGACATTTGACTTGAGGTAAAGCTGCCCCCGGACTCTGGTCCCAAGATGACGGAAGTGTCGGTTTCCTGCAGCGTTTTGGCAGCGGGGATTGAGCAATGGGGTGGATTTGTTAACGGGGTGTGCCACGGATGTTTCAGCTTTGGTCTTCCGAGAAGGACCCTGGATGAGATGAGATCTGGATTTCAAGGCTGGGCCAGCCAAAGAGGGTTGACGTGAGTTTGATAGAAGGTGGAAGGAGTGAGCTCATTGGCCAAAGGGGGTGATGAGATGGGGAGAATTGTATGTTGAATATGTAAATGTAAAATACACCAAAGATGGCATCTTAATAGCGGAGCCTTTGCTCACAAGAACCATTTAATATGAGGACGGTAACATTGAGTATTTTATATATGCTCACGAGTAATCTTGATATGAATAGACGAATTAATGGAATGAATTTTATAGAGAAAGGTAAAAGTTGTATATATTAAATAAAAAGTTTGACTCGAATTATTCCCCTTCTTTTCATCATTTTCTACTTGGTGAATTTCATAATCTCTTTCCCAACATGAAGTCCTCTCTTATGACACCGTAATAGCAATGGGGCCGGCAACGGTAATGTCGTCGGTGAGAGCACCCGTCAGAGGACCGGCGCTGGAGAGCGACAGGTAGGTGATGCCGGCAACTCCCTCGGGGATCTTGCAGCCATCGGTCTGAGAAAAGGGAGTAAACATGGTGCCGCCGGGAGTGACACCACCAGACGTAAAGGCACAGAACTTGGCGCCGCTAGCAGCGTCAGACTGAAGCTTCAAGACAGAGTTGGTAGTAGTGGGGTCGCTGGGGTTGGACAGCTTGAGAGTAGGGAAGGCAGTGAGCTTGAGGTTGGAGCCCTCGGGGCAGGACTGGATGAAGGGAGCGGCGAGAGAAAAGACAGCCTTGGGGCCAAGAGGCGCATCAAAGGCCTGAGGAACAGCCGTCTGGCCGCCAAAGACGCGGATGGAGCTCTGGTGGCGGGCCTCAATGGTGAGGATGGAGCCGGCAACACCAAGGATGGCGGGAGATGCCAGCAGGGGAGCGGCACCGAGGTAGGCTGAGATGCCGACGTTCTCGAGAATGGCTGCAGTCTGGACCATGGCTGCGGCACTGGTGAAGCCAAAGTTGTAAGTGCAACGCTGGACAGGCTGGATACCGTTCTGTGCGAGCGAAGACTGGAGGATGATGACGTGCTCGGACTCGGTGAAGCCAATGCCCTGGAGGTCCTTGATCTGCGCATCGCTGAGGCCGAGAGCAGTAAAGTCGGACGCGGGGAATTTGGCAAAGCCTTCGCGATAGAAGGATTCTTCGAGGTTCTCAAGAGTCAGAGCACTGAGAGGGAGTGTGTTAGTCAACTTATAAGATTTAACCACATCGCCAAGTATAAGAGGAGCTTACAATTGAAGAATATCAAAGTCATTGAGACCCAGGGCTTGGGCGGCAGCATTCTGCCTCTTGGCGACGGTGTGATACTCCAGTTGCCGCTCAGTCAACTTGGGCATTGAGGGGAGTGCGGCAGCAGTAGCAGCCAGGAAGGAAATGACAGCAGCTTTGAAGGAAGGCATCTTGAATATTTTCTTTTGCTCGTCTCTTTCAGTGATTTCTTTCGTTTGATTTCGTCAGGTGTTTAATCAAAGTGGTCCAGCCGGGCGGTTATGCGTCAAAAAATGAAATTGGACAAGCCAAATATAGAAAAGATGCGAATGAATGGAAAGTGGTATAGTTAAGGATCGAGTCAAAGTGAATAGAATAGAATAAACGAAGGGTATACCAGCAAAAGCAGGCCAGCGGCTTTTTGACAACCCACGGATAAAAGAAAGTGAAGGAGAGACGGATCGGAGCGAAACGATGGAGACCAAGAGAGGAAAGAAAACAAGTATCCAAAGAGCGCGTCGACAATCTTATATTCCAGAGCCAGCTGGGTGAATGAGGTTTGGTGGTCAGCTAAGGGACTGCCTAGTCGGTATAAGTCGTGATAATAAACCCCAAGGGGCCACCGCAACGTGGGACAAACAGCCATGGCGGCTCCATGAGGATCCGTTTCCTCGCTTCAGTCTGTCCAGAAACCCCAAATGGACGGATCCGAGCCTCAAGCGCTGCACCTTTGGACACCCCTGGACACCCAGGTCGCAGAAAAAACGGCCGGAAGCTGCCAGATGCGAAGCTCGTCCCAGCTTCCCCCAGCTTATCCGGGCAGGGTCCCAGCTCTTTTAGCTCGACCCCGTCCGTAGTCCGAAACGAATCTGATACACGCGCAAAAGCAGCGCCCCGGAGCCAATCTCTTCCGCCTGGAGGGGGGCCATTGCAGCCAGGACGTTTTAACTTTAATTATTTCTTCTTTTGCTGCCCTGCGAGCTAAAAGAGACGGGTTGCATCTGGTCCTTGTTAGCGCATGCGTCATGACCACGGGAGGGATGCTCATGTCGCACGATGGAGAAGCGCCTACTCGTGCTGGAGGCCGTGCGCGCGTCTTTGCTATCGTGAGTTGATGCTAGTCAAGCACTCCGTGTACGGTAAGATGTGTAGCAATTGAGATTAATGTGTCTGTGGTTTGCATTTGCAGAAGCTCTGATGATGATTTAGTCAAGTTGAGGAGGAGTAGTACCTCAGTAGTAGAGTAGTATAACACGTGCTTCCAATTGAAGCAAGGGAAGGTACGGGAAACGGAGCATCTCTTCGGAATTATTCGCAGTTGATCAGATAAGACTTACATCCATTAATTTTGCGATTAATCAAATCACCACCTTCTAGTACCTTACATACCCAGTATCAAGGTGAAGCATGGGTCTGTAATCAAATACTTCCAGACTCGCCTGTAGCAGCAGCATGACTAGGTCACCCAGCAGGAGACCCCCTGCTTCTGTCTCACGGAGACTCAGATAGCCTTCACGACACTAACCGTTTCCTCCCATTAGAGCAAGTTACCCAAGAAAATGTTTCAACTGTCTCGGAAACCCCCCAAGCCGGACAATCCTTCAACACCCGTCACAGGTGACACGTGCGTCCGTCACACATCAATTCTTTACTTATCAGACGGAGAAATCAATGCCTGCTTGAGCCGCCAATCGGGTGGCAGACAAGCTTTGCTGTTCTAAGAGGGCTGGAGATTCGAGCCATATCCATGTCAGAAGCCAAGATTACAATGAATGCAGATTCAAATACATAAGAGAACAGTTACCTACTCGTATGTAGTAGCCCAACCCGGTGATTCAGCATCCCGGCGAGCGACAGTGGTATAATTTGTCATGGCGAGGTGCAAAGCATCCACCTTGTATCTCTATCCTTGCTATCAAACCCTCCTTCAGTATTAGCTAATATCGAAATCTTCCCCCAGAACCTAAGAGAAGTTTAACATGTTGCTCTTCATATGTTGTGTACCATTGATGTATGAGAATCGGTATGTTGAATGTATCTATCCAACTTAAGGGCCAGACACATGTACTCACTCCCTTTATCTGTCCAGCACTTCTAGTATCTACTTCTAACTACCTTCTTTCAGTATTGGGCATCAAGTAGCTAACGAGTACCTAGTATAGTCTTAATAGATGGCTTTCTATACATCATGTACCGTGGGTGTAAGTTTGGCACATGGGATGCTGAATACTAGATATTGCAAGAAATAAGGTTCGTCCTCGATCGAACCCATATATTGCGCCAAAAGCCAGAACAACAGAGTTTTCAAGATAACACATCAGACTTTTCAAGCCCAGGATATAAAGTTAGGCATGAACCCCAAATCCTAATCTTCGATCCAGCAGGCACCGGCACAAAGAAGACTCTTCAAGGTTCAAGGCCATCTCATCTTCCTCAGACTGCTGTATAAATCCAACTTCCAGCCCCTTCTAGCACGCTTTTTGGAGTCTACCCCTTTTATTCCTCTTCTGAGCGCAACGAAGAAAATCGATACACGACAGAATGAGACTACGCAGCTGGAGACCCCCATGGGATTATCTCCCCGCAGAGATTCGCATCATGATCCTAGAAAAACTCGCAAGCCAGAAATATCCCGGCTGGGCTTCACTTGCGTCTGTGTGCAGAGAATGGCAGTGCGTTCTAGAAAAGCTCAATTTCCACAAGATATCACTGCAAGTGTCTTGTCTCGACGATTTCGCCCTCCTTTCGCCACAAACGAGAAAGCTTGTCCATCACATCTATTTCCGTGTAGAGTTACCACGATACTCGTACAGATGTTGCTGCAAACACCGCTCGCGTCTAACCGACGTCAGCCCTATCGTCACCGATGCGATATCGAAACTGTTCTCTATCCTGAGTAGTTGGGAGCCAGCGGGTAACTTGGCACTGGAGCTCAATGCATATTCTCCCAGCGACTGCGAACATTGGTTCAAGAACATTCATTTGTCCTCAGACAACGTTGATCATGAAGGGGACGCAACACCAACAGCTGGGACCGGAACTCTGGGTTCTGACCCGCAACATGGCTGGTTTGACGGCCAACCATTCCAACCCCCTCAGAGACACGCAATTCAACGACTCTTTAAGCCTATCAATCTAAAATTACGAGTATCATCGCCTAAAGTTGAAGCAGTCACCCGCCTCATTATCCGTCGACAACTCCGGCGTTGCATTGACGTAAAGTCATTCGCCTGTATGTTCCGCAAACTTAATCATCTAGAGCAAATATCTTATGAGCCATGGAAGCCATGGGACGGTTGGCGAATTTCCGAAAATCAAGGTATGCACTCACCGCTGTAACAGCAATTGCAAAGTTTCATCATCTTGGCCATACCGCTAATGGTGAGCGACAGCTTACGCTTTTGGAATGAGATGCCTTCCAGATACCGTCAACACCTTGGTAATATTTGAGGATTCCTATAGATTCTATAATCGCTTTCCTCCCAGGTGGCCGTCCTGGCTCCAATCCTTCCTCCAATCAACTGATCCTGGTGAAGAAATTGACGCGGGTTTCGTATCCAAAAGTCTCCAATTACAACACCTCTCCATCTCCTTCATGGTCAACGCCGAAGCTTTTTTTCAGAAATGTCAATCGGATTGGACCTGGCCGCGTTTGCAATCTCTGGCGCTTACATCAAAGCTCCTACGGCACGAAGCAGAGCACCGGGACCCAATTACGAATTTGCTGCTCCGAGCTGGGGTTCTTGCGCAGCAGATGCCCATGATACACACGTTTGTCCTTTGGAACTGCGAAAAGGCACACGCCTGTGCATTTATATACCGCGTAGAAAGAGGCACTGCCTCGATCACTTGGCGTGGAACGTGGAAGCTCAAGTTGCGATCTCGTGTGGTAAAGGCATGGCAAGTCGTTGCCTCAAAGCGGCGTATGCACCGTTCTGAACTTCAAGTAAAGCAGGATGATATCAAAGCGGCGATAAATTGCCCCGGCGACGCAATTTATCATCTTAAACTTCCCTGCCAAGTCATTGAGCCTGCGTCTCTTTGGCAGATCAGGAGGGAAGGACACACCATATGGTGGTAGTTGAATATACCCTCGTCGTCATCAACATCAGCAGCAGCAGTAGCAGTAGCGGTAATCTGCCTCACCATAGAGTATCTCTACTCCCCTCTGGACTCTCCTCTAGAAGCTGTTGCCATTGCTACTTGCTTCAATATCCGCTATTATTGCTGCTTTCATCTAGTATCTGTCGTCAAGTTGGAGACCTATAACGGAATGAAACAGACATCCCCCCATATAGGCATCATATAGAGTAGAATACATTGAATCAACTTCTTACTCGATTCGGCAAGGAAAAAAGACTATTCTTTCGTCTGCCTTGTCATCAATGCTGCGTCACGTTGCCAAGTCCAGAGGGAAGCATACAGCTCAACGTAGTACTAGGTAATAATATATTACATCGCAACTTAGTAATGCTCATTTCTTCATCTCATGCTTTCCACTCGCGACACATATCAATCATATCTCATTCTGCTCCACCTCCTACTCAATGCGCTTCCATTACATCAATGCCTTTTTTCTTTTTTGCCATTACATGAGATGCATCGCCTTTGTAACCATTAAGTGGCTGCCGCATAAGTGTTCCTCACTGGTTCACTTTTACCGTGTGCCAGATAATAAATAAGTATATACCACACATCACTGCTATAGCAAGTATCTCCTCAGCAGCGGCGAGACATCTCCAGCTATCAATCTGCCAATCGCATCGCCACCTCCACTCCCCTTTTCAGCTTCGTCCAATTTACAACGCGTAGGGGTTGAGGGACCGGATGGTTAGGCAACTATTTGATTCCATCATGTTAGCAAAACTGATACTCTACAGGTTTCTATGTTGAAAGGAAACTTACGGTGGGCTCTTGGTCAGGTCCGTCTTCAGGATGATTGGCACCCGGGTCATCTCAGTCACATCCTGGATGTAATCTCCACCCTCTTCGCGTAGAGAAAACAGTTTGAGATACTTCTCCTTGTTCGTCAGTCGAGTCTCAACAGCCTCTGCGACAGGAACCTTGGAGTCGGATCGAGTGCGGTGCAGAGTTCCGGCGTTGGATGCAGATCGTGCCGGTGATCCTGGCACGCTCTGCGTAGGTCGCTCAGCCAGCGACGCTCCTGCCATGGCTTCAGTCACATCTGAAGTATCGTCCTCGTCATCATCAAACAGGGCATCAACGTCATCCGTAGAGATTGTGCCGGTGACGGTCTGCTTACGAGCAGCCTCCTCGCGCTCCTTCTTCACGCGCTCTGCTTCTTCCGCCTGTCGAGCAGCGGCCAGAGCGTTTGACATTCTCATGGAGGCCGCAGCCTTGGGCCGTTCATCCTCGGGCACGTATGCAGAGCTGGGGACGCCCTTCTCCCAGTAGAGTTCCAGAACACGCTTTTCTTTTCTGAACTCTGCCTTCTTAAGGGGCAGCTGATCGCAGTGCACGCGCTTCTCGAAGCCCCACTCGGGAATCAGCACGTCGAAAGCCGATTCGTACACGCAGAGGACGATGCCCTCTGCAATGAGATCGCCGTTGACTTCCTGTCGCTTCTTATCCATGGTGCGGCATGACTCAATGTGAACGCTCTGCTCTTGTGCGTTCTGTGCCGAATCCTTCTTAGTGTTGCAAGCTTCAACAGTCTTGACAAGGTTCTCCATATCGTCAGAAAACTCAATCTTACCCTCAGAAAGGACCGCCTCCAGCTGTCGATGGACGATAAGGTCGGCATAGCGACGAGTAGGGTTGGTAAAGTGGGTGTAGAGTGGCAGATTGAGGGTGTAGTGAGGCCACACGATCTTGGCAGTCTTGCCAGCAATGAAATACTTGGCACGCTGCATCGACTTGAGAAGAACTGTCTCCATGCCCTTGCGCAGATCCGCATCGTCAACCTTGAAGAGGCTGTTCTGGAGTGCCCCGCTTCCAGAGGCGTCGATGTCGTATCCCAGAGCTGTCATGCGCTCGACAAACGTCTGCAGACGTCGTGGGTTGGGGGCGGCCTGGCGACGCAGCAGAGCCTTGTCGGGCAAGCCCTCAGCCAGGCGCTGGGCCACATAACTGTTTGCCTTGTGCATGAGCTCTTCGACAAGCTCCAGAGCCTCGGTAGAGTCAAAGATGTTGTGTTGCACTTGAGGGTTCTCATCGTCGAGTTGCTGCAATAATCGGAGAGGGGCGATGGGCTCGCTACCGGCACCCAAGCGGGCTTCTCGGAACTTTTGAGCTACAGCGTGCAAAATCTGAATGGTGTTGATCGGAACGGCAGCGTTGTCGAATGTAGAAGCGTCAGTCAGGGCCTTGTCAATATCACTCAGCGACACCTTGCCGGTAGATTTGATGATACTCTTGCCGACCCAGGCATCACCTTCAGCAACGGCGCCGTTGACGGGGTTTACGGTGAATACAACACTGAAGGCAAGACGTTCCTCGCCTGGTACTAGAGAGCAAAGCTCTCCAGACAGCTTAGGGGGCAGCATTGCGCAGAAACGGTTGATGAGATGGACTGCGGTACCACGCTTCTTGGCCTCTCGGTCCACGAGAGAGTTGGGCTTGACAAAGTGTGTGACATCAGGAACGTGGATACCAATATCAATCTTGCCATCGGGGCGAGAAGTGACGTGCACCGCATTTCCGAGCTCAGCGGTACCGTTGAAATCAATGGTAAAGACCTTTTCATCTCTGTAGTCGCGGCGCGAGGCAATGGCTGCTTCATCCTCTTGAGCGAGCGACCAATCCTGGAGGCCGACGCTGCGCAAAACAGCATCAGAGAACTCATCGGATGAGAAGTTGTTGTCGCGAAGCAGTGCATCGGTCTCCACCTTAAGGTCACCCATACGACCCAGCTGCTCTACAAGTGTGCCAAAGGGATGAAGAGACGTAATGGGCCATCTCTTGATGCATGCAACAAAAATGCGATCAGCATATTCCTGGTGTTTCTCAACAAAGTCTCGAGGAGCCTGCTCTGTGGGGATGGCAATCAGGGGGACACGCTTGTCAGTAGGCTTGAACCAAACAATCTTGGGCTTGTCCTGCTGGCGGCCATCGTTCCCACGAGAGTTGCCACCTTCTCGAGCCGCTCTCTCGGCTTCCTGCTTCTCCTTGGTAGCCTGGCTGCTGGGTCGAAGAAGGCCCAAAGTACCCGAGAACATCTGGCCGGCAACACGCTCAATGACGGCAACGACATGACCGGCGTACAGTGGCTTTTGTTCATCATTGATCTCTTCCTCTTCAACAAGGAGAAGGCTCTGTCCCTCGACTTCGACGTCATCATTTTTCTTTTGAGTGGGTCGCTGTCGAAGACTGCCACGACGGCGGATTGCTCCGTCAGGGGGGTTGCTATCATCATTTTGTCCAGAAGCTTGGCTGCCCTGGTTGGTGGAGCCGGAGCGGGTATCAGTAATGTCTTTGCGCTTCTTCTTCTCTTCCTTCTCTCGCTTTTGGCCCCAAACTTCGTCGACATCCAAGAGCTCGATAGCAACCAAGTCACCCTCAAGGGCACGGTTGCGATCCTTGCTACCACAGATGAAAATGTCGGCATCTAGGAGGCCATCCAGCGTAGTGACGTAAGCATCACTCCGATTCTTTTTGTTGACTCGGAGAATACCAGAAACAAGCTGGCCATCTCCAAGCAAGGCGGGAAGGGTAGCTTGAGGCAGATAGGGGGTAAAGAGAGTCTTTCGCTGTTGCTGCTGTTGCTGACCAGCAAGCTGTCCGGCGTGCTGAGAGCCCTGAAGACCCTGGAATTGCTGTGTGTTCATCTGGGCAGCTTGCAAAGCCTGAAGCTGGCTGATCTGCATGGGGTTGAGCTGTTGGCCATACATTTGAGGCATCATCATCTGACCAGCAAGCGGAAGGACCGGAGCTTGGCCGGGATTGAACTGAAAGCCTCCCATAGCTGAGATGGACTGGTTGACTGAGCCGCGGGGTCGGTGGCCGGGCTGGAACCCCTGGTTTTGGGCAGCGTTGGCAGGTTGATCCTGGCTTTGGCCTTGGTTGCGCCAGTTGCCCTCATAGTTTCGGGATCCCGTACGGGCGTGGCCGGGGCCACGGCGCTGGAATTCACCGCCACTATCAGTGCCAGTGTTGAAGGAGCTGCTGCGCAGACCGCCGCGTCCGTTGACGGCCATGCTCTGGCTGCGGCCATGTCCGCCGCGGCCTCCACGTGTAGCTCCCTGGGCTGCGGGGACGTCGAGGCTGGACTGAGCGACGGGTTGGTTCTCCTCCTCCGGCTTGTCAGATGCTGGAGCACCGGCAGCGGGGAACTGGAATCCGGATGTAGTTCGCTTCTGCTGTGCGAGCTCAGCAGCCTTCTTGGCATCGGCCAGGGCCAGGGAGTGTCGTCGTTGATGGCCGCCACCGGCACCGCCTCCACGGCCACCTCTGGAACCAGCGTTCTCACGACCGTGGCTCCCTGGTGCCTCGAAGTTTCCAAAAGTAGACCCGGAAGCTCCTGAGGATGGCGCAGGCGGCGGGCCCATGCCCATATTGGGTAGAGCCGACTGATTACGGCGATGTGAGAGTGGCTGGGTCGGGGGACCCAGCGAAACATTTTGTTGTGGGATCTGGTTAGGGAACTGGAAAGCATTGCCCATGGGCTGCAAAGGATTGAATGGAGCGCCGGGGCCGATGGTTTGGCCCGGGGGCATCATGCCCATGTTGACATATTGCTGATGGGTGGCTTGGATCTGCTGCTGCTGTTGTTGCAGGAGCTCAATCTGCTGCTGGATTGCAAGTTGTTCCACTGCGACACGAACACTTTAGCACTCAATTTCCCAGATTCGACGCCTTGGATATTTGCGTTGTGGATGCAGGGGTTGTGGATTGGCAACGCGGTTGCCCCGCGCCTAGAGCTGGCGGGCGACAAGGGCAGCCACAAGAGGGAAAAAAAAGTTGTCCTCAAGGCCAAATAAAGAGAGAAGATGAGAAAAAAAAAATGACGGATGGCTTACTTCCTGGGTTAGCAAACATGCTCATAAGCGGCGTGAGCTCAGACGGGCTCCTGCGGTGCGCAATGTGCAGTCTGCGTCCAGCCGGCCCATGAACGCCGCCAGTGGCATGCTGGGCAGCTTGTTGCTGCGACGGCTGCTGCTGCTGGTCCATGGCGCAGACAAAGGGCAGCGGAAAGGTGCACGTCGGGTGCGGGCTGGTGGTGAGCGATGCTGGAGGAGGGGGTTGGCGATGGAATTGCCGTGGGCGAAAGCTTTGGGGAGTGGTTGTTTTGGTCGGGATCGTGGAAGTTCGGCTCTAAGAGACAGTGGCAGGCCCCCGTGGACAGGACAGATTTTGCCAAAGGAGGGTCGATGCAGTGATTTCAAGCGAGCTCGGCAGAGCCAAGGAGCGTTGGAAAGGAAGGAGTCGGGCTGACGGTGCAATGCAGATGGGAAAATGAGAAGAGAAGGTGAGGATGGATGCGGATGGGAAGTCCAGCTCCTTGCGAGAGGCTGTGAGGGAGGAAGATGGAGAGAGGATGGACGGCTCTCTGCTCTGGGGAGATACAGGTAGAGCTACCGCCGGGGGCGAAAATATGGGGGTGCAGTGACGCTCTTGATTCCCACTCGCTAGCAGCTCTTTGGCGCACGCCACCTCTGGCGAAACAGCTTCAACCGGCCCCCTTGAGAGCACTCGAAGACGCTGTACGGAGTATCAATGGATGCTAGAGACATTCTCAGCACGTGCTGCAAGCATTCCACGGCATCCACTGCAGAACCTAAAGCGATGACACCTTTCAGGGCTGTGCTCAATTAGACATTGGGACGGACAATGCTGGGTGCATTGGCCCTACGTAAGAACGAGTACAGTGCCGTATGTGCACCGGATGATGGACTTGAGGATGGATTCGACAGCGCCGGTGCGGTAGGGAGCAATTAGCGGCGGGAGCGCGGTTCGCGTCTACTATTCAATGCCAATTGCCGTACTACTTGGATCATCATCACTGTTCTATGTCCCTCAAAGCTGTGTCTATTCTGTAGAAAGTAGATTACATGGTAGAGTACCTAGCTACCTAGTATCAATGGATGGTAAGTACATGTATGTCAGGTATTGACAGCTTCAGACCAGATGGATATCGCAGGGATGGGAGTCAGTCCCCTCGCACGGATACGAGACCGCTACCAGGTTGCCAGGTACAGCAGCCATCGGCGTCAACAAGCCGGATGTTGGCCAGGACAGGCACAGGCACATACGAGTCCAGGCTGATATCAAAAACCGGTGCGCTTCCGCCTTCGTTTCGCGCTCATCACAACTCAACCTCGAACCCCTGCTTGGGGCTGCTGGCGCCGCAGCCGTAGCGCTTCTGTCCCGCTATTCTAACCCATCACGTCGTCACACGACACCGCGGAAAACCTGCGATATCATGATCAACGGCTGTCCCGAGCCATCTTTGGCTGTTGCATTCTTTGCAGCGCCAGACAGCTCGTCTGCACATGTATCGCATGCTCTAGACTGAGAGAGCAGCATTAGCCGTGCCCCTTTCGCTTCTTTGCAGCTGCTGAGGAGTTACAGGCACAGCTACTATCTGCGCCGTACAAGCATTGGATGGATGGAGCAGCAAGCTCTGATACCCGCCCCTGAAGTCAACTAAACCACTCTTGCCCACCCTCATCAATACGAGCCCCAAATGCTAATGATATCGTGTCCACCCGGTCAGGCCCTACTAGTAACAGCAATAGTACTACCGTATATGAGTCTAGTACGCGTAGAAGAGGCATGAACAAGACTTTCAATTGAACCCATTCACCTGCGGCGTATGGACAATAATAGATGGGGGTCCATATACGGCACAGGCAGAAGCTTCTCACTCATCGTGCTGACAGCCAAGCCATTTGCTGTGCCACAATTCTCTTCAAGATGCCTGTACGTTAGTAATAAATGCTCTGTAGAAGCGATAAATATTATCTCAGCCGAGACAGAGAGTATGGGGTAGCATGGATCAAAAAGCACAGAGTTCAGATACCCTGGCGCCACCATACCAGGGTCAGTTGCATGACCAAATCGAGTGGTTTACAGATAGCCCAGACATGGGCTCTACAGCGCTTTGCACCAACGCACAGAACCATTGGCCATTGAACTTTTTATCAAGAAGCAGCGCGCAACGTGTTAGCAGCTGGGCTCCTTTATTTGTCTTTCTAACATGTACGAAGAGACCAAATCGTGTCTAGCGCGCCCTTGTTCTGTTGCTGGGGCAAAAGGAGCAGGCCGTCTTTTCTCCCACCGGAAACTAAGACAAGCTTCCCCCGTAACAGTTGCAACCTACTTCGCAGGTACCATTTACGCTTTGTCAAAAAAAGATACACCAGGAAAAGGGAGTCGAATAGGACAGGGCCACGTCAGCGGTGACATGAACGGACAACTGTAAGTGCCTGGGTTAAGGAACAAGACAAGAGACAGAGAGAGAGAGATAGTAGGACCCTTTGTCGCCTATGTAAGGGACCTCAGCAGCCAATGCCAGGCACCTGCCCAGTATGATATCACCGAATCTGCGTTGAATGTCTGGAGAAAGCCAGCCGAAGCATCCATGCCTCGCGAATGCGTCCTAGTTAGACGAAATGAGACGAAGCGTCAATCGTAGATCCCGGCCCTTGTTAGCACCTTAGCCCAAAGGCCTCTCTACTAACCTTAGCTCATACGCTTTCTCTGTGCTGTAGGCATGTACTTGGTACACTTTGTCAACGTGTGCCTAGCTTACTGAGACAGGTAGCCTTCGGGGTTTTGTTTTGGCGATTCCGGCGCGTCATCAACTCTGGCTCCAGCCAACCAGGGCAGGCAGTACGTACTTTTGGCCCTTGACGCCTTCTAACTTTCCGAGTAAAAGATACAAGGTTCACTTTTTGATAACAAACATTTCAGTCAGAGTTCACTTCCTTGTATACACTCGTCGGGCGATTTTCACTTTGGCATTTGCCATAATTTCTCCACGGAGAGCGATTGAGCCATTCCTCCCCATTTCCTTCCCTCTTTTATTTATTTCTGTAATCGATATTTCCCCAGCCAGCAATTGCAAATGCCATCGCGATAACGACTGATTATCTCACCACCTGCCTCGAGAACATGACCAATTCTCCCTCTTCGAGGAAGAGCCAATTGCTGTCGAGCCCTGAAGGCGGCCTAATCTCGAGATTTCTCTTAGACGGCCGAAATAATGAGCTGAACCACCAAAATGCTCTGGCCGCCGCTCAGGCAGAGCACCAACGCGTGCGAGAAGCGGCTATCCGAGTGTATGAGCTCCACGAGCTTCGAGAAGAGCATCAACGACTTCTAGAGTTGGAGCGCAAGGAGCAAGAACGATTAAGAGCGGAGGCGGCAATAGTAGAAGAAGAGAGAAGGCTTCGAGAACTCAAGGCCAAGACGGTGCCTAAACTTCCTCCTGAACCAGTGCCAGAACCGCCCAAGAAGGTAGAACCGGTGCCAGTCCAACAGCCGGTTGCTGCGAAGCCTCAAGAACCTATCAAGCAGAACCTTTTCCAGACGAAGCAACAGCCGGCGCCAGCTGCCACCACCCCCCAGGTGAATGGCTTTCTGGGAGCGCAAACTAAACCGGCCACGAGCAATCTTTTTGCATCACCCACCACCGCGCCAAAAGTTGAGAATCGCTTGGAACCAACAAAACTGACGACTCCTGCTGCCCAACCGCCCGCCGCACAGATTCCGATGGCTCGCCCTCCTTTGGCGCAGAAAAATGCCCTAGCAGACCGATATGTCGAAATTCACAAAGAGCTAAAGAAGCTGCGACAGGTGCTGCAGGCCGAAGCAAAGGTGCCTGGGTCTCCTCTGAAGGGCAAGATGGGAACCTATCGAAGAGAAATTCGAGTCTCCATCGGACAGCTTACAGCGGGTAAAGGAGCCAACGCACAACCTGTGAGTCGAGATTTCCCGAGTTCACGAATTCGCCTTGGATACTAACATGAAATACAGATTGCCAAAATCACAATGGCACTCACAGATGCACTCACTGGTAAAGTGCCTAGCGCTCCTATCGAAGTGAGCCGGTTTACCGTGAGACCAAGAGAGCCAGCTGCAGGCGCTGCAAACAACGACGCGACCCTGCCTTCTCTCTTCATCTACCTATTGAACATTTGCGCCAAGGGCATCATCAATCAATTTATCAATGAGTGCAGTGCGAATCCCAAAGCTGCAGATCCAATCGGCGTCTTCACAGCCCATATATTTTCTCAGAAGGAATTTCAATGGCGCGGTGCATCTCTGATTGACATCCTCATGGCCAAGTTCCGAGTCGTGTGCCCGGTCTTGTTCGGCTTGAGAGGAAGCGATAAAACCGAGAGGGGGAGACAGGCCATAGGATGGAAAAAAGATGGTCCTGGGTACATTACAGAGCAGACTCACAACGATAGGATGACTGGTCTGGGTACTGGTTTCGCATCGATTTCCCTTCGCGATTTTAGCAAGACGTCCAAGGAAAATCCATATAAACCAGTCAACTACTGGCAGGCGCTGGCCAGCATTGTCAACTCGCCTCCCAATGAGACTTCAAACACACAATACGTCGTCTTGAGAGCCATGATTGAAGGTCACGAGCAGCGGTTTCTGACTTTTTACGGCAGCGCCGCCATTGCTGCGTTGCGCCTCGCATTGGTCGAGTTCCCCAAGAAAGCGCCAGCGAACGCAGCCGCAGCGCAATCATTACGAGCCATGGTAGAGCTTCTTCGCACTGAAGGACTTGTCTTGAGCTGAAGCATTCGTTCTCATTTTCTTTTATTTTCCTGCTCTTTTCTACTCCTCAACTATAGCCGTCTCTTTTTACACTTTGAGGTTCAAGAGAAGGAGGATATAATGTATTCGGTTGATACATTGAAGCAAAGGCGTTTGGGGGAGGCACATTGGCATGCCGGCGCATGTAATATATAACATATATATGATAGACCCCTGAGGTCCCTTATTTACGCTGCATAGGAGGCACTATTGGGACGTTGGAAATGTCTTTTTTAAGCTATGGGTATTATAGAAGAAACCCATGCGCTTTATTCTCACTCTATCCTGCATCATCTTGCGCCGTAGACGTTGAACCCACGCTGTATACCTAGTAGGCTTGCATGACTGCATCAGCCGATACGTCGGCATAAATCATTCCGCCAAAACTCCGAGACCCAAATATTGATTCGCCCATTAGACCTCTTCCTTTTATCTCCCCATAAAGACCATTCGTAAAACATAGAAAGACAAGAAAAGAAATACTCCTTCTACTACAAGATCAACAGAAGAACCAGCAAAAGAATCAAGACAAAAATCAAGACCGCAATACAACAGCTGCTCAGCCGGTCCTCGTTCTTGCGCATCACATACCCCAGCTTGGCCATGCCAGTCTGTAGCCGGTTACCTACCCTGTCCGCCAAATCGTCCACCACCTCGAGCATCTCGTTCTGCTCTTCCAATTCTCTCCCCATGTCGTCAGCCTGGCGGCGCAAGTTGCCAACCGTGTGAAACACCCCATCGAGATGTCTATCTTGCTCTTGCATCATCTCCACTTGCTGCTGCTGCTCAAACTCCTGGTACGCATCGCCGCCATCGCCCTCGCCTATCTGAAAGGAGCTTGGGTCAGGCAAATCGCTATTGCCGCCTTTGCCACCGGCGATGTTCTTGTTGAGCTCCTCGCGCATGTCCTGGATCTCGGCGCCGACCTCCTGGACAAGGCGCTTCCGGCGCGAGGCTTCATGGTCGGAGACGCCGAACTGGGAGGGATTGGACTCGATGGCTTGGACGGAGGCGACAAGGTCTGCTAGGTCTTCGGCTAGAGAGGAGAGTGCGGATTCGAGTTCGGTGCGGGCGGATATGAGCTCGGGGGAGGTGGAGGTTGAGGCGAGGGAGCGGATGCGAAGGTATGACGCGAAGAGGGGCCGGATAGATGAGATTTGGCTGAGGACATCTCTATAACGGTATCAGGTCAGAAAAGCAATTGGTATATGTGTTTAGAGGAGGCGGCCGTACTGCTGGACCTGGAGGAAGGGGTCCTCCTCGTTCGTTGAGGACATCATCCTGATAGCGGTTCAAGATGCATGAGCTCGAGATTGAGTGCGCCGGACAGGAACAGAGAAACGGGTAAGACGGTGTATATAAAGCTCAAGAGAAAGCAGAAGCGCAAGAAGAAAACTCGCAGTACGGATCGCCTTAATTAACTCCACCTGGTTGCTGGAGGATCATGCAGAGCTCGGGATTTGAAGGATGACGTTGCATCCAATCTTGCGACAGCGAAACAAGGTGTGGCTAAGGTGAGCCGAGGGTAGCGGTACGTACCTTCTCGGTGAGACGCCAGTCGCCCGGCACCAATGAGATGGGCCTGAAAATCTAATGTCTTTTACACCAACCAGGCAACGACCAAATCTAACGCAGCATATCACGACTTTATGACTGTCCGAGAATTGACTGGGGAAAAAGAAAGTGCTTTCTGCCCTGACATTTGCTCGGGCTTCTGCTGGCTAGACGATTTGTCACTCTTTCACAAAAAAACTCGACATCTTTGGTTGAATTGTTTTACGATTCAATTTTCAACACCAACATCTCAACATCAACACGCCCCTTTCGCCATACCAGTGGCAGGAGACATATTATAAAACGGGAGAAGGGACTCTTAGGGAATTCATTATCATCTCAGATTCTACTTACTCTCTATCTTTGTCCAACATCATACAGGGTAAGCCCAGTGTGGTTCACTGAAAGCAATCGCCATGATACCAACTCGGCCGCTGCCATGCAGCGAAGAATTTTCGACGCCAGAGGAGTATATTGAGGCTCTGTTGGAGTTTGCACGGAATACAGATGTTTTCCAGATTCTCTGCGGAGGTGTTCACATTCTCGACTTTTTCACTTCGGATCCGGGCATCTTTCACTCGGCACTGCCAGACGAATGGAAAGGATTTCTATTGTCATATGATATCATGAAGACACTGGATCTCTTTTTAAGAGATGATTTGGACGCTCTCAGCTTTGAACCGGGTCAAGAGCCACCAGAAAGTCTGATTGAGTACGTTAAAGCACTGAGGAGATTCTCTTTAAGGAGAGATTTTACACCACGACAGCAGAAACTGCCGGTTCTACCAAAATCAGTCTCTGTAGGAATGAAGCCTAAGAAAATTCACGAGGTTGTCAATTTCGCAGACTACGTTGACGCCCTTTCGGAGGATATTTCGCAACAGACTGGCAGCGAGATATCCCACTTTGTGGACTTTGGTAGTGGTCAGAATTATCTCGGTCGGGCTCTCGCCTGCGAGCCTTATAACCGCCACGTTGTAGCTGTGGAAGGCAGAGATCACAATGTCACAGCAGCCAAGGTGTACGATCTGACATCCAAGCTGGCGATTCGGCCCAAGATGAAGAGGAATAAAAAGATGTGGAACAAGGCATTGGAAACTCTCAGCCCCGAGGAGCAAAAGAACCAAGATGCAGTGCAGGCAGCTATCAAGCAGGTGGAAGGGACTGAGGAATTTGAGTTCCAGCCAATGAACATTCATGAAGCGGAATATGTGGCTGAAGAAGGGAAAGGCGGTGTTCAATACATCTCGGGGAGACTGGATAGTGGTGACCTCTCAGAGGTTATAGAGGGTATCGAGCACAGAAAGCTCAAGGATGGATCTGAGGAAGACCTCAATCTCATGGCCGTCTCTATCCATTCCTGCGGTAATCTGTCTCACTACGGCATTCGATCTCTCATCATGAATCCCGATATACGAGCTGTTGCGATTGTCGGCTGCTGCTACAACCTCCTGACGGAGAAACTGGGTCCTCCGAGTTACAAACAGCCTTACCTACGACCTAGTCTTCAAGCTCTCAACGGCCGGATTGTGCGCGAATCTGAAAAGAGAGATCCGCAGGGCTTCCCCATGAGCCAGCAGTTCTCGACTTACCAGGGTGACGGTATCCGTCTCAACATCACGGCTCGTATGATGGCCTGCCAGGCGCCCCAGAACTGGACCCGAGTTGAAAGCGAGGGCTTCTTCACCAGACATTTCTTCCGGGCTGTTCTGCAGCGAATATTCCTAGACCGTGGCGTGGTCACCCGCGTGTGGCACGACGACTCTGTCAAAGAAGATCAAAACGAAGAACAAGCAAGCCCCTTCAACATGAGCACGAACCCCGTGGTCATCGGATCGCTCCGCAAAAGCTGCTACGGATCGTTCAAGGCCTACGTGCGGGGGGCCGTGGAGAAGCTGACGACGAGCACGGAGTACAAGCAGTACGCGGGCGTGATGAACGAGAAGATGGCGGACATATCCGATGCCGAAATCGCCAAGTACGAGGCCATGTACGAGCCGCGAAAGAAGGAGCTGTGCGTGATTTGGTCGCTGATGGCCCTGAGCGCGGCGGTGGTGGAATCGCTCATCGTGGCAGACCGGTGGACGTTCCTAAAGGAGCACGACGACGTCGTCAAGCATGCCTGGGTGGAGACGGTGTTTGACTATGGCGAGAGCCCACGGAATCTGGTGGTTGTTGGAGTCAAGAAGGATGGTGTTTAATCAGGGTTCTGGGACGGACCGGGCGGTTCGCTTATGTTTTGCGGCGGAACGGGAGACGGGTCGGCTGTGATGGCATCATGAACTGATGGGGATATATTGAGTGGCGTGTTTGTCTTGGTGTTTGTTAGATTGGGAGAGTTGCATTGCATCTGCCGAGGGAAGCAAGAAATACCCTCTCGGTAGTCTATGCCGCCGGGCGCTTTTGGAATCAGTCGTCGTTAATCTATCGATTCCGAGGCATTAATTACTAGAGAGTTGCAAAGTTCCCCTCCACTGCTGATTATATTTAGTATACTACTCCGTATGATAGGTAATTATTGGCCTCCATCCATACCAGCGGCCGTGGAGGCAGCTGCGCTAGATGGCGATAGACAAGTCATTTTTACATTTAAGAAATGACGACTTAAACAATTCAAACGAATATCGTATTAAAGAGAATAACGCGCAATATGACTCTCATAATGAGATTGCGAGATGTTCCGAAGAGCTCGGTTACCGCTTTCGTACAGTTGATATGCTGTGTGGAGTGGACAAAGAGTCTGGGCCAATGGAGTGAGACAAGGATGGGCGACAAGACCCCGAAAATCATCTCATCTACCTCACGATTACAGCAGAGAAGATACCGCCTACACAAGATACAACACAGCCGAAGCGGGGGAGAATTGGCTGGATTCCACTATAGTGGCGTCTCATCACTAATACAATGCCATGAAATTGACGTGATGTTTGTGGAAACGGCCGTTGAACAAAGAAGAATGAAGAAAAAATTGAAAATTGACAGGTCAGCCTACCACGCACGGCTGACATCAGCCCCTCGGCCATAAGTAGAGGCAGACACAAGAAAAATTAGGAGGCAACGAGCAAACTAATGGTCCTTTTGATGGAAAAAGCTTGCTTGCTTCATGACGCTGGTGGCGCGCCCCGTGGACCGTCTAGAAAGTAGCCAAGGTCGAATGAAAGCCGCGAGCCTGGCTGGCGGAGCCGGGAGGTGGACAGAATGATGGCTTGATGAATATATATCACCACACCAACTCGTCAGCCTTAACGCGGAGGCAGCAGGATCAACAATTGTACATGTCAAGTTAGCAGACGACTACAACCTCGCCGCCGGTGATTGGGCGAACGAGGCAGCATGGATCGTGGGAAAGGCTGAAACGCCGACCCGTGGTCACGATGCCTTTGACGGCGTAGGCTAAGTGTGTTCTTGTGTCTTGTTTATGACACGGGCTGCTGCGTTGGCGGAAATCTTGGCCGCCAGTTAGCATCGGGCTGATGGCTTCCTTGGACCTGAACCGTGCCACCCATCATCCGCATAGCCATCACATCACCATACTCCAATCACGGCGGCCGTCACCTGCGTCATGGCAGCGACTGACAAACGGGCCCTGTCACGCAGCTAGACGCCTTCGCCTCTGTCTCTCTCCCTGCTTTTTGCCAAAACTTGTCCCTCTTGAGCTTGTCTTGGGGGGTTCCTTTGCGGCCGCTGCTTGGTGCCAAAATACCTCCGCACTGGGATTGGGGCTTGACCCGTTCTTCCGCTTGCAGGTTAGAGGCAAAGAAAGAGGAGAAGCGAGAGAGAGAGAGACAGAGAGAGGTTGGAGAGGACGGTTGCCAGCGCATTGTACATACAGAGGCTTGCCAGTACTGGAAGAGGTTGCAGTAGGTGGTTTGCCAAGTTGGTGCTTCGTCCACCCCATGGATCCATGGATGTCATTCCATTTACCTGGGTAGTACAGCCCAACCGCAGCGTCAGGCAAGCAGCCGCCGTAGTACAGCTCATGTAACGGCATCGCCAGAGCCTCGGGAAACCCCAGGTTTTTCCCAAGCAACCTTGCCGGGCTTCCAACGGCTCCCCGCTCCGCTCCCTGCACGAATGCTTCGAATGGGCTGTCGCGATTAAGGCGTTCCAGGGTCCTCCCTATTTTGTGTGTGGGGGGACCTTGCCTGTTCCCTGCTCGTGGCGTCTAACCCCCGTGGATCAATGATGGTTCGAATGTGTCTAGCAGTCAGTCAGTCAGAGTCGCTGCTCTGGACAATTGCGTTGCCATCCATCTGTTGTGTTTTGTGGCATGATTATGATTTCCCGGCGATGGATACTTTATTCCTGTTACTGAATGCCAAGGTCCTGTACCGCTTTAGCACTGAGTACCTGCACTAAACTGGCAGCGCCTTTTGAGTCTGGTCCAACAGGGCCGAGCACTGCGCTGTATCTGCTAATTACGCTATTGCAATTAATACCCCGACGTTCTCGATTCTAATCCATCGAATGCTTCCAATCGCTCGGAACGGGGGACCTTGCCGCAGCCCACGCCTTCGCACACCGTCGGTTGCTATTTTACCACCCAATCCCTACGGCTCTAGGTTCACTTAGGCACGTTTTCATATATATAGACGCAGCAGGTCCCTCGTTTTTTCTTTTGACCGACGTCCTGTCTCGTCTTCCTATCGTAACATTACCCACTCAGTAAGACTGGCCCAGCGTTATCAGTGCAAGCTCCATTGTCCCTCCGCCAAACGTAAACCTGCCTTATCACTTATCAGCGCCCTCTCCCCCGATTTACGGCGCTCCGACTGACTGACTCGCCTCGACTTATTTCCTTTATCGCGACAGACTTTATCTTCAGTTCTTTTTGTCTTTTTTTTTTAACCCTCGGCTACTTGATCCTCTCCTCTCCTCTCTGTCTTGTTCTCGGTACTGCCAAACATCTTGTGCTCTTGCGCAACCGCATTTCGTTCGCTCTCTGGGACTTGCACCAGCAGGGAACCCCCCCTGCTGTCTTGTCCCAGGATTACGTCGGCTGTGACTTGCTGCCATATCGGAACTAGAGAGCCGAACGTCGATAACGACAGTTATTGCGCCATCTCGACAATTGCGGCGCCCACGAGGCACACGACAGCTATATTTCTTCGTATAGCTTCTCTTGCGGTCCCATTCCTCTACTGTACATCGGTGACTGTCTACTTTTTCGTTGTTGGCGGAGGAGCTCAAAATCACAATGAACGCTCAAGTCTCATTCCTTGTAAGTCGACACTGGCATGTCATGCTGACCCCCTCTTGCACAACATCTCTTGACTGCATCTTGTTCTTTTTCTTTGCTTCCCACACCATTTGCGATTGTTTTTCTTTCCACATTGCAATTATAAGGCCCAATTGATGCTAACTATGCTTCGCTTTGTAGGAAGGCACTTACACCCTCATCCACATCCCCCTCGACCTCTACCCAACTCTCCTGCAACCTCTCCTGCGCATTCTCCTACCACAAACCCAGAGCCTCAACTTCACTCGCGATTCGAGAGAATACGAGCTCGAAGGCCTCACAACAGACTACCAACATGGCTTCCTCAATATTAGCATCACTCCAATCGAGTGCTCCGTCGTCTGTCACAGCTCATGGGCCAAGAACGTCTTTGAGCCTGCCCTCAATGCTCTGCCGAAACCCCTAAAAAACACCGTCAAACTCTACAAAGACACATACATGATCCTCGCCGTAACAAGTGCTGGCTTGGATCCCGGCGGCCGTGTCATGGAGCTCAGCTCACCGCTGGCCTTCGCAAACATTCCCATCTTCTTCATCACCACGTATTACTCCGACTTCATCCTTGTCCCCACCAAGGAGAAGCAAAAAGTCGTGCAGGCCCTGTTAGCCAAGGGATTCGAGCTCTCAGAGAACCAGTCCAACTTTGTCAACCCGTCCATGTACGCCCCCAACAGCTCAGACACCGACCTGTCTCAGAAACCACCCAGCACCCCACCCCCTTCCAACGATGACGAGCTTCAAGCACGGACCTTTAAGCTCCTCTTGAAGCACGACGTAAAAGCCCGCGTTGAGCCGGACCTGGAGCTCGTCCAGTGCTCCGGTCGCGAAATATCGCCCCTCACCAACGCTTACGGCCATCGGCCGTCCATGAGCCGAAAGAGCTCGACAGACTACCGTCGCTCTTGGATAAGCCATGTTGACACAAAACTCTATACGTGCATCGTATCTGCGCTTGTCTCGCAGCCTAGATTCTTGTCTCTCACCCTTGCCCAGGATGATCCCCCGTCTCTACTGCTTGACAAAGCCCTGCTGCCAAATTTTGATGACTCATTAGTGGGTGACACCGAGGGCGTCTTGATCCCCATCTTCCTCGATCTAGGCGGCCTGTCATCCGAGTCCACCGGTATTGTTTGCGGTGTTGCAGGGCGACTAGTCAAGGGCACAGACATGGCCGAGAGTTCAGAGCTGTCCTATCTCTCCACCTCTCGTGCCGGCACTGTCATCTTATCAAGAGTGCAATCGATACGAGCATTGGAGATTTTGAATCCATTGCTCACCAAGGGGTCATGAGGCCATACATTCTTGCATATGTATTCCTAAGTATTTGCTCTATTTGACCATCTCCTTGGTACCCATCCTGTCGTCCCCTTTTGAAGCGGGATGATAGGAAATCTAAAACGGTTGACACGATAAGTTTTCATTTGTTTCATTAGACGTATGTTAATATGAGGGCATGAGGGAGAACGAGAAAAAGAAGAGGTTCTGGCTAAAATCTCAAGAGTGTGAGTGGCTCAGGTTGTCGGTTGGTCGGCTGGTGTCTTTGGGCGTTGAATTTGTACAGAGCTGCGTGTGCCATTGTGAGATACCAACTTGATTTTTGCTCCTTTGCTCTATAGGGTTGATACGGGATATACATTCACTTCTCTCGCGAGCTGATGGAATTCATATACATAATTTCAATGTTGTAGCTATATTTTTGCCTCATTCAAGCCGTTTTCCAATCCTATTATTCACCCTCAGGTGTTTCAGCTTTTGCAGCCACTGCTTCCTTGAGCTCTACTATTATGCTACCTAATTACAATCCTTGCGGCTTCACTCTTCTAAAACGCCTCGACGTTCGTAAGAATATCTCAATTTGTCGGCCTTCCTATTAGATCCTATAATTTGTCCGCCGTTTTATGATTTCCATTAATTGTCGGTGTCGTCGTGGTATGATACAACATTTAAACACCAAGAACACGAAAAGGGTCGCAACAAAAGCGCCTGCGACGCCAGCCAGAGGAATCGCCCACTTGGGAAATTCGTGACCTGTCGTGTCCGGCGTGATGGTTACGTTTTCCGCTATCGGGAACTTCAGGGGAGAGAACCTGGGCCCGGGCGGAAGAGTCACGAAGTGATCCTTTGGTAGTGTTGTATTGAAACACGGGGTTTGATAGGGGACGTCGGCAGGATGAACGTAGGTGATGTCGGCACATGTGTATAATGTGATGTTATCGGAAGAAACCTCATGGGGGCTCCTGTATGAGAGCTGCAGCGTGGCTTTAGTGCCGGCTTTGACGGCCATTGGAGCGTCTGGGACGTTGATGCAGGTGACGCCGGCGTCGACCTCGTCCATCCATACGTATTTCATCATGGGTTGGAAGTCGGCCAACGTGTTGGGATCTGTTAATCACTTGACGTTAACGAAAGAAAGAGATACATGATATTTGGAAGCATTTACATACGTGAAGTGTATGAAACACCCAACTTAACGTTCCAAGCCTTGGCTTGCGTGAAAATAAGCACATGTCCTTGATCTATCATGGGTCAGGACACATCATGACTGTGAAATCTCTCTCATTATATCATGGAGTCAGTGGAACGTACGGAGGGTAAAGTTTGTTCTGCTACCCGGATCTTCGACAGATCCACAAGGAGCAATATTCTCATAGGCATCTTCCCATACTCTTGGTGGTGGCCATCCAAAGGATGCCGCGCCACTCAGTGCCATTTCTGCGGATGCCATACCAATAAAGGCCAATATGGCTATCGATAGCAAGATGAAACGAGACATGTTGATTATGATAACGTCTGTGTTATTGTCTTTGAGTTGTTTTTGGATACTTGGTAGATAGATAGAGAGATTAACCGGAGTTGGGTGTCATCAAGAAACGCCTCCTCGAGAGGAAGAGGGGATGTCCTCCTCCCTTATAGTCATCGGATTCAGGCAACTGCATTAATGCATCGTACCTATCTCTTTACAGCGATGACTTGATGTAGCCGTAGATAAGGCTCGGTACCTTATATTTCAACTCTATTTCTAAGCCCCAACTCTCGTCTCGACGGTCCGAATAGCGTCTAGGATAAGGTACACAAACTCTCTTTTCAGGGGCGCATCTTCCTAGGACAAGTAGAGGAGTACATCGTTGTATGTATCAACAGATGAGATCCCAAATATTTGACTCTAATCTCAAAGATACGTTCTCTCAATACTAAAGGGGAGGCAGACGTAGCAGAAGCCTCTCCTATCATCTAGACGGCTGACAGATATTCCCTGGCTCAAACACGCAGCTTTGGATGCGTTCCCAGGAAAATATACCAGAAGATGCTTTCAATGTGACTTAGTAGAGCTATTAAGTAGTACTTTAACTACTAGTACTTTATCAGATTTAAAGTGTAAAAGATGTATTTGTAGCATGTGAGCAATTCTTCTTATAGCCCCCCCTCCTTCTATACTACTCTAGGGCGAGTCCAAACCAGGGGTCATATCGACCAGCCACCAACGAGGCTGCGAAAGTATGTGCGCAAGAGTACGTCTTTTCGGCGTAATATTCTCCTTATCGCGAGTTACTTCGATAGACTTTTGGTATTTTGGGAGGCCTGAGCGACTCAAGTCGGCTTGCATAGCGCATCGTACCACTCCATTCTAAGTAGCTTTACTCCGTACAACTACCTATTTAGTAGCGATCATGCGATCATATTAGATCTGGCAGATGAATATTCTCAGTGATGTAGTTGTATACTCTTGTCAATAGTCCAAGGACGCAATCGTATGCCCCTCGCCAGTAGGGAAGGTAGCATTATTTCCATGTTCGATGATCCCCAGTAGGAAAACACCGTAGAGATTACTAATGCTCTTCCAGACTGCTCGACTTAACGAGAGTCTCATTCTCGCCGTTGTAGGAGCAAAGTGGTATGAATGCGAAAATGTAATATATAAATCTCATTAGCAAAGATCAAAAAGCTATCCAGTTATTGTCCATGTATCGTAAGTAGCCCCCAAACAAAGGAAAGGAAAGAAAAGATTTGCCAGCCCTAAAAAAAGTCACATCTATCTCAACGCCATATCACCAAAGGCTCGATCCAGCTGAGCGGCTTCATCACCAGAGATATCCCCACTACCGCCTTGGTCGCTTTGTCCCAGCGAAGTCGGCGGACTCGGCTCCAAATGAGGAGCTGATCCGCTTCTTTCGGGCTCCAGCAGCCGTGCATCACTATCCAGCCATCCTGGCGCCAGCCGTCTCTTCTCGGCAAGTTCTCTCTCTCTTATACGCTCCTCCAGCTCCCGTAGGTCCCGTTCCGCATCCTCCTGCATTTTCGAAATGTGTGCCTGCAGCGCCCGGCAAGACGCAATGATGTCGTCGGGATGGGCGGCATGGCCGGAATTTGAGACCACGTATTTTGGCTTTGGCTGTGAAGAAGGGTCATCTGACGCATTGGGGATGCCCAATGGTGAGGGGGGGATGTTGGAAGGCATCGTCTTGTAGTTGTACGAGAGTGTAGTGGCAGTTGGAAGAGAGACGAAGGGCGATACGGTTAGAGGGACCTGTTCAAGCAGGTGATGTGCCCCTATGGCTCTTTTATCAACGTCTGTATTGCGGTGAATTAGGCGGCACTGGACTGACTCACGGTTGCTGTGCATATTCCGTTGCGAGGAAGAAGGAAGCGGACGTAGCCAAGGCGAGATGCCGCCTCAAAAGCTGAGGGGTTGCGAAGGTTCCGACAATGCTAGTGGCAACAATGAGGCTGCGGAGGATCAAAGTTTTTCCTAGAAAGTCAAAGGGCAGGGCAAATAATTCAGAAGACTCGAGGCTCTGGTTGTTGATGATTGGTATGGCGGTTGGGTATCTCAGCTGGAACGAAGCATTGCAAGTCCCAAGTCTAAAGTCGGCGGTCTCGCCGCAGCGCTGAGCGGGCGTGTCATCACTGGCCCCACGCCGCTATACCAGGCTTCCTAGCCTAGAGGCGGTATCGATAAGGCAGCAAGATGCAAGCTACCCCACGATCTCGACTCTTTTTCCGCCTTGCACATCCCAAAAAGCTAACCACCACGAGTCAATCATGCTGCCGACAACAATTCGATCGCCGCCCGCAGAGGCAGATTACACGCCCCTGGCAGAGTATCAGTCACAGACGCCGGAATCCTTCACCGATGGAAAGCCAATTCTACACTACCATCTCGCCGGCGCAAAGGCGACAATCCCACAGTCACAATGCGGCAGCCTGGCCGTCTTTCCCCAGGATACTGCTGCGGCACCAAACGACTCAAATGATGGTGAAGCTGCTGAAGAGCTAGCAGAGCAAACTGTCGATGTTTTTGCGACTTCAGAGTGCGTGCTTCATCCTTGATTGTCCGAGTGTTCGTGGTTATTGACCTGCAGCCAGAAACTTCATCATCTTCAGCCACCAAGCCGAAGCCGGTGTCTCGATCCCTTACCCTTCCATCTCTATTCACGCTCTCAAAACGGTCAATAGCTCGCAAGCTGTCTGGATGCAGCTTGACCTCGCCGACGGCGGCAGCGACGACACCGACTTCCAAACTGTCGAGCTTACCATCATCCCACCAACCTCCTCCGAAGCCAATTCGGCGCAACAGCTGTACGACGCCATGGCCAACTGCTCCGATTTACATCCTGACCCCGAAAATGAGGAAGACGACGACAATGAGTATGACCGCATTGTCTTTGAGGGAAACGCTGGTCACGAAGCCATTGAAGGGTTCACTGGCGTTCTACGCGGAGTTACAGATGGTGGGCTGCCACCTCCTATGCCTGGTAGCGGCGGTTGGATCACAGCGGATAATGTCCACGAGTACTTTGACGCGGATGGCAATTGGATAGGTGGAGAGCAGGAAGATGAGGAAGAGCCTGAGGAGCTTGGAGAAGGAGCTGGTAGAACCCGCCCACGAGACGAGCTCGAGAAGGAAGATGATGTCAACGGACACGATTCGGCTGAGGATCCGGAGAGCAAGCGGCCAAGAGTGGACAATGGAGACAGCGCGTAAGCTGCGATTATTGCAAGTAGACTGGATACTGCGGAAAGATGGTATGGCGTTTAGGTTAGAAATAAGGGGTTTGTGTAGGTCCCCTATTCATTTTCTTTTTCTCAATATATGGAGGATGAAAAGCTAGTGAGTATCACACATCAAGTTGTCGATTTGTGAACAAAAGAAAACTAAAGATTAGATTTAAAGGTGCCATAGGCCGCTACCAACTAATATACATATATCTACTCAAAAACTCCTTGTCCCTTATTATTCAACATAGAAACCAAAAAGATTTGTTGCACACAATTACATTAGTATCCCTCACCATCGTGTCTTCCGAACAGAGGTAAAGAAAAGCCAAATATTACATCTTCAACATCACTCGTTCACGCCCTCAAGCGTTTCTTCTTCGCGTCTCTTTCGGGCGAGCTGAGCAAAAACCCATCATTGTCATAGAGCCCCAAGCTCTCTATACTCGTTCGACGCAGATCCAGTTGCGGCTCCGCCTCAATAAGCTCCTCCACGGGGCTGATTTTCTGCTTCAGCATCTTCGGCGAGATGCCTTCAATGATCTCGACACTAGGCTTATTATAACTGAGGTTGAGGCTCTGCGTCTGCCGCTGCATCTGCATCTGCGGCTCGGAATCAAGCGCTTCGTCCAAGATACAGGACAACCGCAGTCCCAGCCCTTGGAAATCTTTGCCGTAATGGCAAGTTTCTGAGCGGCGGTGCCGTGCTCCCCGTGTGCTATATCGGGAGGTGACCATGGACTTTGTGTTTCCGACGTTGAGATAGTGTTTGCTGCCGATGTTTGCGGTGCTGAAGCGGATGGACCGTGATTTCGCCAACGCGCCGCTGCCGCTGCTGCTGAGCGATGCTGGTAGAGTAGGTGAATCTCCCTCTCCACCAATTGCTGAAGCCAAGGACGCCACACTGTACGTACTCAATACGCTATTCATGCGACGCAGTTCAGCGATGGTGCTGCTGAGTCGAGGGCCGTGGATAGATCGATGAGAAGGCGAAGCCGTTAGCGTACCAGCTTGGTGATCAGCAATGAAAGACTCCAAAGTGTAAGTAGAGCTTGCGGTCGACGCTTGTCTCATCAAACCTCCTCGTGGCGCTGGCGAAAGAATTGTGACGATGCTGCCATCTGGACCTGTGATGCTAGGCGGAGGCAGCGGCAAGGATCGCTGAGACGGTGCCGTGGCCATCAAGAGGGACATAATCTCTCGCTCGTCGTAGGGTGATGACGACGATGACATTTCGGAGAACTTTGATCTTCCCGTTGGTGTCGTGGGGCTAGATGACGCCGAGTCGCTGCTGTCAATCCAGTCGACTCTGGCCGTCTCGTTCGCAGGAACCTCGGTCACATCAGAATCAACAGACATCGAGACGAAGCTAATTTCTGAGGGAGCCTGAGGAAGATACGGAATCTGTGAAAAATCAGATCCGTTGGCACCGGCATTTGTTTCGTATTCTGTCGATTGTGGTTCGAGCAGCAGGGGAGACATCAAGCCCCCGTAACCTATATCGGGCGGTGACATCGCTGAGAGAGGCCTCAATGGCGGCGGGCACGAAGGCTCGCCCGCTATGAATCTTGTCAATAACGGTGAGCTGAGCGTCTTTACTCGTCTCTGTAACTCGACATTTGCAGGGCGCTGCCGTGCTTGCCAGCTTGGCCACCTCCTTGGCCCCCCCTTTTCCACAAAGGGGTCATCCACCTGTCTTTGCCTGGGTCTCTCTTCTTCTGGCTCGTTTGTGCTGTAAAGAGTGGAAAGCGAACTCGATTTGTCGCTGTCAAAGGACATACGATGCTCGGGGTTTCTTTGCGGGGGGCGTTGCTGTGGTGGTGGCATCGAGTGATGTTGTACTTGCGGGGGAGGCAATTGCGGATATTGCAGATGGGGGAATTGCATTTGAGCGGTCTGCATCTGAGGAATCATCATCATCGCTATATGGGTGTTCTGTCTCTGTTGACTGTTTCGTGGAGGGCTGTGTCTTTGCAGACTTTGTGACTGATCAGTTGTGTTTCGAGTTCTGTCAGAGCTTCCAGTTGTCTCTATCCGCCGGTCCTGCTGCTGCTGCTCTCTTCGAGCGCCTCTGACCTTGCTGGGGCTTGAACAAGCCCCTGGAAGTTTGAGTTCTTGTGTCGCTGCCGCAATCAGACTATTCGCAGCACTGCCAACACTGCTGGTAGAGTTATTGCCGCTTATTTTCTGAGATGAGCCTTTCTTAGGCGGACTTCCCGACACGCGAAGGCTGCCGCTCGATCTTCCAGATGCTGTGGTGCGTTGGCTGTTATGGCTGTGAATCGTCTTTGTAGGTGATCCATTTACACCAGATGATCTGGATCCCTTAATGGGAGACTGTGATTTCTTCTCAGAGAGCCTTCGCTCAGTCGATCGCAAGATACCCTTGAGATCTGAGTCCGTTACTGAAGGCCTTACGTGTGCTGGCTGAGGAACAGATATTCTCGGTGGCCCAGACGACCCAACTCCTGTTGGTACGCCATTAGAATGCATTGACGAGTTTGACATTGGAACCATTCTCGGCTCGGTCTGGCTGCGTGGCAACCATCTCGGCTGAGGATGATGCAGAGGCACTTCAGCTTGCATTTCCACTTCCTCCGGAACCGCAGCAACGTTGGGAAGTGTTGGCGCCATGGTAAATCGGCCATCTCCCCCAAACCACGACTCTCGCGCGTTCCTCTTGTTCCTCGCCATCCTGGGTCCGTGCATATCGTCCTCGTCCACCCAACTCCTCGATCTCTTCCTCCCCCTCGAAACGGTCCTTCGCCTCTCAGGCATCGGAAAGCTCTCATGTGTCGGTAATGGCGGCGGTTCATCATTTGGTCCAACGAATGAAAACCGGCTGGAAATTCGACTGGATAGCTTGCAGAAAGATTCAGAACCCAGAAGTCGTCGCTTGGTCAATCGCGAAGACGACGGTGGTAGCCCATAGTTTTGAGCCGCGAATGAATAAACCATCTGCGGTCCAGGACCACGACTCTTCTTCACCCACCAGACAAGAAGCAAGCCAACCGTTGTGAAAAACAGGATGCCACCGCAAAGAGCAATAGCAAGCAGCCATCCCAATCCTATGGGATGGTCAACATGTTCGGGATCCCGCCGGACCAGGCGCGTCGCGTAGCTCATGTTTGTTGCTGCTCAGTTAGTGTCATTCGACGACTTCCACCTCAGTTCATCACACGGCAGTGTCGTAGGCGAACTGGGATACTGACCAGAAGCGCACGCGTGTAAGAGCCAAGAAGCAGAAGGATTCAAAAGGACAGGAGCAATTGCGTTTCGGGCCCTTGGCCTTTTGTCGTTGTTTCTGGGAGAATAACATCGTTTGCAATGAAGAGGGCCATTGCTTGAAGTTTGATTGTTGCTGCATCTCAGGAATGCGTTGCCTGGCCCGATCCATTCCACTCAGACCACCATACGCCTGACCCTCTACTGTAAAAACTGGGAATTTGAGACTTGACAACAAGTCAAGCATGCAGTGTTCCGTGTATAAATAAACACCTAGTGATGCCAAAAATATGATAAATAAAACGGCTCTGCCACTATTCATAGTTGGGCCCATTGTGATACTCTCCTTACCTTATCTTACAAGGGAGGGTTGTCTCTTTATTCTCTATTATACCGTGCCAGTCGCGCGCAATGTAGGAGCACCAAGGCATAAGAAAAAGAAAACATATCAAAGCCTCACATAAATTGAATAAATAAAATTAAATCTCACTTAATTGATTGTCACGTAATGCATCTGCCTGCGCAGCTCTCGTTAAATCTTTTGATGCCAAAGACTGGATAAACATCTTTTTTTACCCTATGAACAAAGCCAGCAGCCAAATGTTGATTCAATCATGCCACACTAAGCCCCTAACTATCTGGATCCTGTCCAGATTCACAAGAAAATCTTTCAAAAATGACGAAAAAGGAGGACATCAGCCTAGTCTATCTTTCTCACAGATTTAGAGCTGTCCCTGGCCGTAGACGTGGTTGTGGCCGTGGCCGTGACCGTGAGCGCTACGTCGGTGCTTGGCAGGACGAGCACCAGTCGCGGTAACAGTCACAGTGGTCGAGGGCTGGGGCTCCTCAGTAACGGTAACGTAGGCCTGCTTCCAAAGGATTTCGCTGACAACATGGCCAACAGTGATGTACTGAGTGCTGATGACAGCACCCTCGGCAGCTGGAGCACCTGTGGCTGATGGGTTGCCAGACTCAACAGCAGCAATCTGGAAGCCATATGAACTATCCGTGGCCGCCTCCTTGAAGACCTGGCCGGGGAGAGGAGAGCCCTTCACAGGCGCGGTCACACCAGGCTGGTAGGGCAAGGTAGGAGCAGCACCGCCCTTGGTAGGAGTAGCACTGGGCTTGCTGTGACCGCCGTGGCTGCTAGAGGCAGGGCCAGTTCCACCAACTACATCACCTCCGGGGAGCTGGTTGAAAGGACCGTTGCCAGCTTCTCTACGCAGGTTCGCGGGCATGTCCTCCAGGGTGCACTGTTCAGCTACACTCTGGTCAACGATGTTGAAAAGGGGGCAATCCTGAATAAGACCAGAGGGGTTTGTGCACGTGTTAACGGCCTGCTGCAAGAAGTCTTCCTCCCAGCCCATGATGAAGTCACCGTGGAGTCCATAACCTAGCAGCATGTCAGATATTGCCATTTCTTAAATGGTTTGCGTGTTAAACTTACCAGTCACATCTCCGTTGGACATGACGAATTGGCCATCACGACCAGCATAGGCATTGGTGTTCCAGATAATCTCAAACAGCATGCTAGGAAGACGCTCAGGGTAGCCTTCGGGGCAGTTACCGGTCATGACAAGGTCAGGGAAAGCAACGTGGTCCTTGTGGTTGGCGCTATCAGTTGCGTCACCTCCCTTCCAGCAAGATGGGAACATGATCTCAAAACGGATACCATCTGCGCAGTTGGCATCGAGGTACGCCTTATCGGGCATGAAGTGGCGATACAGGGTGCCCTCAGGAGCCTTGGCATAGTTGAGGCAGTTGAAGCCAATGGCACGCTGAGCCAAGATCTCCTGGGTAGTTTGACCCAGAGAAGCCCAGAGAGATTTTGCGGGATCTGGCTGAGTTGGGTCACCAGCAGTGTAGGTGCGGCGGCTAGTGTCGCCAGCGACCATGCGGAAATTGGTAGGGAAAGCCTTGATGTTGTCTCCATAGAGAAGATAGTATCTAGTACCTCTTATTAGCTGGGCTGTCTGGAAGATGGAAGTTTTTGAATACGCAATGAGGCCACTTACGCAAGCATACCACCAACTTGGGGGACCAGCTCGAATTGCTTGGTCTTGGCATCTTGGAAGTACAAGGCTGGGTGCCAGTAGGCAGATTTATCTTGTGTCACACGGCATGATGTACAGTTGCCGTTGAGGAGTTCGGGGGTACCAGAGGTTTCGGAAAAGCCTTGAAGAGCATGTCAGTGGCAACATCTTATAGATGAATCTAAATCGGGGCCAGGAGTTGGAGACTGTGTAAGACGAGGACAATTTATCGAAGGAGATAGTGACATATCTCACAGCAATCGGTCACCTTGGAGGCATAACGAATCCAATAGCCCTGAAAGAAACCGGTACTCACCTGACGATCCGTGAATAGCGTGCATGTGAGGCGAATCCACACCCGGGTAAACGACCGGGTCCATTCGTGCGAGACCAACACGTCCCTGGCACTCCATACGCCAGAAGGCGTCGGCAACGGCGACCAGCCCCGCGGTGACGGCGACTACAGACTTGAGCATTGTGATAGATGATTATCCAACCTCAAGGTGTTGCTCCAGGCAAGACTGATATCAAGAGTTGGTAAGGAGTGGACGACGCAACGAGGCTATCTAAACAGAGTGTTAGCGGTTTTGCGGGCCGCAGTCAATTGTAATGAAAGACAAGAATAGAAAGGAGTGAATTGACGAGAATGAGAGGAGTGAAGAGTGAGAGATGAGAGAGCGGAATCAGATATGATAGAGAGGAGAGGCATGGCAGAATGCGGTGAGAGCCTGCAATAAGAAAAAGGAAGGCGGTCCAAAAGGCTGCGGCTCAGGAGGAAGGCGCAACAGCATCACCAATCGAATAAACTTGGCAGGAAGCAGATCAGATGTATCCTCAACCGCAAGGCCCGTCACTAACGGAGATTTTTCCTCGTACATCTGCAACTTCACAGAATGACGCAAAAGGCACTTGGTGTAATCGGCCAATTTCCCTCGTCAAGTAGCAGCTGCGCCGAAGAGCCAATCGCTTCATTGTGATCCGTTGCGTTTGCGGGTTCCCTGCAGGTCGAGGTAGGCCAGATCTGTATGCGCCGCTGGGTATGTCTTCTCGGAAGGGCTGTACATGATGCCAAATGAAACTGTCAAACTGCAAAGTAGGCTTACCAAAGTATCGTCGTTGTCGTCAAACCTCCCCAAAAGAGAAAACGGGTCGAGGGCGATGCACAAACTTGTGAAAGACTTTATCTCTCCTGCTACTTTCCCAACCTCGCGAAACTGCTCCTAAACTAAGGATTCCAGAGAAGAGTCTTTCGGTCGTTTGATTCAGCACGTGTCCAACCACCAAAAAGAATTCCTCGCAGCACGTCAGTCGCGGTGTACCAAGTACCAAAGTTTCCGCTTTGCGACACAGTCGAAACGGTCCGATGGGAATCGATACAGTCGGTGGCCAAGTTGTCCGAGTTGAAATCACAGCTTATCGATGCGCAAAAGGTTGTCAATTCAAAGAATGCAGAGAAAAATCGGATAAGAGCGATATCCAAAGAAAGTCAGAATAATCGAGTCCCAGAGTATGGAAGGAATGTGTATAGACAATTGAAAGAAGGAATGTACGTTGGTCGGCCGAAAGGAATGGTAAAGAACGTGGGAATGCAGAGCAAAACACACGACAAAGCGTAAAGAGAAAGGAGCAGCGCGAAATGAGGGATGAGAGTGGTAGTAGTAGTATACGGGTTATTAAGGGCGATCTTGCTATCGACAAGGGATGGGGGACTCCAGGTCCTCGCGCCAATACCGATGTTCGGGGAGTTTGGTAGGGAAAGAGAGTCAAGGACAGGCCCTAGGGATCGATGAAGAGAATGGGAGAGATGGTGGATGAGACCAACAGCAACCGGCACGGTGCACCGACTGCCTCTGCCGCTACACTACGACTACGACTACCATCGCGGCCAAGGTTTTGAGAAGTACAATAGCCGGCTATCAGGCATCTCTCGTTGGCCATGCACCGGGGGGAGCACTAAAAGCAGATTACGGAGGATCAAGGGTCGACAGTGTACCCCAACAATGGACCAGTCAGGCCTCGTTCTGGGTAGCCCGACTTTCCAAACGCGGCAAATTCGAATGGCCACGGTCACTAGCAGGGGTTTCGATGAGGAGCATCTTTGCGATGAGAGGGGCGTTGAAACTTCGCTTGCCGCGAGGTATTTGCCTAGGTTTGCTTGGGATGAGATGATGTAATGACTCTCTCTGCGACTGATTGGCCAAAGAGTCTAAGAAATTTAGAGACATGGAGTTGAACAGGGATACTCATGGTGCCCCTGGGGAGGTTTTTTTTGTCCGACCCGCGTGATGATACCACTTCAGGGACCATTACTCCGTCGACTGGGATATCATGAACAAAGCTTTCAGCCGACATCAATGCAATGCTTAGCCCCCTACTGCTCGCTAGGGAGGCTGTAGATGGAGAAGAAGATGGACTCAAGTTCTGCCTCCTGAATCCAACTTATGCACATGACCGTTGAGGTGAGTTTGGACCCTGCATCAGGAACAAGGCTTGCGGCTGAGAAACAGACGACACTAGATTTCAGCCAGCCGAACGCCAGCCGCTGCTCCTCATCTATAGCGCCCCTGTGGTGCGGCCGCCTGCGCCTGTAGTTAATTGCACATCTTATTCCAACCACGAAACAGCTTGGAACTTTGCACAGCTTCTGGCGCCTATGACGATGCCGGTGGAGCCTCAGGCCATGCGATGCGTAAATAGGCTGGGGGGGCCAAGCATGTCGCTTCCCGTTCATCTCAATTTTGCATCGCAGAACCAGGAGAGCACAGCAGTCGGTCAAGCCGTAGATTCGTGGGACCGCAGAGGGCCAGGCAAGCCCTGTACTCGACGGCAAACGAAATGCTGTGGTTCATGAGTTGTTCGCACGACATGGGCCATCGAAAGAGCGAGCACCGTGCAGCAGGATAGCCTTTCTTTATTCGAGGCCGTCGTAGCGCTTGTTTGCTACTTTTTCTTGCCACGGGATGACGGCGCACTCGCATAAGGCCATGGATTTTCAGGGGCGCCAAGATGGAGGGGCCACCACAAATATGCATTGCATTGCATTAGGGAGACCCTGCGGTCATTTGAAACGGTTTCATCAGCAACGCCGACCAATCAGATATCAGAATCTGCCCCAAAGCAGCAGCCCCTGCTTCTTGTGCCTGGCGGGAAGACGAAGCCAACGCAGAAATGAAGAGAGAAGCGATGTTGGCTCCCAAATCTGTGCAAGTCTGTTTGCTGCTCCATAATGGCAAATAAGATACAAGGTTCGCTCTGAGGCGTAATCCTCTATGCTCGTCTGCGGGAAATCATCTAGGCTCGGTGCAGCTGCCTCCTGGCTTGTCTGTTTGAGCCTCCCTCTCCTCAAGGATTCAGAATGAGGGGCTATGACTTTGTTTGTTCTAGAAGGCCCTGCCTCTACAACGACCCCGTGGAGTTCGGAATATCGCACATGCCTTTTCTACTCTCTTGTGATACAGTAAGCGAGGCAAGTCCGAATGCACCTTGATCGTCTTGCCGTATTGCCAGAATCATCTCATCTCGCTGGGCTTCCGGTACGAGCATCCATGTGATGTGAAGCTATCGCCGAGACTTGGCATCATTCAGCGGCCTGTAAAAGTTCTGCCCTTGGATTTGGCGAGATACAATGCACGAGTTCTTTCGGGAAGAGCGAGGCTGTTAACGAGTATGAGCATGCTCTCTCAGGAGAGCCGGAATATGAACCGGCGACCTTTACGATGTTGATCTAAGGGGTCTGTAGTCCGCCAAGATCACTAGCATCCAGCTGAATCGTTTAGTTTTGACAGCTTCTGATCCGATGACGAAATCGACAAGAGCCCAATGTTTTGGTTTGCCAGGAATCCATATCCGTATTCCGATCAATGTGATTTACTAGCCTAACGAAGAAAACGATCGACAAGTGATTCACAATCCCAGACACGTTATTCGCCAGGGGCATTTATGGTGTTCAGTTCGGAATACTGCTCCTTATGGATCACTACAACTTGTGCGTGCGAGTAATGGCGTTCTACATACTGTATGTAGATATGCTCACATGTAAGTCATGAAGCTTGATATCTAATGGTCAACAGAAAGTAATTCTTTGAAATATGCACACGGAACTTCTGGGTACTCGCGCAGTCGCATGAAAAGGGGAGTTTGGGCAAACAGCCGTGTCGAAAGTCGGGTGACCTTCACAAAATATTGAGGCTATATAATGTAGATTAAGGAGATGAGGTAGCATCAAACAACGTATCCGACGTGGTGTAGTGGCTAGCATACCGCGCTTTCATTAGAAAGTCCCGCGGCGATCCGGGTTCGACTCCCGGCGCCGGAATTCAATTTTTGATCTTTTGCCTTTCTTTCACTCGCCTACCCTACATCTCTCTATTTTGGTCGATTTTTTTGATAGTGTGCGCAAGTCAAGATAGCAAATATTTGATTGATCGATGTTTAATTGTTTATATCCTTTTTGTTTCTTTTCAGCTATATCGCAACATATCATATGCGATATGACCTATTGGCGAGGATAGTAACAAGAGTAGCTGCTATAAAACAACAGTGTGGGACCACTACAAAGTACAGACAGCACATCGAGTGCAGGTGACCAATCAACTTTCTGTCTCAGTATTGAGAAGCATTGGGAAAGTTATTTGGCACATTAATCAGAGTCATAATATGGGATTCTCAAACGCAACTGCATACTCACTTGATGCGAAACAGAGAGCATTTGCTGTCATCAATGAGGTCATGTGACCCGGAGCTGCAGACAGATTCGCGCAGCTGCCAATGATACCAACCGGAACCCCTGCTTTTTATAGTCGGCGGTTCGCGCAATCTAAGGATCCCCCTCTATGGGGCCAAGCGGGAGCGATAGCCTCAGCCTTCATCGCGACAACGGACCGGCTATGATTGACATCTCACGATAGCCAGCAACGCCCTTTTCACCATGGATGACCTTTCAGGGCTCGATTGGTCTGCGGACGCATCGGCCAACAAGCCGAAACCGATGGCTGTCAACCCTTCATATCCCCCGTTTCGATCGTCGCCGTCTCCCTTTGGCACGGGACAGAGCACGCCTTTGTCCGCTCAGAAGTCAAGCAGCCCAGCGCCCAAGGCGGCTCCTGCAAAAGCTGCGCAAGATAGCTTCAGCAACCTGAGCTTTGGTCTGCCAAAGGCTACTCAAAACCTGTCACTGGCTGAGAGACAGGCGCAGCTTGAAATCGAGAAGCGGAAGAAAGAAGAAGAGAGACGGAAGCTGGCAGAGGCGCAGTTCGGAAATGGTCAGCAATGGGACTCCCTAGGGTCTCGAGGCTTCACGCCCAGCCCGGCACCCAAACAACAGCCTGCACCCGTCAAGAGCGCAGCAAATGACGATGACGATCTATTCGCGGCGTTCAACAGAGACACCAAGGTTGACAATGCTAGCCATTACCCCCCACCTCCGCCAGACAGAAGCAAGCTTGACTTGGCCGACCCCTCAGCATGGGGATCAACGACGGCGGCCTCCAGCAGCGGCGGCGCTGCTTTCGAGCCAGAGGATGATGATCCTTTTGGATTGCACGAGGTGAAGCCTGCTGCCTCAACTGGAGGTGGCCGGGGCGCCGCCACCAGCGCAGACGACTTTGATTTCTTGGGAGATCTCGGACGACCAGTGGACGAGGTTCGAAAGGAGCAACAGGCCAAACAAGAAGCCATACGAAGCGAACCAGGAAAGCCGATTGAAGATGACTCGAGCTCCTCCGACGATGACGAACCTATAGAGCGAAACGTTGAGCGGGTGCCTAGGGTGAACAAAGACCCCTTCGACAAAGCTGTTGCGCAACTTGTCGATTATGGATTTACACCCGAGCAGGCCAGGAGGGGGCTTGTGGAGAGCGGAACGGGTTTCAATGCGCAGGCAGCTGCCAACTGGCTCCTGGACGAGGCTCATAGGAAGTCCAAGGAGGCATCGCAAGGTCGGAGTTCCCAGGGTAGAAGTTCTGCCGCCACAGGAAGCCAAAATCAGCGTAGCGACAGCCGGTCTCCTGCCAGAGGAGAGACCGATTTTGCAAAGACAGCTGCTGCCATGGGAAACACCCTGTTCAAGTCTGCCAACACCCTGTGGAAGACGGGACAGAAGAAGGTGCAGCAGGCAGTTGCAGAACTCCAGCAAGACGTAGGATCAGACCCAACCCAGCCAAAATGGATGCGAGATGCTCAGCAGGCGCGGGGTCAGCCGAGGCCTCAAAGAGCTGATGCCGATGTCACAGACGAGGCCCTTATGCTCGAGTCGGGCGGTAGGCCGCAGCAAGCCAGGAGCAGCAGCAGCAGCCGCCATGCCGTAGACCCAAGAGCTGGTCCCCCAGGCCCCCAGATTTCGCGAACATCATCACCCGCCCTGTCCTCAGGAACACAAAGTCGGAATAGTCCTGCCCCACGATGGCAGCAGCAGACTGCGCCGCCGCCAATGATTCCAGATGCAAGATCAAGGCTCAACAGGCTAACAGCAGATGATGATGACAGCTTCTCCAGCTACGTAAGTGCCAGCAGGAGAAAGAAGGCCAGCCCAGCACCGGAACCACCAAAGAAGACGGAACCTGAACCCGACCTTTTGTTTGGTTCGCAGGCACCAAAACCATCACAGCGAACTCCGTCTCCGGCAACCCAGAGACTGGCAGCTCCAAGTCGGCCTCAGCCTGCGCCGGCGCCCGCACCTCCGCGCAAAGTTACACCTAGACCTACCAGACAGGTTCCTCCCATTAGCCCCGATGCGTTACGGGCGTCAACATCGCATAGACTACAGGGAACCACGCATTTCAAGCGTGGCGATTATGCCGCGGCCCATTCATCTTACTCATCGTCTCTATCCTCTGTTCCTTCTACGCATCCCCTGATGATCGTCTTGCTTACAAACCGTGCTTTGACGGCCCTGAAAACTGGAGAACCTAAACAAGCAGTGACCGATGCAGACGAGGCACTGAAGATTATTGGGCCTGGGAATGGCCAGGGAGAGACTGTGGCTGTGAGAAATGAATCTGGACAGGACGAGAGCCGTGATATGAAAGAGCTCTACGGCAAAGCACTGAGCAGGAAAGCAGAGGCCTTGGAGCAGATGGAGAAGTGGGCAGAGGCCGGCGCTGTATGGAAGCAATGTGTCGAAGGCGGTGTTGGTGGACCTACCGCTGTCAAGGGCCGCCAGCGATGCCAGGACGCCCTCACTCCTAAGCCCAAAGCTGCGCCGAGACCTGTGGTGAAGCCTCGGCCCCAGCCAGCTGCCAGCCGTGCACCGCAGAAGGACTCGGAAGCGGTTACCAGGCTACGTGAGGCTAACCAAGCCGCTGCCAAGGAGGACGATGAGAAATTTGCCCTTGCGGATAAGGTCGATGCTAAAGTGTCCGCCTGGAGAGATGGCAAAAGAGAGAATCTGCGGGCTCTGCTGGCCAGTATGGACCAAGTGCTCTGGGAAAGCAGTGGATGGAAGAAGGTTGGGCTGCACGAGCTGGTAATGGCGAACAAGGTCAAGATTACGTACATGAAGGCCATTGCAAAGACTCATCCCGACAAGGTAAGAGATCATTTGAGATTTAAACCGATGAACTTGAGAAACATGCTTACTGGATTGTTAGCTTCCACAAGATGCGAGTACCGAGGTTAGACTTATTGCTGGATTGGTGTTTAGCACCCTGAACGAGAGCTGGGACAAGTTTAAAGCGGACAATGGTCTATGAAGTGGCATACTTGAGAGCGTTCTTTGGTAAAGAGGGGAGTGGCAGTAAAGACGGCGAAGTGGCAGTTTTATACTGGGTGATGACGACGGCAACGATGTTGATGATGGATACAGATACACAGTGATTTTCAGTGTTTACCCAATTGTTTCTCTTCTCCTTGGATTATCTTCGCCATACGCCATGCTAGCCCCCAATCATACATACACATGTTTATATAACAAATACATTAGAAGTCGCAACCCTATCCGTTGAGATGAAGCCCATCCAGACCACATCGTGTATACCCATCTCTGCTTCTATCTTATTCGCTTTGTATTTTTCGATTTTTCGATAGGAGATAAAAGCCTTGAAAACGGCCTGCTCTCACAAACCCAACATGCGCCGAACACCGTCGCGGACCGTCTTCTCGTACTCATCCCGGCGCTCGCGCCACATCTTGGCGGCCTCGACGTTGGCGGGGCTCTCATCGTTGGGCTCAGCTAGCATGCTCATAACAGAGATGAGGATCTTTTCGACGGACTGGATGGGGGACCAGCGCTCGGAGGCGTGCTCGTAGTGGTTGGGGTCGTCGCCGGGAGGGTGGAGGATGGAGATGCAGACGAGGCCGCTGGGGTAGACTGGTTTTGCACATTTCATTTAGCTTCTACCTCAACATGTCTCTTGAAAATTGTTCGTTCCCATTGCTGTTGTGGGAATACAAATGCATTGAATGTGGGTATAAAGGGAAATCGAGTGCCCATACCGTTCGGATGCCACATGTCGGCGAGAAACTTCATCGTCGGCGGCGCCAGCGGATAGTCCTTGGGAAACTTGAGCTCTGCGGGAAAAACGCCGCCCTCAAAGGGAGTTCCTTCGGGGCCCTGGATGAGGCATTCCCAGTGCAGCAGGTCGTCCTCGGAGACGGGGCCGGCGGTGATGCCTTCGGGCGGGTTGTTTGTGAGGGCGCGGTATTCTTGGAGGAGGCGGCGGTGGGCGGTGGATTGGGCCATGGTGGGCGGATGACCCGCGAGAGAATGGAGAAAAGTGGAAGAGGGAAGAGGGAAGAGAGAATGTCGTTCTTTTGGTGGTTTTGGGATTGTTTGGATGTTGAAGAGAGTTGGAGGTTTTGGGTAACAAGCGGCGGAATCGGAGCCGCGGCTTAGGTGGAACTTGGAGCGGGCGTGGCGTTGGCGTGGCGGGGTTTCGGGGCGTTAAGATCTTGAGACTTGTGGCGTCGTTTTTGTTGTCTGCGCCACAGTTGGGTTTGAGTACTACAAGAATGTACGTACAGACACCGACGTGCCGCTGTGTCACAATTGCATTCCTATGGCTAAATGAAATGGTGTATTGACAAATAAATGACTTTCAGCTTGTGTTTCGTATTATGGAATGGCATTATGGCATACAAGTGTCGGCTAAATGTTTGTTGCCAATGAGGCTAAGAAGCTGGTACCCCGATTTCTTTCAGGCATTTTACTACTCGATATGAAGTACTTTAGCTGCTCTTTTATGCAGAGAGCGGAATATTTTCCAGATAGATGGTCCTGTGTATAGCATAGAACAAGAGTATTATGGGCAGAAACTGAGTGCTGCCCCTAAAAAACGGCATCTCGTGTATGCAGTACATAGTACAGTATGGGGAAATTGATACTACCTTCCAGCTGCCTTCTATATGCGAGCTGCATGTTTCAATGACTGTCTCATGCGGCGATACGAAGCGGCTGAGAAGAGTATGACATGTACGCCTTTTCAGCTGAAGCCGCGCATTTACTTGTGCTATAAGAGACCTCACCATTCCCCCGAATCCTTTGGAGGCGCATCTTCTTCAATTTTTACAGTGATAATCCAAGTGAAGTATTCAACTTGATAATATGAGATTCTTCACGTCTCTCTTCCTCGTCCTTGTGGGAGCTGCTGCTGCTTCCCCCTTAATGGAGCGCCAGGATGACCCTGATTGCTACGACATTTGCTTCAGTGGACCTCTGCCATGTCCTTCAAATAGAGTATGTGTAATGTGAACAAGACTCATGTTATCTAATGCTCAGCTACTAACGTAACTGTGCACAGGTTTCCAAGGAAATAGTGAGCTTCTTCCTAATTTCACCTTCCATTCCATGGTAATAGTGCTAATACTTATGGTCAAAAGGATGGCTGCTGGACTTGCTGCCTTGTGTGAAATACAATGAATTCAATCGAAGCTGGCATCTCTAAAACCACCAAATTTTCTTCAGTATACGTACTCAGATACATCAAGTCATACATCAAGCCAGATTGTCCTCCCTAGTTACATCTCCTCTCCAAATTACTTGTTTCCGTAGTAAAAAGCTCAGTGAATCGTCCCAGTTCTATAGCACAGCCCAGTCAATTCAATCCCTCTGCATCCCCTTGCTACATCACACAGCAGTCATGGCCTCTAGCCCTTATCACCGGTTCATTGAACGCAATCGCCTTCATGGCCTCTTCAGGCCAATACATGAAATTCGCCAGAGTTCCTCCACATTTCTCAAATGTCTTTGCCATCGTCTTCAGGAGTTCGTCGTCCTTGCCATCGAGAGCACGCAACGAAACAAGCAGTCTTTTATCTCCTTGAAAGGCGGCCAGGTCCTCACGGGGTTCTTTGGTACTATACAACGCCCTAATCATGGCGCTGCCGCTGGTTTCAGCCTCCTTCTCGAGCTCTTCGAAATACTGCAGAAATCGTATTGTGATCCATAGATAGTTGAGGCTCGAGAGGGGTCGAAGCCCACCGCAGAGGTCGCCGTGGATGTCATTCCAAAGCATGCTCAGGACCATTTCAGCCATGAATTCACTATCTCGGATTTCTTCATTATTGCGTGACTTGATTGGTGCTTTGCAGGTGTTCCGGAGCCAGGAGAGCTGTGTAGAAGCGCAATCCGGTAAGCGGAGCGTCATTCGAGAGAGCAATGTCTGCCTGTCATTCATCAAGGTTTCGAAAATTGGATCAAGAGCCATTACGAAGAGCTCATCCATACCCGCGAAATGAGCTCGCTTGACTAATTCCGTTTTCTCCAACGTCCAAGGACACGATGCTGAGTTGCGAAAGCGTCTCGTTTGGTTGAGCCGAATCATACCCAGAGCAGACCACGGCTCAATATCGCAGTCCGGGATGCGTGATGGATCCCAATCTGCCTCTTGATAGAGAAGCAAAGTCGACTTCTGCTTGAAAAGGCGAAGAACAACCAGGCCTAGAAACTCGCGGGCGCTGGTAATTGTGGATGTTGCTCGCCGATTTGCCCGATCCTGAAGAAATTCCTTGCGAGTCACCATCTTGTGAACGTGGGCTTGAAAATTTTCGACAAATTTATCCTTGGGGCGCACTCCTCTATAGTAGAAGCTTTCGGAAAACACATCGTCCAACCGATTGTACACAGATATAGGTCGTGTGAGGTATCCCTTTTGCACTAGCATGTTGTGCAGATGAAGGACCAGCATCGGTTCTCGCATTCTATCCCACAGAACCATGATGCTTCGATAAGTGAGCTCGATTGCTTCCGCCAGGCCGGCGCCGCAGAGAAAAGGAGAGTAATCCCACACGCCATTGAAACTTGTCGCCGAGAACCGAGAGGGCAGTACGGCCCCTAGCTGTTGGAAGAGTAGACATCTTCCCAAGGCGGCGTTGAATTCAATACCGAGTTTCTCAAGAACCACAATGCAGTCCATCGTGTGCTCGAAAGCCTTGTCAGTCGTTTGGAAGCGCTGATACGTCGATTTGAGATTCTCAGTGTCCAGGAAGAAACCATGGCCCGATGCTGCCGGGTCCCCTTGACCGAGGAATATCTTCAAATCACGCCTCGGATGAAAGCCTTTTGCAGGATCGATGATGATATGGCCCTCTACACCGCTGATTGTCCATCCGCGAGAAATGGTCCAGGCATCCATAATGCACTGAAGGTAGAAGACGAGGTGAGAGGGGATCTTGTGGCTAAAGGCAGTGCCGGGCTTCTGCATCGCAAGCGTCGTCACCTCTGCGGCGAAGTCGATCAAGCCAAACATCCGGTGATGAGATTTCAAGGGGCCAGCGTTGGACCAGTCCACTTGGTCCAATACATAGTCTTCTCCCTTGGCATCCTTACCGAACAGAGCAGCACACGCAGTGACATTGACAAGATCGTACAGCCAGTTGATTGTATAACTGCGCCTCCACTTGATTCTCTGCTCCTTGGTAACATCTTTCAAGTTGACATGAGGATGCCACTTGTCAAGCTGAGCAAGCATCCGCTTCGTCGGCTTTCCGCTTCGTGTCTTCTGATAATCCGTGATGAAGTCGACGAGATCTTCGTATGCATGGATCAGGAAAAGCTCCTTGATATCTAGCGAGACTTCAGTTGTTTTGGCCGAGTCTTCCCCCTTATGGGGCTCGATGGTAAGGCGAAACTCCTTTTCCGCTTTCTTGACGTCCCCTTGCGTGAGGGTGTGCATGACCATCTCAAACGATTCGTAACCCGGAAAGTCGACAAAAATCGTAGATTCGGATTGCTTGACCATTCCCACAGCGATTTTGGCAGTAGTAGCTGCTACTGCAGTATTCAGGTTCTTGTAGGCTACTCTCTGCCAAAAATCCTGCAGGAATGATCGAAGCTGAATCCAATCTCTCGTCAACGCAAGCACCGCCATGACATACTCCGTCATTTCATTGTCTTCAATGATGCGGTAGCTTTCTAGCGGCACCTCATCAAGGGGTTCGTTGGTAGCTCTTGAAGACTTTCTCCGTGTCTTCTTTCCATTTACTTTCTTTCGCTTGCCTTTGCCAGCTCGTTTTCGTCGTTTCTGCTGAGGAGACGCGACACTGCTGCTTTCTTTGTCAGACTCTTCATGGTTAGCACCGTCACTCTCTGGATCGCTCTCTAGATTTAAGACTGAAAACTTGTTGGCAGTGGTAAAAATGCTGGGGCCAGCTTCTTCCTCGTCGCTCTTCGCTTGCTTCTCCTGATCATGTGATGATAGCCACGCTTCACCGCCCAGGATATTGAACGCCGTGGTGAGAGTATCGATGAAATACTTGTGCGTCACGTTATTTCTTTCAAGCTCTTCGTTGGGGTGTACGGATGCAAGCTGCTGAAACTGAGAGTGGTAGATGGACCGCAACTCGATCACGGACTGAAACAAACTAAATATCATAGATGGTATTTCGACATCGTGTTTCGCAATAATCTCCGCCATAGAGACGAGATCCGCGACGGGGACCTGACCTGTAAAATTTTCCAGTGGTGTCTCATTCTCGGCGGCATCTTGAGACTGAATGATGCCGTTTGAAGTCTTGACGAGCCAGTACAATAAGAGTCTGGTGTCTTGCTTGTACAAGACATAGAAGTTATTGATCTGCATGGTCGATGATGGATAGCCAATATCTGTAGAAAAGCTGATTCAAAAGATCGTAAACCTGGAATATCGATGCATAGAGATGGAGACTGATCCTGACGCGTCTTTTCCTCTCCTCGCGCGTTGCAGCTGGCAAAAGCCGAGGCTCACAATAAACACAAACGGCCTTACTTCAACTTCAACCCCCTATCACGTGGCGACAAACGTTGCCACAGCTGCCAGCCGGCACAACTGTCAAGCTGAACCTGTCACTCTCAGCTAAGAAACACAGGACACTGTAGCATCAGCTTGAGTGTTGCTAGGGGGAACCAGTCACCAATGCAATGGGGTGTAACCGTTTCCAACTCTCCCATGGCCGGAGTATCTTGGTAGAAGAGCTATAAATATCTGCAAAAGCGTATCTAGCTGCTATCTAGCACTTAAAAAGAAAACGAAAACAAATAAAAGTCATCAAAGGCCTCCCTTGGCCTTCAAATCCTCATGAATCTTCTTTTGTTTGTCCCATGCCTTCTTAAGCGTCTTGAGCTGGCTCTTGGGTACCTCATTGCCATCCTTCAGCTTGATGGGAAGTCCCTGCTCATCCCAGGCGCTGTAGCGCTCATCTTTTTTGAATAGCTCCTCCGGAGGGACCTTTGCCTTTTCTCGAGCCTCTTGGTCTGCCTTTTCCTTGGCAAGTCTTGCCTCTTCCTTCTTCCTCGCCTTCTCGGCTTCTCGTGCAAGCTTCTCTTCGCGAGCAGCGATGAGTTCCGCAGCGGGTACGAATTTGATAAGCGATGGCTGGTTATCAGGCCGGTCATCGAGATAAACGCCAAGGTTGGTAAGGTCTTGATCGCGAATTCGGTCTGTGATTTGCAAAATCGCCTTCTTGGTTTGCGGATCGTAAGAAGAGACAGTGCGACGGAGTTCGTCACGGATCTGAGACACTACCCTCAAGTAAGGCAGCGATAATCTCTCTATATCACGAGAGCCTCCCTGAGCGATGGCTTGGAAGTCCGCCGTAGGATCTCTTGAGAGAAGAGTACCGACGACCTCGTTGGACAGCGAGAGGGCCCCGATATCTGACTTGACCTTTTCAAGCACTTCAGCGTAGGGCTTGACGGCAGTTTCAGGATCCGTGTTCTCAGAAATCACAGAGGCCCAGCCAAGGCCTTCATAGGGAGGCTGAGCATTGGCATCAAGGCCAAAGATGCCAACCAACTTTGTAATCCAGCGAGCAATAGCCTCGACTTCAGCGAGATCAGTGTCCTTGTTATCCTTGAGATAACTGTTAGTGGTGTTAACCAACTTCAAGATGACCAGCATTGCTCGCGGGGTATCAATTGAGTTTGCGAGCGCCGCCTCGACGTCCTTCTTGGCTTGTTCGAGCTCAGCAAGGAGACCGGTGGCAGGCTTGTCTGAGCTAATGCTGAGTGACTTTACGCCGCTCTCTATGCCTGCCTCAGCTAGCCATGACTTTGTGTTTGTGAAGAAATTCTGCATCAAGTATGGTTAGGGGGTAAATTCGACTACTGTTGGGTGACGATCTATACTTACGCTGATCGTTGACTCCCAGTTATCAGCTTGGGCTCTCATGTCTGGTGAGATTTCGACGCCATCATTCCATTTGCCCATCAAAAACACAATGCGCATGCTCCGTGGTGTGTAGCTGGTTGCCAATGCGTCTTGGATGGTCTGGAAATTCTTCAAGGACTTGGACATTTTAGACCCCGAAATGGAGAGGTGCCCCATGTGAAGGAAGTACTTGACCCAAGTATGCTCGCCTTTGCCATGTTCGCAGAAGTAAGCTTCACTCTGAGCCAGCTCGTTGTCGTGATGAGGGAAGGCAAGGTCGATGCCACCAGAGTGAATATCCATCTGGGAGCCCAGGATATCAGACGCCATGACTGAGCACTCAATGTGCCAGCCAGGTCTACCATCGCCCCATGGGCTAGGCCAGAACGGCTCTCCAGCCTTTGATTTTTTCCAGAGGGCAAAGTCACCAGCACCTTTCTTGCCGCCCAGATTCTTCGACAAGGACCCCTCGCCCTCTTCTTGGAGAGCCTTGTCATTTTTGCTTTCAGGTCGTAGTCGGGCATAAGAGTTGCCGGCTTTTTCAAAAGCGCCAATATCGAAATAGACAGACCCTTCGGATTCATATGCGAATCCCTTGTTCACAATCTGCTCCACAAACTTGACAATCTGGGGAACATACTCGGTCACCCTTGTGATGTGGTCCGGCCTGAGAACGTTCAACGCATCCATATCGGCCATGAACAGATCTTCCATCCTCTTGGTCAAGTCTGTGAACATGGTCTGGTCTCGTGTATCGACAGATTCCTTATAGAGAGAATCGAGATAAGGGAGGAAGATTTCGTCGGCTCCGGGGAATATCGAACCATTCTTGAGAGCTTCTGCTGCAGCATCCATGTTGCTGATGTGCATCTTGACTTTGGCCTCGGCATCTCCTGGCTTTCCCTCTCCAGTCAGGGTCCCCCCGGTGAGGATCTTGCCATATGCAGCGTCTCGTTGAGCAATATAGTTCGTCTCGTCCAAATCGATTCCATTTTCCACCAGCAATGGCAGGCTGCTGGCCGCATACGCTTTAAAGGCCGCGCGTGTCAGCTTTGCGAGCTCTTCCTTAGAGTAGTTTTTGGCCTTTTCGATTTCGAGTAATCGCTGTCTTCTTGCCTTGATTATGATCTAACAGAGGGTTAGCCCTTGAGCCATTCCGATCTTGACCTGAACGACTCTCCATACCTTGTCATCAATGTCAGTAATGTTCATGACAAAGTTGAGCTTGAAGCCAAAGAAGTGGTGTAGAATGCGCCGGATAATATCAGTCGAGACATAGTTGCGCGCATGTCCCAGATGACTCAAGTCGTAGACCGTCGGACCGCAGGCGTACCAGGACACCTCTCCAGATCTGATGGGAACAAAGGGCACCGGCGCACCGGGCTTCAGTGAGTTATGGAGCTTGAGAGACTCCATGGCGGCAAGGGAGTATCTTCGATAGAAGTAGACGTGGTTTTTTGCAGGGTCGCAGAAACGGAGGCGGGGTCGAGATCGAGGTCGGGCGACGAGACGCAGGAGATTCATATATAGAGTGCCCACAACTAGGGTAGAAGAAGAGGACACAGCATGTAAGAGGGCATCACCGAGGCAATCAGGTGAGTCAGAGCACGAATGCGACACGAAGCTTTGAACACAATAGTGACTCTTGCAGTCTCACCACACCCTTGCAGAAATGCCCCTCCTTAGCGTCGCGGAATGGAAGCATGAGATCTCCCGCTAAATTTTTCTTTTTAGCGTGCTCGATGCCCTGGGCCCATGGCGGCACCTCTAGGGCTTCTAGGCTCAATGTTGGATAGAAGTCTGGTACAATAGAAGCCTTGCCTTATTGTTTCAAAATCTTTTGAGGGTAAAAACCGTATGTAATCCAAAAACTGGTCTTGAATACTCATCAAGGTTCTCTGGATTGACCAGGTTTCTCTAGGTGGATTAGTCCATCCATGCTTTTCTCGACGTTGCATGTAAGGAGCTGCATAGAGTTTAATAGTGTTGCAAACTAATAGATGCAGGCAGTAAACCTTCAGCCCCTGTCTACTTATTATTATTCCATATTAAATCCATATACCCATGCGGTCTTTTAGAGAGGCTGTCTGTATTTACAGAGGGCTTGGTACTTATGAATATGACAATAAGTTGTGGCAGCCGGTTCAATAAAAGGCTATAACTGGTCCAACTGCCTGAATCAAACTTCGGTTGAATGTTCAAACCCTCCTTTGCCTACTACGGCAGGAGCACATAGAGTGCCTCGACCTATATAAATGCTCTAGACCAGAATCACGCAAAAGGCCCATGCAAATTTCCAACCCAGAAAACCCGAACCATTGCACCTTTCCAATGGAATCCCATCAATCAAAGAATAATGATCGCCAGGGTGAGCCGGCCTGCCCCTCCCTGGAATTCAAGCCCCTACCGGCAGTTTGCATCTGAGCTTGTCTGGAAGAAAAGGCGGGGCACGGCGCCGTTCCGCTGCGGAAATCAGCGCCAGCCATCACCGTAGCAGTAGCTTGTGTCTAACTGTAACTGGGGAAATATTTTTTTTTCTTTGCGATACGGATAACAAGTCTAAGTAGACTTCGTCTCTGCCACTATACTCTGCCATCTTCTCGACGACATTCAATCGAATTGCAAATATTTCAATTCGCAAATGACTAAACCGTCAACATTTCTGGTGCCCGGCGACAAGACGTCTGCCGGGACGCTCGCCATTATCAGCTTATCGCGCGACAACTTCCTGCCGCTGACGCTGGAGAAATCAACGGGTGCAGTCGACGGTTACCTCGAGGGTGCAACATTAAATACCCGCTTTGGCTCCTATCCTCACTCAACATTGCTCGATGTGTCATGGGGCTCCCAGGTCCGCGCGTCGAATGTCGATACGGGCTCTCGAGGCAAGAAGCGGAGACGAGATGCAACCGACGAAGATACACCGATAGCCAGTGGAGATGACGACGATGATTCCACGGCCGCCAATGCGCCGGTAAAGAAGGCTGTTACAGCGCCGAGCGGCTTCATCTATGTCTTACGTCCAACCCCCGAACTTTGGACTACTAGTCTACCCCACAGAACGCAAGTTGTATATACACCAGACTACAGCTATATCCTCCATAGGATACGAGCCAGACCTGGAACCCGAATTATCGAGGCTGGAGCTGGCAGCGGAAGCTTTACCCACGCATCCGTGAGAGCGGTTTACAACGGATACCCACGAGACTCGGACGATGTAAAGGGGAAAGTTTTCAGCTTCGAATTCAACGAATCGCGATATGAGAAGATGCAGGTGGAGATTGGACACCACGGGCTGGACGACCTTGTTAAGCTCACACATCGTGATGTATACAATGACGGATTCAACGTTAACGGCGAGTCGCCTAATGCAACAGCTGTCTTTTTGGACCTGCCGGCTCCCTGGGAGGCTTTACATCACCTTTCAAGGCGAAAGCTCCAGAAGGGGGGCGAAGAAGCTGAGGAGGATAGCAATTGGGTATCGCCTCTAGATCCCAAGCAGAGCGTCCACATTTGCACATTTTCGCCTTGCATAGAACAAGTTACTCGAACAGTCACGGAGCTGAGAACCCTGGGTTGGGTTGATGTGGACATGGTGGAGATTTCAAACCAAAAGATCAACATATCAAGAGAAAAGGTTGGAGTCAACTACCCGACCGAGAAAGGATACAATTCCTCCCCAGCGGATGTTTTAGAAGCTGTCACAAAGCTCAAAAGTCTTGCCGACAGGAATAAGGAGACTCAGAGAGTTCAGGTGCTACAGACAGGAGCCGAGGGACCTGACAGCGAAATGGATCTAGACTCCACTCCTAACCGCGAAAACCAGCCTTCGAATTTGAATGGAACCGTTGACGATATGGAGAAGCCTTGGATGCAGGGACGGCTCGTTCACAGACCGGAGAGCGAACTCAAAACTCACACTTCTTACCTAGTCTTTGCTATTCTGCCGTGTGAATGGGACGAGGAAGCAGAGGCTGCAGCTATGGCTAAATGGCCATGTGGAAACGAGAAAAAGACGATTGGAAACCTCGACAAGCAGGCCCGCAAGGAAGAGAAGAGAAAGATGCTGGAAGGAAAATCCAAGAAGCAGAAGAAGGGGAATGATACCCAGACAACGCAGGTTGTGGTGTCAGCTGTGGCGACACCAACGACGGATACCGCGTAATTGCTTAACAAATTAATTAAAACAGTAGAATAAATAGAATTGCAGTATTTTGCAGTGTCCTAATATGTCCATTTAAATTGTACATCTCATACTTCAAGGTTGTAATTCCGTCTCAAGACACGGAATTTCTTCGGTAACGGCACACCTCTACCTTGTCAGGTACCAGACTTCACCGAGAGCTGCTCCGGAGAGCGGATAAACAATTGGCCACCGCAGGCAGACCTCCAACCTAAACACCAGCCAGCCCGCCATCATAGCCAGGGTCTTGTAAAGGTCAATTTTCAAGCTATCCATCCATAGCTCCAGATTACGACATTCCTTTACTCTCCAGCAAACCACCACAATGACTTCCACCATTGGCATCCCGATCAAGCTCCTCAATGAGGCACAGGTTCGTATTCTCCAATGCTGCTAAAGATTGCTTTCGCCTTAGTCCTTGTAATGGATCGGAGAGCTCACATGTAGTCTAGGGTCACATCATCACCCTCGAAATCACGTCGGGCCAGACATACCGCGGAAAGCTCCTCGAAGGTACACTCCCCTCCCAATGGCTCAATGTGCGAGCCCTCGTGCGCAAAAAATCGAAACTAACACATCGTTCTGCTTAGCCGAGGACAACATGAACGTCCAGCTCAAGGACATTACCGTCACCGCTCGCGACGGCCGCGTCTCCCACCTCGACCAGGTCTACATCCGAGGATCCCACGTGCGCTTCTTCATCGTCCCCGACATGCTTCGCAACGCGCCCATGTTCCGCAGCCGCAACGTACGGGGCAGGGGTGTTGGTCTGGCGAGAGGTCGTGCGACGGTCAGCCGTGCCCGTGCCAGTGGTGGTCGTGGCCGGTAAAGAGCGTTCTCTCTATTGTGCGAGACGGGGAGAAGTTATTGTGCGTCGTGATGAGGGGGAAACATGGGCTTGGCGTTTAGGATTTATGGGGTTTCTGTGCTTTTCTATACGAGAGAAAGAGAGAGAAAAAAATATTGTGGCAATACAAGAGTAATGTTGTGCTGAGAGCGACAAAAGATACCATGGCAAAGTGGGCAGTCGGAATGGCAGTCTGAAGTTACGTAGGATAGGCACGGCTGAGCGAGGCTCAAACCATTTTGAGCTTCGTTTCTAGAGCAAATCATCTAGATATACATGTGTCATAGGGCTCAATTGCCTTTCCATACTCGTACAAAGTCTATTCCTGTCCATATTCGTACACATTGTCAATGTCTATTTTAGCCGTGCCAGCGCGTCTTCCGCCTTGGCCACCAATTCACTAGCTTGTTCCAACTCCTTGATTCTCTGGGTCGACAGCTTATTTTGTTGAACCCCGTCGAGGACCTCTCCGGCACTCTCTTCCGCAGCTCTGATGGCTTTGCGGCCTTCTTCCCGAACTTCGCCCTCCCAAAACTCACGAGCAGTCTCCCATTTTTTCTGCATTCGGCCGAGGCTGTATACAACGCCGAGAGCTGCCACGGCACCGGCCTCGAATATCGTTGATGAAAATGACGATACATATAGTAGTGCTGCTAGACATGTTGTGACAGACGATGTAGCTAGAGATTGAACAACCAATTGTTGAGCCAGTGACTGAAGGGCAGGAACTGTCTCGTTCTGAATATAGCGTCGCGTAAACGCGATGTGTCCTGGCCACTTGGGAAGACGTGATCGAGGGGCAACGGGAATCACCGGCTCGTTGGTGACAGAGAAAGCCGACGGACCCTCAGGAAGAGCCTCACGAGAGGATGTAGGCTGCGAGTATTGTCCAGCTCTGCCTTGAAGTTGGGCAATCTGTCCAGTGAGATACACCAGCTCCTGTTCCGAGGTGGGCAAGAAGCGTTGACTCAAAATCTCGTTTGTCAGCATCGCAACATCGTCCACGCGCCAAAACAGCTTCCACCATCCCAACTTCCTCCAGCGGCGTCCCGAGAAAGCCAAGTCAAGCTGCTCTTGCAGCTCGGCGTGTGCATTCTGGGCCCATTTCGAAAGACCCTCGTTCATAGCGCGCATTTCGGGGCTGATCATTGAGTGAGACAACTCGCGCGACAATTTCCTACTCGTAGACTCAGTCTCAATCGCCGACAGAGCGTTTTGTAAAACTGATGCGATGAGCTTTCGAACTGCTGGTTTGGTCGCTTCATCGTCAGCGGCTTTGAGGCCGGCTTTGAGCCATGCAACCAACAGGCCGAGGTTGCTCGCAGACCAGCGCTGTTCGTACGACATGGCATTCTGAGGACCCTGGCGGAACAGATTGATGGCCTCTTCTGCCAACGAGGTGTCGATCACTGTGAAATTGGCCCCTAGCTGTTCCTTCGAGAACCCCTTTAGGTTGACAGCGGCAGTGATTGTGTCCGCGCAATCAAGTATCGGCAACCCAGAAATTGCAACAGCTCCAGTTAGCCCGTCGGCCACCAAGAGCGCTTGGTGGACAGGCGCTATCATAGGAGTAGCATGCTCATCGGCAGAATCCAAATCAACAGACGGGACGAGGACAGACTCCTCAAGCGATTCAACGGTAGCTAGGCCTGATCCGTTGACAGGCACATCCGCGTCCATCAGAAGAAGCTCTAGATTGAGTCCATTTAGTTCAGCAGAAGAAACCTCCAACACATCCGGTAAGTTGTGCTTGGATGATTCCAAGCGAGTAGCCTGCCCTTGACTGGGCCCGACTCGGATGATCAACGGCCTGCTGGTGTCATGCTCGTCAAGCCTCTGCTCCCACTCCTGCTCATCAACCAATGGATCCACGATGAGTGCTTTCAGAACCTTTCGTGCGGCGTCTCTTCCTTCCGAGCCGTTGGCAATGCTTAGAATCGCAACTCTGATCGCTTCACGGCCAGGCGCCTGACGCAATCCCTGGAGCGCCAATTGCAGCCTCGAGATATTTACCAGCTCCGGAATTCTTCTTTGGAGCTCTAGAAGAGTCTTTTCAAGTTCATTGCGAGCATTCGATGAGGTGAGCACTGCGGCTGATGACGTCGATTGCCACCTTTGAGCCTTGAGACCTGGCCTTGATCGAGTCTTGACTGCTCGAGATGCCGGAGAGAGCGAGCAGAATGGACACACTGATGAAAGGACGGGGGGCTTCGACCCCGTCAGCAGACGGAGATGCCCGTTTCGCGACACTAGAGATCGTTTGGATGCCATCGCCGCAGCGATGTTCCAGAAGGGTTTGGGAGACTGAAGTTCATGAGCTCAGTGAAGCAATCTGAGCTTGATTCGGAAAAGTTGCGGCAAAATTCGGAATCAGCTACCTCGATCAGAAGCGGGGCCCCAAGCGCTCTTCAAGCAGCTCAATGCTTCCAGTTACAAACCTCCAACATATGAACTCTTACGATGTCTATCTACCTTGGGTAACATATGAATAATTCAATCACGGTACACATAATCTCTGCCAATGTCGATAATTCTATTACGGTGAATTGAACAGGGGTGATGGTGGCATCAATGAAAATGTTCTATATGAATGGGATAATCCGCATTCCCATGCCATATTGTACTAACCTCTGGCTTCACACGTCTAGCGCTCGACTTGCAGCGCCTTTAGAAGCCACCATGACGAATTGAATGCTCCCCTATTACGACACCTTTCAGCCCTGAGGCTTAGCCAAACCCCAAAAGGCAGCCCTGCATTGCTCCAAGCGGAAATTGATTCAGCGCCGCCGCTGCTTTTGAAGCAAATACGGGACACCAATCGGCGATGTGGACCGCCGATGGCCGACGGAGATGCTCCACTGAGAGCGGCACGTTGTCAGATGAGTGCCGATATGCTTGACGGTGGAATCATGAAAAGCGATGCTCCCAATATTTGTAGTGTTGGGTGCTTATCCACATTACAATATAGGACATTTACCAATCAAATTTTGAAATGTTCAATTTGAGAAATTGAGCCGTGTCCGCAGACTGGCTAGTTGTCGCTAACTGTAGTGATGTTCAGGTACGCGGAAGATGTTAAACACCGCGATTCTGACCATGCAGGACTAGAAGCAAGATAGCGGTACTTATTAACCAGCCCCGTGCGGGTTCATCTACCTGATTCGTTTCGTACGCGTAATTCTAGAACTATGCTTACGAGGGCCCAGCTGGAAACGTAGATTGTCGATGGATTTAGATCTCTGCTCCTGGTTTGTGGCTGGGCAAGCTTAAAATGCTACCATGACTGCTCCTACACTGGGAGGATATAAGACAGACATGCTCTCCCAAAGACAGAACTAGAAGACAGAAGACAAACAGCTTTAATCAACCATTTTCTTTCTTTTGTATCGCAGTTCTTAATTTGACCAATTTTCAATTCCTACATCTGCTAATTTCCTTTGATTACCATGAGCGCAAACGCAGCAACTTGTAAGTTACTGAATCTCCCCCATCAAGTCCGACTTGACTAACACAGCAACACCAGCCCACGGTTATATCGATCCAAACTTCCCAAATCCCAACGGCAAACACGATGTACCCGTCATCATCTATGGCTACACACCATCCTTTTCCCTCGCCGTATTTGCGGCCATCTGGTTTTCGCTCATGCTGGTGATCCACCTGGCCCAGACAATCCGCTACAGAAGCTGGTGGTTCTTCCCCTTTTCCGTCGGCCTTTTCTTCGAAATCGTTGGCTACGTTGCACGCTCTCTCTCGGCGAAGAAGGACCCCTATAACTTGATCTTCTTCATTCTCAACTACTTCTTCATCGTCACCGCTCCCGTCTTCCTCGCCGCGGGGATATACACCATTCTGTCAGCCCTCATCTCTCGACTAGGATCCAAATACTCCTCTCTGTCGCCCAAAGTCATCATGTGGTTCTTTGTTCTGTCCGACGTCATATCAACAATCACCCAGGTGGCTGGAGCCGCTCTCATCGGCAGCCAAGAGTCAAAGCACAAAGACCCAACATTTGCGAACAACATTCTCTTGGGTGGTCTAGCTTACCAAGTCTTCTCCATTGGTGTATTCATTGTAGTTGCGGGACGTTTCCTGTGGCGTGCCAAACATGCTCTTCGTCGGCGCGATCTTGATACCTTTGCTATTGTCTTCGCTGTCGTGACGATTTTGGTGTATCTGCGAACAGTTTTCAGGCTTGCAGAGACAGCTCAGGGATTGAATGGATCTATACAGTCGAATGAGACTTACTTTGCTTGTTTGGAATTTGCGCCAGTAGCGGCAGCCGTGCTCCTCTTTGCGGGATGGAACCCTGGACGATGCCTGGGCAGCACGGTCAGAGGGAATAAGGTGACTGACGGATCAGCACGCAACAGCTGGGATAAAGCTTAAATTTGGGGGATACTTCAAGAATATTGGCTTGATTACTTTTCGAACTTCTGACGCTGGGGCTGTAGAAGTGCCATGGCTTATATACCTGTATCATTGCTGGCGATATACATGTGTTATTTGGTGAGCCCTTGGATATCTTTAGGTAAATTAACTTGGATTATAAATAAAATTGTAGAGCTTATTAGACTATATACGTTCCGTCTTGCCAGAATATCTTCTACTTCGATATATGTACCTGTCAGCCGCATGCATGTGATATGATGTTGCCCAATAGATTCCTATAAGCTCACCAGGCTGGGCGTCTCTTGATAGCGGGGTCCTGCCACCCCCACCAGAGCTCATACCAGCTGGACACCCGCCATCTCAACTCTATCACTTCGCATATTCACTGCCATTCCAACATCTCGCTCTACTTCATCCATCTTTCTATCTCAAATGCCTCCAATACCTCAAGGCGCGAAACCTCTCCCCAGGATTATAACCTACTACCAAACCCACCATGACTCCGCCGGCAAACTCATCTCTCCCCTCCCACTCCTCACCCAACCCGGCATCTCATTAACGCATCTCATCCTCGCCGCCATCCACCTTAACGAGGACCCAAACCACATCACCCTCAACGACCACCCTCCTCATCATCCACGCTTCGAAACCCTCTGGGCCGAACTCCGCATCCTCCAAGCCTCCGGCGTCAAAGTCCTAGGCATGCTCGGCGGAGCCGCCAAAGGCTCATACACACGCCTCGATGGCTCTGACGCGCAATTCGAAAGATACTATCTTCCCTTGCGAGACATGATTCGCGCGCGTGGGCTCGACGGCCTGGACCTCGACGTCGAAGAGGAAATGTCTTTAGGCGGCGTCGTCAAGCTCATTGATCGCCTAAGAAGCGACTTTGGCAAAGGCTTCCTCATCACGCTCGCGCCCGTCGCCGCTGCTCTCCTGGATCATAGGAGTAACCTTAGCGGCTTCGACTACGAAGCCTTGGAAGTCATGCGCGGTCATGAAATCTCGTGGTACAATGCTCAATTCTACTGTGGCTGGGGTGATATGAGCAACCCCATCATGTACGAAATGATCATACGAAAAGGCTGGCCCATCGAAAAGGTTGTTATTGGGCTTGTTACAAACCCAGCCAATGGCAGTGGGTTTGTCATGTGGGAGTTTCTCTCTGCCGTCCTGAATTTACTCCGAGGCCGTCATGAGCGGTTCGGTGGTGTTATGGGATGGGAGTACTTCAACAGTCTTCCGGGTGGGCATGAGAGGCCATGGGAATGGGCGAGACAGATGACTTCTGTTCTGAGGCAGGAAGATTTTTTACCTAGCGTCCAACCTCCACCGATTAATGTGGCAACCAAGCCTGTGCTAGAGGTAGAGGCTGATCCTGATGCCCCCAACGGCAAGCCTGTTCAAGTTCCTACAGCATTCGAGTACTATTCAGATGGCTCAGATGCGTGAGGGGAAAGGGATAGAAACGATCAACGTCCCATATCTAATATGAAAAGAGCAAACAGGGCATACATACATGCATACATAAATCCATGTATGTATATGATGGAACATACAGACAAGTGGTAAACACTTGCTTAGAATTACATTGCGGCCAAGTAAGTGGATGCTTAGATGAACAGAGCCGATGAACACAATGAGTTTGTATTAGGGCAACATACATACATCTATAGTATTGAGCAACTAGTGTAAAGATGACCCTTCGTCCTCCTCAACCATTTCGATAGATAATGACAACAGGTTAAGCCATAGTGCCTTATTGACACATAAGAGATGTTGAAAACTACCAAAAGACCACAACAAGCGGGAGTTGCTGGTTAGGCGCAGGCCATCCAAGGGCTACACTGAGCCTCGATGGTAAAGTTGTTGTACACCGGATAGCTGCCCTGGACGGCAGAAATAATGGGGTTGAAGAAGTCCGAGTTGAAGCGGGCAGTTTCGCATGCCGAGCATGGGCCACTGAGGAAGCCATCATACTTGGTGTCGTATGACAGGTAACCGACGACTTTGCGGGTGGACAAGTCTGTGGCTCTGATGGTGAAAGCTTCTGGCATGACGACCCAGCTGGGCGCGGTAACATTGGTTCCGTTGATCCCAGGGATGACGGGATTCTGGTTGAACCACAAACTCTTGAGGCCAACGTCACGGAGGGCCTTGATGAGAAGGAGAGTCATGTGAGTGTCATCGTCGACCTTCACACCCGCACACTCAACGTTGATGGTGTAGCCTTGCCCTTTAATGGGACCACCAACACAGTTGCCGGTGGTTTGATCCCAGACAAAATTGTTAATGAAAGCTCCCCAAGTGTTTTGCCAATTAATGAATCGAGGACTGAGAGTGGAATAGATAGCAAGTTGGCCGGTGTGAGGAGTGGAAGTTGGCACGGGCTGGCCACCATTGCTCGGAGTAGGCACAGGTGTATGGGGTGGTGCTTGGGAGAAGAAAGTGGTAGAAGGCGCTGCAGAAGACGTGGTCAGCGTCGAAGTCTGGGAACCCATATCCGCAGGGCGAGGCGGCGGATGGTTGTCGCGATTGCAAACAAAGGCACTCCAGCAGATGGCATCGTGGTTGACGGTTTTGTTGAGAGCAGCACTGACGGGACGACCACGGTAAGCCCAGCAGTTGAGAATTTGACCACTCTCTTTGGTGGTGACGGCACTTCCAGCTTTGAAGCCGTCTGGAGTACCATCTTCAATATACGCCGTCCAGACATCACCATTGGGCATTGTGGCAGTTGCACCTGCGGGGACCCATGGATACCAACCCTCTTTGAAGGGGATTTCGACAGCCATGTCGGGAGCATCAGGATACTTGTACGCGGAACTGGGCCAGTTGATGTCCTGGTACCAGTTCATCTGGCGAGAAGTGGACCATCCCGGCTCGTTGGGGTTGTCTCCGATTCCACAGTCACAGAGGATGAGATCCTCATTGCGGAATTGCTGGGCCTGAACAGCTTTGAAAAGGCCGATAGTACCGACAAGGCCGGCGGCGAGCTTGAAGATGGCCATTATCAAGCAAATTGTCAGAACAGGTGAATGGCAGTGGGAACAAAGAACGATTGAAGAGAATCAAGCCGGAGTGGTTGAAGCTTTGCTGGATATGTCAGACAAATGAGTGGAGGATTTGGAAAGAAAGTAGAAGTTTGGAACAAGTGAGAAGTTTTGAATTGGAGATATTGTAGACATTGATCAGCCGCAATCTGTTTCACCGCCATAATTCGTCATGTTGGGACTATGTTGAGGAAGCATCACCGGCCATTGGGGTAAGAGACGGGCCGGGTGAGGGGAGAAAGAGTGTCTCGAGACGACAAAGTGTGCAGGTGACATCGGATGTGAGCGTTCCGGCGTGATTTTGAGCAGGCAGAGGCATCTTGATGCTTTCCAAACCTAGAATTTCTTGTGCTGGAGGCGGTCAAAGATGTTGCTTCACGAGGAAGGCGGCAACCAGCTTGAAGCAAGCTCACCGCCCATGGTGGGATCTCAACAACATCACAAAGGAAGCAACTTGGACGTGTAGCAGCTGCACCAGTAATGGAGTCAATCATGATATCATCGTCAGTTTGTGGCTGTGAGCCCGAGTTAGGTGAGCCGTACGAGCAAAAGAGACTGAGACACTGATGGAAAACGCCATCATTCTCTATTTGCAGCGAAATGGGCATCTGAGTATTCAGCATCAAAATTTGGCGATATATTTAAATGACGTATTTCTGAACGAAATGGACAGTTAATGCACATTAAGAACGTGCATCGCCGAGGTGTTTTGATTTACGACAGAAAATTATCGTGAGAGATAGCTGGCCTCGAATCATCTGATAGTCGCCAACTTATGCAATCAATTTCATCAGCAAAAAATCGAAACAGTGTAGGCACAATGGGCAGTTTGATGACTATAATGAAAATGCTCTCAATTCAAACGTCCATTCCTATTAACTGCCGTCTTGAACCTACATGTGTCTAGGCGCTTCAACGAACGGTGTTATGACAGGTGGTATGCGGCGTGGCTATAGATAGACGCATGAAAAATTGAGGGCGGCCTCCTGGAAGAAAAATGTTTGGACGAGTTTCAATCCCATAACATGAGGCAACACAAAAGCGAGCCGGCCGAGTACGAGTACGAAACACAAACATCGTCTCGTCTCGTCTCGTCTCTATTTTTATGGCTTTCTGGCTGCCATAATCAGCTGTTTCGATGCCGCGCGCCTGTCACTAGCCGCGATGTCCCTTTGGCGCTGTAAAGTTTGCGACCTTGGGTAACATGCCAAGATCTTACCCGCTGCAGCAAAAATACGAACAGTGTGTCTTACCGACTCTTCACCGCAACGTCGACAAAGGCTTCGCTGTCTTTTTGTACGGTCTGCGAGGAGGCTTAGCTGAGAGCGGTTGCGCGATAGCGTTTCATTATCTCGAGGTGTGCTCATGATTATCGAACGGATTTTGCCCCGGTCTGCACCGTCAGCAGCATTGATTGGCCAAAAGCCTCCGTCAGGGGTCTGGCACTTTGGGGCGAATCAGTCCAGAAGCGCCAGGAGCCCCGGCATGTTTCTCGTTTCAGATTCGGATGGCGAACCAAAGTGAAGCTCTCCCTGTATGATGACCTAGGCAAACATTGGGGCAAACTCCAGAGCCCAACCAAACTTATTCAGGGGCTGTGCAGGAAACCGAGGGGCATCTTTTTTTATGCGTCGACATAGTCCTTACGTGATTTGGTGGCAAGCATCTATATAAGCTGTCCTGTCTGTGAAGTGCCTTGATATTTCATCATACCTACAGTAGACACCATCGACAGGCAAATATTCCAAGAAGACAAACGACTGGTATCTCGGCCATCATCCCTGCAAAATTCTACATCTTTTGCCGAATCCAAAATATCACCACCACTACACACAAACAGTCATGGCGCAAAGACTTGCTGCTTGCTACCAATGGATCAAGGCTGCCGGTGGAAGAAGCAGCTTTTACAACAAAATCAGCAACAGGGGCACGCCATATAAGAAGATTGTGGGAGAGCCTGCTTTGGCCCAAAACCAAGACCTCTTTAACGACAATGTCCCGCTGCTTGACTGATGCCTGAAGCATGCCTTAAATGGTAAGTCGCCCATAGCATGTCGCAATTGGTTCGAAGGAAATTAATCATCCAAGAATGCAGAGGAAATGTCGATAAGCTGCTACGGCATTATGAGAATCACGATTTATACACGGACTATCACGGATGCTTTGGCGTTCTTTGGTTATACAGGGATAGGGGCATCATACTAGGCTAAGGAATACAGTTGACACTGCTGGACGGACACTTCAACTTGGAGAATTAAACGGCGTTTTGTTTTTTCAGGAATATGAAGGTATATAACGCTTGAGATTTACGTTATGGGTTAAAAAAGAGCCTTTTCTCTTTTGTCAAATTGCATAGATATTTACGGAATACAGCCAAAGGGCGATATGATTCAGTCACAAAACGCTGGGGCTTTTAGGCACTTCGGCGCACTCGAGCCCCACTACAGCGATGCATTCCCACAAGGTAGCTCACGGTTTGAGCTCCATGCTTATCACAGCCCAAAACTTCCCTCCAACAACCTGCTTCTGTCACAAAACCCGCCTCCATCTGCCATGTCTCGCGCTCGCATCCCCTTCAATTGGCGTCCGCCATTTCGGTCACGCCCTCCTGCGCTCCACCTGCGCTCCTCCATCCGGCCCCAGTCCACCGAAGCGAGCGGCATATCGCGTCTAGATCGCCTAACGTCCAGGCTTCCAAAGCGTCTGCAAAAATACACAAACGGCCTCCGCAATGCCCCTGTTTCGCATGTCGTTTCGTTCATGATTCTACACGAGTTGACGGCGATTGTGCCTCTGTTTGGGCTATTCGCCCTGTTTCACTACACCACTTACGTGCCCATCTCGTACATGACAGAGCACTTTGGCGAGTACGTGCAAGGAGGGGTATACAGGTTTGAAAAGTATTTTAAGCGAAAAGGTTGGTTTGGCTTTGGGCAGGAGGACAGCAGCACATCTCCACAGCTTACGCCTGGGACCACGAGCCAAGACGCACACGTGGAGGACGCTATACAGCGATGGGAAAAGGGAGAGCAAAAGTACAAGATCCTTGTCGAGGTCGCCTTAGCCTACGCAATAACGAAGGCCCTACTGCCTGTCCGAATCATCGGCAGCGTTTGGGCTACGCCATGGTTCGCGAGCATACTCGTTAGAATCAAGTCCTCACTGGCACGAAGGCCGTAAACGAACGCGAAGAAACCAAGTTCAGCAATTTATTTTTTTATTTTTTACCCTGTTGCAACCTATTCAACGGTACAGTGACTGTAAAGCCTTACAGCTGCTTCAGAGCTCTGTCATATTGTCATAAAAGACAGTTTACTCCTTCTCGTAGATCCAGTCGAACTGGGAAGCCTTGTAGGAGACGGCCTCACCATCCTTGAACCAGAGGGCAATCTCCTTCTTGGCGTTCTCGACGGAGTCGGAGCCGTGGCAGACGTTGCGGCCGACATCGATGGCGTAGTCGCCACGGATGGTGCCAGGGGCAGAGGCAAGAGGGTTGGTGGCACCGAGGATGGCTGAGCGAATGGATTAGTGGATTGTCACAGGGTAAGAAATCGAGAGAACATACTGCGGCCAGTCTTGACAGCATCACGGCCCTCCCAGACCATGGCGCAGATGGGGCCAGAGTTCATGTCTGTTGAGGAAAAGTCAGTTTGGAGCCTGCTTTATTCGGTATTGGCTGGATCCTTACAGCTGATGAGGCCATCGAAGAAGCCCTTGCCCTTGAGGTCGGCGTCTGGATGACAGTCAGTCAATAAGAGTGCTCCTGAGTGACATTTGATTGGGAGGACGAACAGTGGGCCTCGAGGTGCTCCTTTCCGGGCTGGGTGAGCTTGATAGCGACGAGCTTGAAGCTATTGTCTTGTCAATTTCTGTCGATCGCATGGAGGGGTTCGATCGAAATTTCTTACCCACGGCTCTCGAAGCGGCTGATGATGGGGCCGATCAGGCCACGCTGTAGTAAAAAGTTAGAGCAGAGGACCTTGACAACGAGAGGAGCAGTATCGAGTGTAGCTTACCTGGACACCATCAGGCTTGATGGCAATGAAGCTATCGAGTGGGTTAGATTCCCGCACAACTTTTGTCGATGGAGGGGTAGATGGCGGGGTGATTCTCACGTCTGCTCGGTGGAAGCCATGGCGACTGTTTTTGGAGTGGAAGGATGGGTATAGGATACTGGTTGGACTGGCGGGATGTGCTGAAGTGAACAAGACTGTTGGACTTGAGGAGAGGAAGAAAAGAGAAGATAAAAGGCGGCGAGAAGTAGTAGCGGGACGAAGAAAATTGGTGGGGGGAGGGTTACCGTTGTCCACCTCAGTAGCGGGTTGTGTCGCTGTTGTTCCCTTGGCTGCGGGATCTCCTGAGTGGACTTTGGGCCTGAAGCGGGGTCCTCGTGGTGGGGTTCAGGCATGGTGATTTGCTGGTGGTTTCTGGTGTGGAAAAGCAAAAAAAGAGAACAGTTGGCAGTTGTACAGTGCGATAGGTTTGGACTGGATTCTTCTCGACGACATACCTATATGAGAGGTACTTTCAGACGGACCATATTAGATAGGGGCTTGTGATGGTTGACGACATAAAAGGCAGATCTGTGGGGTGAGAGATTTCAAGTACGTACAATGAAACAGGCAAGATCTGGACGAATAATTTGTTCGTAGGCTCGAGGCAGGCCACATGCAAATCGACAATGGTGGCTGTCTAATACAATTCGTCACAGAACCACCAAAGATAGCAGAAGCCTCACTCATTCTCAGATCCTGAGTGTAATACAGTGTCAATCCAGCGCTTGGCTTGTGCTGGATAAAAGGCTACGATATGAATCTAACACGTGTGTTATATCGCATTGTTGAATACAGTGCATCTAAAGAGGCAGACCCCTCCAACAATGGCGGTCGGGCCTGGGAGCGGAACGTGTCTAATTTTAGGCCTATGCCCGATTGAGAGCTGTCGAGGAGGTCAAAATGGACAGCTTAACCTCGACTCCACGTTTCCCAATCCTAACGGTGTCAGATACACCTCTGGAAGGGATTCTATCACCAGCATCATCGCATAGCCTCAGCTGACTGTCTGAATGAGGCTGTGTATTACTGATCTGCCCGAGAACTAATGTGGCTTGTGATTGCCTGCATTTGAACGACATCTTTTGTACCACGCCCTTGATTTGTTTACCTACCCAACCTCGCCCTCGTCATGAGGTCGACGATGGGGCTGTCCTGGAAGTGGACAGCACTCCTCAGCCTTCTGAGTGCATTATTATGCCTAATTGGGCCAGCCTGTATGATGAATGATCAATTTCTGTTTAGAAACTTCTTTTGCTGATGATGAAGCGTCCAGTGGCTGTCAAGGAACACGACTTCAAAAAGTGCGCCCAGGCTGGATTCTGCAAACGAAACCGTGACTATGCGGATAAAGCCGCTTCTCAGAGCTCGACGTGGATTTCTCCCTATCAAGTTGCCCTCGACTCCCCTTCTCTGAAAGACGGTCAGATCCAGGCTGTCATCCTCAAAACGATCAATGCCGCGGGCGAAAAGGTCCGACTGCCTGTTACAATCTCGTTCCTCCAATCGGGTGTTGCCCGTGTCACCATTGACGAGGAGAGACGTCAGAACAAGGATATTGAGCTGAGGCACGGCAGCGTCGCAAGAAAGGAGCGCTACAATGAGGCCGCCAAATGGTCCATTGTTGGCGGTCTGGAGCCGGATCTGAAGGCCGAAATTGTCCACCAGGATGACTCTCAGATCAATGTCCAGTACGGCCTCGAAGGCAAATTTGAGGCTGTCATCAAGCTGTCGCCCTTTGCAATTGATTTCCGGAGAGATGGTGTTTCTCACATCAAGTTCAACGAACGTGGCCTGTTCAACTTCGAGCACTGGAGACCAAAGGTCGAAAGGCCCGAGGGAGAGGAGAACCCTGAAGAAGAAAGCACTTGGTGGGATGAAACTTTTGGTGGAAGTACAGATACCAAGCCTCGCGGCCCTGAAAGTGTGGCCCTCGACATTTCGTTCCATGGATACGAGCATGTCTATGGTATTCCCGAACACACTGGACCTCTCTCTCTGAAGCAGACCCGAGGTGGCGACGGCAACTACGACGAGCCGTATCGCATGTACAATGCCGATGTCTTTGAGTACATTCTCGATAGCCCCATGACTCTCTACGGATCAATTCCCTTCATGCAAGCTCACCGAAAAGATTCCTCCGTCGGTCTCTTGTGGCTCAATGCTGCCGATACTTGGGTTGATATCATTAAGACCAAGGGCAGCAGCAACCCTCTCAGTCTGAATGCCGAAGCCCCCAGCAGTACCCAAACTCACTGGATCTCTGAGGCCGGTATTTTTGACGTCTTTGTCTTTTTGGGCCCGACTCCTCAAGACATCTCCAAGAAGTATGGAGAGCTTACCGGAACTACCGCTATGCCTCAAGAGTTTGCTCTCGGATACCACCAGTGCCGATGGAACTATATTTCTGAAGATGATGTCAAGGACGTGGACCGCAGATTCGACAAGTGGCAGATTCCCTACGATGTCATCTGGCTGGATATTGAGTACACTGATGAGATCAAATACTTCACCTTTGATCCTCATTCGTTCACTGACCCCATTAGCATTGGTAAGCAGCTGGACAGCCATGGCAGAAAACTTGTGGTTATTATCGACCCCCACATCAAGAGAGTTGACAACTATCCGATTAATGAGCAACTCCAATCTTTGGACCTTGCTGTTCACGACAAGGACGGCAAAATCTATGAGGGCGACTGCTGGCCTGGTCTGTCAAACTGGATTGACTGCTTCAACCCCAAGGCTCGCGAATGGTGGAAAACTCTTTACAAGTACGAGAACTTCAACGGTACAATGGAGAACACCTTCATCTGGAACGATATGAATGAGCCCTCAGTCTTCCACGGCCCTGAGACCACCATGCCCAAGGACAACCTTCACTTTGATGACTGGGAGCACCGAGATGTCCACAATCTAAACGGAATGACCTATCACCACTCTACCTTTGAAGCTCTCAAGAGCCGTAAGAAGGGCGAGTTCCGACGCCCCTTTGTGCTTACTCGCGCTTTCTTCTCTGGCTCTCAGCGCTTCGGTGCCATGTGGACGGGTGATAATCTGGCGGACTGGGGCCACCTCCAGACCTCTATTACCATGCTTATTAACCAAGGCATCTCTGGATTTCCATTTTCTGGTGCTGATGTCGCTGGCTTCTTTGGAGATCCCGAAAGCGAATTGATTACCCGTTGGTACCAGACGGCTGCTTTCTACCCATTTTTCCGAGCCCACGCTCACATCGACACTCGTCGCCGTGAGCCATACCTGCTGGGTGATCCATACACTGCCATTGCAACTGCGGCGTTGCGACTCCGATACTCACTCCTTCCCTCGTGGTATACTACTTTCTTCTACGCAAATCGCGATGGCAGTCCTATTCTCCGCCCGATGTTTTGGACGCATCCTTCTTCGGAGGGAGGCCTGGCAATCGACGACCAATTCTTCCTGGGATCTACTGGTTTGCTCGTCAAGCCGATTGCAGAGAAAGACAAGTACTCAACCGACATCTGGATCCCCGACGATGAGGTTTACTATGATTACTTTACGTACAAGACGGTGAAGACGGAACAGGGCAAGCACGTCACTCTTGACGCTCCCATTGATCGCATCCCAATGTTGATCCGAGGAGGTCACATCATCACCCGTCGTGATATCCCTCGTCGCTCAAGCGCTCTCATGCGTTTCGACGACTACACTCTAGTGATCTCCGTCTCCAAGAATAACGAGGCCGAGGGAGAGCTGTACGTTGATGATGGTGATAGCTACGATTATCTGGAGGGTCAATACATCTACCGGAAATTCACCCTGACGCCCAACGTCCTCTCTTCGACTGACGCTGAGGGACGCGACACAAAGAAGATCAAGCCCGGCAAGTGGCTCAAGGCTATGCGAGATGTCCACGTGCAAAAGATCATTGTTGTCGGCGGCACTCCTGATGTGTGGAATCGAAAGGAGGTGCAAGTCCAATCAGAAGGACGCACCTGGTCTGCCAATGTGGACTACCACGCTGCCGACGGAGCTTATTATGCGGTTATCAACCGCGTTGGTGTTCGTGTTGGAGAGAACTGGAGCATCAAGCTCGATTAAATGACTGAGGTCTGGAGTACAAAGATAGAAATGGAGGTTTATTAGGGACAAAATGTGAAGGTGTTTTGTTGGTGGGAGGATATCTAGATGTTTAAGCCAGCTATTGCGTGTCGTATGTAGATGAAATGAAAAAGAAAGCGTTGAGCGCTATCATATGGGAAATTGTTCACAATGACTTCTTGATAGGTATCTTCTAGCAGGATGTTGCGTGGATGATGAATGAGGTACTTTAGTATATGAGGGCCGGGTTAATCAACTCGGGTCGTACAGAGATCATACGAGCACCCAGTCATTGGCAGCTGTCTCACAGACTATTGCAACGGCCGGATAAGCTTAATTCTTGAGCTCGCGGGGATTAATATACTGCAGCTTGACGCCCCAAAGTTACAATGTGCTCGTCATAGAAGCCAGAGCCCTGCATGAGGTGGGCAGTCATCAAGGTGTCAAGAGTACATGGATGATGTACCGGCCGCCTTTCGGAATTTGCGATAGTCCGCGACCACATGGACTTTCCACCATTCGTTCACCAGCCTGCCACAGAATTACTTCCACCACCGGTAAACAAGATCATCATCTCAAAGACTCCATGGTACGTTCTGGCATCTTCTCGCTGATATTTTCAGGCCAGGTCACTGAATGGCAATAGCTTCAAGAGGGGTCCTTTGCCCAACTCCTATTCCCATTAGCGCAAGCCCAGTCTCAGATGGCAAGCCACGTTTGCTATTCCGCGCGGCGCGTCTTTAGCTCAAAAGGGCCAGAACAGCAAAGCTCGAGGAAACGGTGAGCCTCCGCAGCGCTCCTCCGGATACACGGCAAGCTCCCAGACCTGATTCGATCCACCAGCTGTGGCTCTGGTCGATGAGCCCCGCTAAAGATCCCTGAAGCGACCCTTTCGCTGCTGAAGATGCTTTGGGCGTTTCACCCCAGAAGCTGGTCCAAGCCAAGCTTTCTCCAGCGAGCAAGCTTTCTCAGCCACTATACATGCAGCAACTGACATGGTCTTGGGGCTAATCGGCAATCGTTTCCCGGCTGGCCAACCACTATCGTCACCCAGACCCAGGGGCGGATTATATTGGTTTACAGTGAAACTTGATCACAATTCACGCAAAGCTGGAAGCACCCTGCCACGCCGGCTACATGCAGCACTGCAGATTCATCACGCTTACGAGCCCCTAGCTCGTCAGTCGCGAGACAGGTGCAGCAGATAACATCATCTCACCGACTATGGGACACACCAAAGCTTATGAGAGAGCTTCGTGGAGGAGTTCTCACAACCCCGCATCAAGACACGCGTCTTAGACGAAACGATTGGCTTCAATGATACTGTCGATTTTTTTCTTATTCTATCTGACTGTATTTACCATCGGTCTCCGTACTGGTTGTTGAGCTGCTCCTCGGCCTGCTCCTGGGCGTGGCGCTTAGCACGCTCACGGTCGATGAAGTCGAGGCCCTTGGTCTCAACCTCGCGGTCGACGAAGAAGCCGATGGCACCGGCGAGGATCTCCTTGGCCTGGGCGTGCTCGTCAGGGTGGCCTAAGCAATTGAGATTAGAACATGAAATGCGATATGAAAAGTCAACAGAAGACAATGCTGCTCACCGTTCTGGGCAACGTGGTCCTCGTAGGCCTTGGCAGCCTCATAAGCGGCAGCACCGCCGATGAGCTCGTGAGACCACTTGGCTTCGTGAGGTCGCTGGGTGACCTCCTCGTAGGCCTGAGCCTGATCAGAGTTATCTGCAATACCAGTTAGACAAACGTCGTCACACGAGTGGCTGCGGGACTCATCATACCGTCGAACCAACCCATTGTGAATAAGAAGAAGATGTGTGATTGTGGATTTTGTGAAGAGAGTGCTTGATTCAAGGAGAGAAGAAGAAATTGGATTCAACGGGGAGGGACGGGACTATTTATAAGCTTACAGCTGCCACCTTGCGCAAGATGGGGTCAGTCAGAGGCCTCACACTTCTCTAGACACTCCATGATCTACGTGATGACCCCTTGCCCCTTAGCCACACAGACAATTATGCACCCGAGGCTACTGCGTTGTTATTTTGGCAAGTTTCAATGGCGTAGCAGCGTGGATCAAGGGGTGTTGGTGTCCTCCATACGTGGATACACCGTCCGGCTTCCGCTCATCTGATGATCTGGACTCACAACAGCTCCAGAGCTACGATAACGCGATTGGTGGCCCTCAGCACATACGTAGTGTGGCAAACGGGGTCTCAGGGTCTCCACGGCCAGGAGAACAACTGGAGGGACAGATGGACACCCTGGGCCAGCTGGACAAATGCCTGCATCCCGACTTGAATCGTGGAGAGGAGCTCGGCACCTTTGTGGCTCAGCCCATTGTTCGCGGGCCACCCGTCTTGTTCCCCTGATTTCAGCGCGGCAAACGTCATATCCTATCAACGTGGCGCATGGGAGGACGGAGTTGAGGGGCAGAGGCGCCATCGTTTCTCACCCTACGGATTCCTTACGAGTTTGGTTCCATTGGCATCCATTAGCATAGCCTCTCTCTGTTGGGAATGTGTGTTGGAATCCCTGGACAGCTGAGAGTCAAATGACTTCTCGCATACGAACAACGGGCATACACGACATTGATGAGGCCGGAAGGGTTTCTCATTGAGTGGTCGGAGCTATATGCTTGCTCAAGCTCCCTGGCAGGCCTTCCCGGAACCCCGCCATTCCGCCTCCCCCACCGCATCCTGTTCCGCGGGAACCTGGTCGATGAAGGACTGCCCCTCCAAAACGCGAGAAATATCCGCCCAAATGGCAGACGAGAAGTCCAGGCTCAAGTAATGCTGGATGTCTGTATTGGGCTATAAGCACAACAGATTCAATCTCTAGTTGTATATCATCGCTCTATTCTTTTGGGAGACACAACTATTGCTTTAGAAATCTCCCATACTTCGCTACGTTTCCACCAATTTCCGGCGACTTATTCATGTGATGCCACATTTCTATCCCGCCTTGTGCAATGGTTACCATGTGCCTCAGTCCATGAATGCTTACGGACCAGTAGACTGATGATTCTCCAGTCCAATATATGCAACCCCCACCTACAGCACCCCATACTCATACAAGTACTATACTGTTTGCAATATAGAAAAGAAAAAAAAAGAAAAAATAATCTATGGTTCTTCCCGGGTAAGTTCCTGGATCTGGATTGAGACAAGCCTTGGCGCTAGGATGCTCCAACTTGCTAGCATTGCTGAACTATCAATCTTTATAATATTAGGCAGTAGTATAAATCAAAGCGGTGAGGGCATTGCCTGCCTCCTTTGGGCAATGATTCGTTTGATAACGCGGTTATTTGAGACTGTTCGTGCATCACACATATATCGTTGTATTGCTCGATTTGAGTATTTCACGCGATTATCCCAGCTCTCTTTGTATGTCTACTGCAGGTACGTACCTCCGAGATTCTCCGGCGCCGATTAAAGCCGGCCGGAGTCCCGCCGACACCATCCACACAAAGAAGTGGAAGAAAAAAATATGGATATTGGACAGAAAAAGAAGGAGAAAAAATTTCCAAAAAAGAAAAACAACTGGACGAACGGGGAATCGAACCCCGGACCTTTCCCATGCGGTTAAGCAGCTCGATGGTTGCTTGATGCTAAGGGAAAATTATACCACTAAACCATCCGCCCATTTGCGTTGTTGAAAGCGTTGGCTGTAGAATGCTACATACGCTGTCTACTTGGATGATGGTTGTATGATTACTGTAGATTGTAGATAGATGTTACAAGAGTTGAAATATTTTTGAACTGATTATACGTATAATAATGTTACACTCTATGTGAGTTGGGATTAGTCTAAATTTACGTTTCTTACTCCGTACTCTGTCTTCATCGCACAGCTTCACTGAACATCCAAGTCATGGGTTCTGACATGCCGGCGTTGTACGCAAACATGGCATCTGATACCTGTGAAGCAAGAACGTAAAGGTCGACTAGTTAGCAACATGTTATAACAGAGAGCAAAAGAGTCAAGATTTCAGAAAGAGTCTTACCAAGAAATCCCAATCTGGGCTCTGTGGACGTATTCCCACATCCAATTCATCCCTGGGATCCGCTGCTTCGTCCTGACTTTGACCGGCTTTTTCTTCTAATATCGCAAGGCACTCTTCTACCGAGTCTTCGGCGGCCTTGAGGAACAATGGAGGAATTTCTTTGGCATCAAGACCCTTCATTAGGCCCTCTATGTGGGCGACTATGATGCAATTGACCATGTAGCCCTTGACATTCGTCTCGCCAACTTTGATGGAGCGGAGGCACCACTCTCTGGATTCTTGGATCACAGAGAGAAGGTCCGCTCGGAAGGGTGAGGGGACGAGGCCTCGCTCCTCTCTGAGTTGGTTGTCGAGTTCGGCGGCGACCAGCAAGCTGGCCTGTAGCGAGGCGACTCTGTAGAACCCCGGCCCGGAGCAGGCGAGGCGCGAGAGGAGGTCGTCCTGGGGTAAGCTGGGGCCGTTATGGCGCAGTTGGGGAGCCATGATTGACGAAGTAGGGTAGACTGCGGACCATGTCTTGAGAACGGCCTCGACGGCGAGTTTGCGGGACAGGGCGTATTTTGCTTGGCGCAGGGCTGGGATGAGATAGGGCGTGTGGAGAGCTGATATGTGTCGTTGCATGATGAAGTCCACGAAGCGCAAGTCCAGCGGAGAAGGACCGCTCGGTCTTCCAGACTGGGGTTTAAATCCTCCAAGAGTCCGACAGAGAGTCTTGTAAGCCGACCGTAATTCAGCGTCTAGTTCCAGTGTTCTCTCATATGTCCCACATGAGGAGAGGTCGTTGACGAATCCGACCACCATTAGCCGAACGGCAAATGTCTTTCGAAGAGCTACCGCAATGGACATGACTGTGTATTCATTTTCGGGCTTTTCGAGTGAGCCCTCGATCATGAGCTGCTCGTCGTCAAAGTTGCCGGGAGTCTCCGTGTCAAAGTCTTCCATGCGAATGAGCGGAGGGCCCCCTGATGTTAGGCTCATTCTCAGAAGCATCTCAAGAATGGTATTCCAAAGCCTTCTGTGCATCTCATTTGCAAAGAGTGATCGCTTTGGCAGATGACGCGGATCTCGATGCAGGCCCATGTGTATAGCTCTCCTGACAACGTCGCCTGCTGTCACCCAGACTGAGTCGCCGGAGACACCAACAGCTTCCCGAGCTAGCAGCAGTAGTATCTGAGTTTGGATAAACTGAATGCCTAGGCGGGCTTTGAACTCGGGCTCTGCTGCCCATGTCATTGCTTCGTACACCCAGCGGATAGCCGGGGTGCGCAAGGATAGGTCATCATCATAAGACATTGCGCCAATGGCTAATATGAGCTTGAGCTGAACGATGAACGCTATGTCAGGATAGGCTCCGGGTTCCCATAATTCTTCGTAGTCCCTCTTGAAGGACGGGAGATGCAGAATCCTGTATACGTTCTCGGTTGTCTTCAGATAGCAATCAATGAGTTTGTCGCAAATCTGCTTTTCAGGGAGCTCTTTTGTTGGTATGGTCGGCCAGGCAGGGGTCCTCTTGGCTTTAATGACCCTCGCCAAGGCCTTACACTTGAGCAACAGGGGGTAGACATTGGACTTGCTCTCTAAAAGATGAATCTCATTCATGACAAACATGCCTTTGAACTGAAATGAAGGTGAGTGACGTTCGGGGTCTAAACAAGGCTAGATGAAATGTTCTGCCTACCGTCTGGAAGATATTGATCCAATGGCTCTGACCAAAGAATCGCGTCTTATGCGTGACGCTCCGTATAAGCCCGGCATTGGTCGAATCCGACGGGTTGTCACGGTGAAAATGAACGGCTCCTCCAGTAATGTGAGATGCGTTGGCAAGAAAATCCGAGTCGGGAACTGCATCCACAGACTGAATCAGAGACCCTGACGCACCTTCAGATCGATCTAGATCGAAGAAACTAGGCCTGTTCTCATCGGAAGCGCTCAAGCTGAGTGTTAACCCATCTTGACTTCCAGAGGCCAGAGGGCTGATGGTGTTTCCTGAAGCTGCATTTGAACCGTGACTTCGTATTGCCAACGCGTCATTAAGGTTAGAATCCAGATGAGACTGTGCTTGAGGGCGAGATTCAAGAGAGAAGACGCCGATTTGGCTGCGTCCAGGCGATTGTCCGGCCGCCAGAGATTGCTCCACCAGGTGGTGATTCTCATAGACGCAGGTCTCCGTTTTAGACCGGATACAGTTGCCACAGGGCCGTTGCCTGTTACACCTGAGCTTGCGCTTTCTACAGAGCGCACATGATCTGTAGTTTCATTTTATCACCTAGTTAGATGAGATGTCCTGAGATTGAAGCTGACGTTCATGTACTTGCATTGCAGGTCTCCGTCGTCGTCGCTCTACTTCGACGACCACAGTTTTCGGTCTATGGTCCATTGGCTCCCCGTCTTTTCGGAGTAACTCTAGATTTGGTAATCGGTATTTTCGATAAGACTTGAGTTGCAGTGCAGGTAAAAGGAAGTTGAGGGATTGAGGGACTGGCTCATTACCTCACGGACTCGGGAAATTCCCAGATGGGGATTGAAGTCCGAGTCGGGCCGGATTTTGATTTTTACCAGCCCGCGAAATTGTTCGGACATATGACTCAGCTATTTCCTGATTTGGCAGAACCCCGACTTACACGCAATCCCTCGACAGAAGCTGTTGGATAGACTGAAAGTTTTCAGCTCAATGACAAAATTCCATCTCCGAGATGTGGATTAAGGAGCCTGATAGTACGGCGTTTTTCGGGAACCGAGTAATTCCTTCAGTCTCGAACCGCTATTTCTTTTATTATAAGAGACGAGCGTTTCCTGGTTATCAATCGCATCTCCCTCCACCATGATCAAGCCGCATTCACTCTTCCCAAGCACGGTCTGATCAGATCCAAATAAGGAGACTTTAAATCGCCCAAAATTTTACCATGTCGTACTCACTGTCAGACGAGAAAACGGCACCTTTCTCGGAGGAACAAGCGGGCCTTGGCCAGCAAACCTTGCCCTTGTCCAAGGACGAACTAGAGCCCGCGCCTGATGGTGGTCTCAGAGCATGGCTCGTCGCTCTTGGAGCTGCTTCCATCTTTTTCTGCTGTATGGGCTTCTCCAATTCTTTCGGCACATTTACGCAGTACTACCTGACTCACCAACTGAGTGATCGATCTCCCGATGATGTGGCCTGGATTGGTTCCCTATCTGCATTTCTGCAATTCTTTGTAGGAATGATTGGAGGTCCCATGTTTGATCGCTATGGTTCAAAGGTATGTATAGTATATATCCTACCTTAATGAAGAGAAGAACAACTCTCACTTCGGAGATTTTTCATAACTGATCGTGTATTAGGTTATCCACCCGGCAGCTGTCATTTATATCTTCGCCGTCATGATGTTGAGTCTATGTAAGACGTACTGGCAGATTATGCTCGTGCAAGGCGTCCTCATGGGCGTCACTATGGGATTCCTGCAGTTTCCAGCCATGGGCAGCTTGTCGCAGTATTTCGATAAGAAGAGAGCTGCTGCTTTCGGTGTGGCGATATCTGGCTCCTCTGTCGGCGGCATCATTATGCCTATTGCCGTGTCCAAGATGCTCAACAGCTCCTCCCTGGGCTTTGGATGGACAGTGAGGATTATAGGATTCCTCATGATACCATTCATTGCATTTTCTATTGCAGTCATCAGAGCTCGTCTGCCACCAAGCGCTGCATCGTTCCTAATCCCTTCAGCGTTCCTCGAAGCAAGGTACAATTTCATCGTCATCTCCACCTTTTTCGTGTTCATCGGCATGTTTATGCCTATCATCTTCCTTCCAACATATGCCGTGTCACGAGGCATGGGCGCAACACTTGCTGGTTACTTGCCCGCCATCCTCAACGCCGCATCCACGTTTGGCCGTATTATCCCGGGAGTGCTGGCGGATAAATATGGGAGGCTGAACGTGTATGCCTTTGGGTCATTCATCACCAGCATCGTCATTTTCTGTATGACAGCAACAAAGAACAATGCGGGAATCATTGCATATGCTGCCGTTTTTGGCTTTACTTCTGGGACAATCATATCCGGAGCAACGGTGTCCATCACAGGATGTGCCAAGGACCCACGCAATATCGGCACTTATACCGGCATGGGGTTGGCATTGGGCGCCATTGGTGCATTGATCGGGCCTCCAATCGATGGTGCCTTTGTGAAACACTATGTTGGATTCTTTGAAGCAGCCATGTTTAGCGGCGCCATGTGCCTCTTTGGTGGTATTGTCGTTCTTATGGCTAAACTTGTGTCCCATGAAGGGGTTTTCAGCAGATCGTGAGCCGGTTGTATAGCATTTGCTAAGCCTTTGAGGTTTTAGAAAGGAAATCGGGATGAGAGTAAGATTGGAGGGTATATCTCAGCTCACTGGTATTTGGGAAATAGGAATTATAATAGAGGCTCGGCGTTTATTTAGGAAGACAGATATCATAGCTGCTTTGACTTTCCCTTTTTCAGTAAATATACACAAATTCGTCATTCTCGCGGTCTGTGAGGTCCAAGAAGGCGTTTTGCCCAATGTGGTCCTCTCTCTCACCGGCTCCCTCATCATCCTGAAGCAACCCATTCTCGTGATGTCGGGTTGTGCGGTAGTGATTTTGCATAGATCGATCAATGATGACTGCCTCCTTTCCATTGCGCACGCGTGCTTTGGCTTGCAACTTATTGAGAAGAATGAGATTGGCCCACTGGATTAATATCACTCCAACCAAGGCTGAGAACACACCAAGGCATGAACGCAGACCAGGTTTATATGCAGGTGCGTCTCTGTCGTTGAACAGGATGGGGCCGATAATGTTACCAACCGAGCTAGCCGCGTTGTACACACTCATGATGATCGACTTTTTCGTTGTTCCAGCAGTATTGCCTACGATCCAGGAGACTATGAGAGGGTTGCCTGCAAAGATGAAGGCCAGAAGATAGTATCCAGCAAGTAGTGCTCCCTGGCTTGAATCTCCTCGTGGAACACAGTAGAGAATAACCAGTCCGGCCACAACTGGCAACATGAAGACAGCTAATATGGCCCCCTTTATCTTTGCTTTTTGAGCCAAAAAGCTTGCGAGAAGGATAAGAATAGTTTGGAGAGCTCCAAACGGCATGTTGAGCAAGCTGGCCTTGTATTTGTCAAAGCCGAGTCCATTGATGATCAGAGGGCCAAAGGTGTTGGTAACGCTTGCCCCTATATTGAGCAACAACGTGATTCCGAACCAGAGATAAGTCTTGGGCTCCAGAGCAGCCTCGATAACGTGTTTCCACTTGAACTCTCGGTTACCAGTGCCTGTCTGGTTGGCGCGAAGCCGCTCGATTGCCTTTGGTTTCTCCTCTTCGGTTAAAAATCTTGCAGAGAGAATGTCGTTGTCGAGTTTCCAATAAACAAAAGGGACAGAGATAACTGTGAGAAGGCCAACGAAGAGAAAGATACTGAGTGGATATCGCGTTAACCAAGTCTCCCAAGCTCTAGTGCAGACGACGAGTACTTACATTTGCCACTCCCTCAAGACTTTGGATTGAATTCGTCCTAAACCATACGAAACGGCGGCAGCAAAAATCGTAGCGGCGCCGTTGGTTCCATACCATGCGGCAACACGGATCGGCTGCTCAGCTCGTCGATACCAGTGGCTTGTGATGACACTGAATAAAGGCAAACAACCACCCTCGAACAAGCCAAGGAAGAAACGCGCGGCCATTAACCCCGAAAAGGTGTTGCATGCCGCCATTGACGTTTGAGCAATACCCCATCCGAGACAAAGGATAGGCATCAAGATACGGTGAGGCACCTTGACGATCAGGAACGAAGAAAATGGCTGGCATATCAACTGGGCGATTGGGCCGATGGACCCAATGAGAGAGTATTGTCCACCACTGAGGTGCGTGTCTTCTTTGAGCCCGTATGTCGCGCCAAATCCCAGCACGGATTTGTCCTTTGCTCGTCAGATTTTACCTCACACGTATAGCCAAAATGATCTCATGAGGTTAATCTTACTAGAATCTGAAGGAAATAAACCCAAACCAGGATGACCAAGATGACTCGATCAGTCTTTCGCAGGATCCGACGGTTCTCTTCCTCAGACACCTCAATCTTTTGGTCGCCGATGATGGCCAGAGCGCGATCAGCTCCTTTCTTACTGGATTGGCCATCTTGTCGAGAAGGGCCCGGAAGTTGGCTGTGTTCTGCGTGTTGTACTTCTGTTGGCCGCTTATCGTCGGGGGAATCCATCATGGTCGTCGTTGTTATCGTCCTCAATAATGATGATAGTAACTCTATTTAATGCAGTAAAAAGCAAAAGACGCGTAATAGAAGGTAGATGAAAGGGAAAGAAAGCACCAAAACCGGCCTGCACGCAATAAACAAAAAAAATTTACCAAAGCTACAGGTCTGTGATGGTCTTGTCTAACCAGCGTTGGTCAAGGGAGGTTCACGCGGAGTCCTTTATATGGTTATCGGTTTATCTGCCTCTGCCGTCGGTAGTTCAGGCACTTCTAGGCCAGCCATCCGCTAAAGATTGCCCAAACGGTTCAGCGCGGGGGGCATTTTGCTGCACCCCGCATTCTAGACTCTTAACGAGGGGGTCCGCTAGAGGCACGGGACTTAGTTTAACATTTGAGTGCTGAGATTACTCGTGATATCAGATCAAACCCGGTTCTTATAAGTTCAGATGCCTATTAACGAGATTTCTCTTCTACAGCTGATACTACCTAGGTATTATATGACAAATGTTTCTTCTCCCGTTCAAGCAGTGGTAATGTTACTGCGTGCATGTAAGGCGACTTCATCATTATCCCGACGGCGAGACAGCCTATCGCAGCGAATCTCGAGATGAGCCGGATTTACGCGCCCGTTTGGAAATGATAAACTACTAAAAGTTCCAATGCTACGCTGAGCGCTTTGATTATGACGTGTGCAGCGTCTCTTTGAATTGCCGAGAGCCTAAATCAACGTGACAAGGGCTATGACTCGTCAGGAATGCGGAGGAGGCATCCCGAACCCCCAAGGCCAAAGAGGGGAATTACGAGGAAGCAATTGATTGGATGCCTACATGTAAGCAAGACAACAAAATAGGTATGTACGATAATAAATAATAATTCACTCTGACTTGGTTGATATGTGTATTTATCTGTATGAGAAACTTGATTATTGAAATTGACATAGTGTAATCGTATCTACTTCACATTTGCATTCAGTGTTGAGATGTATTCCTGCAATGGTAACAGACCATTTACTGGATAGAATTGGGCTGTATCTTCACACTGATAGAATTCTCATGCTGATTACCTACCTTAGTCCCGAAGAGGATGTAGAGATAAAATGTCTTTCCTAAGGGTTAGCTTAAGATGCCAGTCCCGAGTCCTGACATATCGGTGCCTTTGCGCACTTAGAGTGACATCTTTTATAAACGCGCATCATGCTTGAAAACACGCCGGCATACATCAAATAATAGTCGTGAGTAGAGAGACGCCTACGTCTTTTGAGTATATATACATTTATGTGATAAGCTTCTTCACTGAAAAGATTCCTGTTCTACATACAGGTGTTAGTGGCGACACACAAAACTACCACCTACGGATCCTTGCTATACATCTGAACACATACAGTCCTTAATGAAATATGGTTCAAATAGAATTATGAACACCTTTTACCTAATGTTATTAAGCATGGCTATAGATATAACCGCGAACGACTGGAGTTATGATCCTAGCAACATGACATCAGAGACCGATTTTCATCATAGACCCCTGTTGTTATATATTAGGAGATGGTGTTGGGAGATGCATAAAGGGCGATATGATGTCTATGTCTGAAGACTAGGGGAACAACTTTCATTGGAGCACAAGCCTCATTTTGTATTCTGAATTGCTATGGAGGCTCACACAACTCTTCGAGCATCGATAGCCCCCGAAGTCTTAACCTGGCTCGTCGAAGCCATGCTTAAAACTAAACTTTCCAAGGATGTACACTAATCACTGGGCCTATTCGGCTACTGTTATTAAGATATTCCATACCCCGTTCTAGTTTCTTTTAATAGAAAAGCCACGGCGACCGCTACCATGAGTCAAAATGCTAATCTACGTCTGGGTCCGGTTTTCTGAAGCAAGGATCTACTGAGTTGGTGCATGTGGACGCGCACTCACCACTGACTCAATTGCAGTAACAAAAAGGGGTGGGACAGTTTAACATGGCCCCGAGGCTGCCGAGCCATTTAATATCCACCTAATGAATATCTGTGCATAGGATTTATGGAGTAAAACGATGATTAAAAGTTCCGTCTGATTCAGTCATTGCTGGGTAAAGGGGGAGGAAACTCAAAGGACAGCAGAGTAGCAATTGTAGACGGGCTTGTAAAATTTACGTACCCAGCATGTTATATGCAAGTGCTCGTTTAACTGGGGAATCAGAGATCGATGTTCCATTCTTTTGGCCGTGCGGGCGTGCTGGACGCATGCAATCAATGGTAAGCAATCTCGATTTGTAGCGGGCCTTGCGGGCTGTGGAGCGCAAACCGCGAAGCTTGTCTTTGCCACTAGCTACCTCGTATCAAAATGGAGGTTGGCAGTCGGATTAATAGTAATGGCTGTCATAAAATAAAATCGTACAGATGATCTGTCTGAGAAGGGTGTTTGGTTCTTTTGGCTTGAAAGAAGAGCCGTAAAGGCATTGATAAGCTGATCGTCTTCAATATCATCATCTTATTTGCCGGCTAGATATTGTCCGCGGAAGCGCCATAAGAATGATACCGATTGCTAGCGTGCTAGCTTATCTTTGTGCGGCCAGCCGTCATGGCCCCTGCAGACAATTAACTCGCAACGGACAACTCATGGGAATCGCGCCGATGGCTCTTGGCATCGGGGTCCAATGCTGTGCCTGCGTACGTATGTGTGTCTCCCACAGTCTGCGGGCCCGGACCGGGACTGGGTAGCGGTGGGACACGCGGGGCCGGCAGCACAGTGAGAAGACGGCGCTGAATCGGACAGTGACAAGGTCCGAGCTGAGGTTTGCACAGGCAGAGCCAAGCCGGGGAGGCTCAACATTGACGCAGCGGCTGCAGGCGCCTGCAAGGTATCCCGTACGGAGCTGCAACTTAATCAAGGCGGAAGCGGCGGGTAACGTGTGCAGTCCTGGCTCGCGGTATGTCGTCTACTGCGGTGAAGGTGACGGAGGCCATGCAGGCTGCCGATCATTCGCAGAGAGGGTCAAAGCTCCGTACGCCCAGGCATGAGACCATCGTCGTTATCAGCCAATTGTTTGTTGCCAGGCGGACACCTGCAGGACGCTGGCACGATATACTCGTACTCGTACCCCCCTTGATGATGCCGCTATCGAAGCAATGGCCCTCGCATCTCTTTCCCCGAGCACAAGCAAGCCGAGTCAGCCAAGAGGCCAAGCTCTGGGAATCGGTGAATGCGACTCGCCGCCTCGGCACGCTAAGACGTGCTCCAAGTGTCCCGCATGCTGGCTCCACCGCGATCGTCAGCAACCCTGTCAGGCTCGATGGTTATAAAAAGCTTGAGGGGGAAAATCAAGGAAATCGCACAGCAGCTGGTGGGCCTATGGATCCACGTAGGCCTCGGCGGTTCTGGGAAAGTCCAGCAGGCAGGGCTGCGTCTTGCAACTTGTTTTCGTCTGACGGGGTGGGAAAAACGACATCCATGGATATGTTCTGGTCGGATGGATACATATGATTGAAGACTTCCATGGTGGATGGAGCAGCTTCCAGCGTCTTCTGTCGGATCGCTTGCAGTGACATGTGGCAGCAGGGCGGCTAAGCTGGAAGAGGCACTCCGGAGGCTCCCTGTGCCTAGTGGTGTGGCGCTAACCGAGGCGCTATCGCCTCAGTGTGTGTTCATGTTTGCCGCCATGCGGGTAGAAAATGGATCAATTGGCAGCGAAAAGATTTGCAAGTGGTGAGCAAAGAGGGCAGAAGCAGAAATTGTGGCTGCAGAGATGCCCTGAAGGCGCTGCATGGCCGGCGAAAAGCGCACCGTTGGGCGCCACAGAGGGCTAGCCATGGACAAAACGGGCATTCATGGCGCTGTCTGTCCCTGGCAGCTTTCCCGGAATATGCTCGCCTCGCCGGGAAGATTTTTTCTAGCCACATTAGTGGTTCTTCTGGTGCTATCAATATCAGTGATGTGACTCCATGTCCACTACTAGCCCATAGTTTGAGGCTATACTGGGACTCCGTAGTGCTAACACAACCTGGAATAGCCAGCAACCAGTTTTGCCATCAAATCATGGAGAGGTTAAAAAAAAAAAAAAAAAAACTCGCTCAAGGAATGGAACGTCGTCTCCTCTTTTCCCCCTTGCGTCCAGTCTGTTTTTAAGCCTGGATCCCCGCCCTGAGCTGGACAGAACCTTGTCTCTCGTTAAAATTCTTGGCTGCCCAGATCTTTGCTTCTTCTAAGCAAACGGCATCGTTTCGTCACTCGCTCCACAAGGCCGTCACTTACGCCAGCAAACACCACGCCGATCACCTCGGACCCTGTGCTTCTGACATCGACTTTATTGTATTAGGGCCAGCATTGGCTTGTGGAGAGCCTCCCGTTGGATCCGATGTCTGGATGCCATTGATCCTTACTAGATCTGGCACATCTGTTTCCCCCTCGCTGCATCTGTGTCTCTGGTGCTCTTATATACTATACCACGGCCAACGGTTTCTTTTTTTCCCCATTTTACCCACCGTCCTTTTTTTGAGCTTGAGCCAACTACATACATACGCTTCCGACTGCGGGACAGTTCGATAATTCAAAATCACCATGGCTGGAGAGCCATTCCCTCCCGTCCCTCCTCTTCCTGCTGCCCCTGCCGCCTCCCATCAGTACCGTGGCTCTTCAGAAATGAATCGGATAGAAGAACACGACGGTGAGGCGTATGACGGCAAGTTTGACGACCAGTACGACGAAAAGTATGATGAAAAATATGAGGCTCCGACACTCGACACCTTCAACACTCTAAATACGCTGGCCCCTACTCATGATGACGGCAATGGTGCCGTGACACCGATGAGCCAGCGTGCTGAGGCGAATCGCCTTAACGATGATCTTGAGCTTCTCCGCGCTGAGCGCATGGTCTCAAACCAGGAACATGACCAAGCCTCCAAGTCACGGACAAGAAATCGGCATCACAACCCCGAGCCTGAGGATGCTTTTAACCAGACCTCCACAGAAGCCGCGCCGGAGAAGAAGAAAAACAGGGACGCTGCCCTCTATAAACTATGGCTCTTCATCAGCAAATTTCCTCGTTTCTTTCGGTACATCATTTACCTTATCCCTGGTGCCGCCTTGCTATTAGCTCCTGTCCTCCTCGGTACGTTCAAGTTCAATGGAACTGAGCACGCTGTGGGCGGCACAGGCGGCGTGTACATCATGTGGTTTGGCATCTGGCTTGAAATTGTGTGGTGCTCACTTTGGGTGACTCGGATGATTACGAATCTTATTCCGCCTCTATTCCATAGTGTTGCTCGAATGGTCGGATCGACCAATGCCCACAAGTGGCGGGACATTGGACAGCGTCTTGAGCTGCACACAGCCATGTTTCTATGGTGGCTCGCCATTCTCATCTCCTTCAAGCCCACAATGGACGGACATCGCGCCCCCGTCCCAGACGGCGATTCTGGAAACGTTCACATGCACTGGATCAGCGTCGTCAACAAAGTCATCATTGCTCTCTTCGTCCTGGCCACGCTGAACTTTGTGGAAAAGATTCTTATCCAGTGGATTGCCCAAAGCTTTCACCAGCGGACGTACGCCACTAGAATCGAGAACAACAAGGCTGATATCCGCCAACTCGTCTGCCTTTTTGAATACGCAAAGTCCAAGCTCGAAAGCACTGATGCCTTTTGGAAGGGCAGCGTCGGCAATCCCTCTGGCAGCGGCTTGCAGACGCCCATGAAAGCTTTCCACAACAATGCACGTCATGTGCTGGGCAAAGTTGGACACGCTGCTGGCAGAGTCGGCAACGATCTTCTGGGTCGAAAAGGCGCTGACAATAATCACCCTCGCAGGATAGTAGCTGAGCTGCTACGCAACACTGGCTCGGCGCACACTCTTGCCCGCCTAATCTACCGTAGCGTAGTTCGTGAGGGCCGCGAGACTGTTCATCTGGAAGACCTGCAGGCTGGCTTTGAAACAGTAGAGGAAGCAGAAGCGGCTTTCAGCATGTTCGACAAAGATCTCAACGGTGATATTTCTATGGATGAGTTTGAGGCTGTCTGCAACGAAATTCACCTCGAAAAGAAAGCCATCGCAGCATCACTCAAGGATCTCGACTCCGTCATCCAAAAGCTTGACAAAGTTTTTCTGTTTGTCATCGTCGTCATTGCCATCATCGTCTTCGTCGCTATCCTGTCCGACTCGACGGCCGCTGGCCTTGCGTCTGCAGGCTCCTCGATTCTCGGTCTGGCATGGATGCTGCAGGCGACAGCCCAAGAATTCCTCCAGTCCATCATCTTCGTCTTCATCAAACATCCATTTGACGTGGGCGACCGAGTCACCATCTACGGCAACACCGGAGCCACACTGACAGGTGATGACTATTATGTCACTGAAATCTCCCTGCTTTATACCGAGTTCAAAAAGATGCAGGGTCATATTGTCCAAGCCCCGAACTCGCTGCTCAATACCGTCTTCATCCTCAATCAGAGACGATCCAACGGACTTTCGGACGTCATCCCACTCGAGATGCGATTTGGGACGCCGGCTCACTTGATCGACGACCTCAAAGCCAGGATGCTGGAATTTGTCAAGGACAATAAGCGGGATTACCAGCCAAGCATCATCACCGAAATGACTGGTTTCAAAGAAGTACGATCGTGCACTATGAACATGGTCTTCTTCCACAAGAGCAGCTTCCAAAACGAACTTCTTCGACTGAACCGCCATAACAAATTTGTCACGGAGCTCATGTACCAGATGGTTCAGGTGGGCATCGAGGCACCCCTTCGGGTCGACCCTGGTGGAAGCCGAGAGCATCCCATGTATTGGGCAAATATGCCTGCGCCGCCTGCATATGGTAGCAGCAACAGCGACACTCCAGCCCAGGGCCGACCTCGCGCTACCTCGAGCATTCACAGTGTGCCGAATCAAGAACCTATCACTGGAGGGTTCCAAGATGTGTTTGAGAAGCGACGAGAACATGTCCACATGCAGAGGATGGCTTCTATCCGAGAGAAGGAGAGGGGACTGCAGGAAGAATCTGACGCAGTGGCTCAAGCGTCTACTACATCAGCACTGGCCCCAGCCATGTCAGTCGACTCTCAAAACCAATCGCGGTCTCGCTTCTTTGGGCGGGCACGGAGCGGAACTAGGAGCATCAACAGTCATAAGGACATGGTCTAACCCTGTGTTGCACTCCATTTTACGAGATTGACGGCCGGCCCCCATTTTCTGCCTTGTCCTTTGTTTTTCTTTTTTTCAACGATTCTAGAGCATAGATTGAATGGTTTGCTGGGGCCAAACCTTGAACATTGTTATTGGGTTTATTCTGGTTGAAGCGATTTACTCTCCTTTATCACTCTAGCAAGCTTAGCATTGCATTTTTTCTTGACGGGCAACCATATGGGCAGGTTGTTGTTGAACAACTGTTATTGGTGGCGCAAAATGATGATTTAATGGATAAAGCAGTGCTCACTGGCTGAGACAGGTGAATGGAGGCAGCGAAATACGTTGCATCCATATAATGACTAATATGGGATGGATTAGAGACAACAGAATGTAGAAACTACATGTGTAGATTAGATGTATAAATCAGCCACGAGCACTTGCTAGAACAATGGAATAGCCAGACATGATCTCTTATTTCTGGCATTGATGAACTCATTTAGAAATTTGACTTCTCGTGAAGAGGCTTGAGGGAATCTTCAACTTCTAGATGAGTGTAACTGTCCTCTCTGGTGTCAAGACCGCCGGCCAGACGCTCTTGAACCACTCCTCCTCTTCGCCTGTGCATTGTGTGTAATCGTCAACAAACCTATCCTCTCAAAGGTATCATGCTGACCCTTGATTTCTGTCAACACCAGAAAAGCATCTGCGTCGATTCCCCTTTCACCAGTTTTCGCCTTTCGCACTCCACCACCTCGCCCTTCAAAACGATGGACATATAGCAAATGACATGGCGCCAACTTGCACGATCCTTTGCCAATGCACGAGAAGAAGCCATATCGGGCCGCGTCGTCAATCAGTGCATCAGCAAAGAAGCCAAGACTTGCGCCCATCACGTCCAGCCGGGGCTCCGTGAACTCGCAAGGCACCCAACCTTCTGCTGGCGATGGAAACGTTTCATTTGTATAAAAAGTATAATCTGCGCGGGGGAAGCCAGCCTTGCCTTTCCTACCGGCCGGTGTGGTGCACCCTCGACAGCGAATACGCCAGAATGTGCGTCCTAGAGATGCTTTGAGGAGGATGAAGCCAGAGGTCACTTGGCCAAAGTCATCTTGCCCAGCGACGACACATTCCGCAGCTTCGATTTTGCCTTCAAAAGATTTCGAGAATCTTGTTGCTGGAGCGATGAAGCCCAGTCCGGATGGTGAATCGATGCTTGCCCATGACCAAGATGGCGCTCTCCAGTCTTCGCCTCTTGGTCGATGCTTTGAGAGTGGTGCTCTTACATACCAGAGTAAGCCCTCCATCAAGGTACTGCGCCAGATGCCCGCCAAATACCCATCTCCCATGTTCTCAGCAAGAATTCTAGCCGTCGCGGAGAGCGCCGGAAGCTTGTCGGATCCCTTGGTCAGATTGAGCTTTGCATATGTCTCGACGACCTCCATCCAGTTGCGGTACAGAAGACTGGTAAAGTCCTGACCGACAAGACCGCCGCCATGCTCGTCCGGCTTCAGACTCGCTGGCCCCTTGAGACTCGCAACGTTCAAACCTCTGGGGGCGGGCGAGAAATGGGGTGCTATCTGGCCCGAGCCGCATTCGCATTGAAGTGTCTCCTGACACCCGACTTGGAACTCTGATTTATTGCAGTAGAGAAGGCGGCGGGAGAGCATTCGCTCTTGGTACACCCATGCGCGACTGAAGAGAGGGAAGTGCTTAAAGAAGGATGCTTCCATATTTTTGGTACTCTTTCCGGCACCGTTACAATCCCTGATGCCGACATATACATCTGGTTGCCCTAGTTCTTTAATGACGATGCAGTGATCCGGTCTCGTCTTGGAGAAACATCCGCCAAAGGAGCCGGGGGATGCGGATGCAGCTATGGTGATGTAGCTATTCCGGTATATGTTGCCCATCTTGGTAGATTCTACTTCCCAATCACTGCGAGAATCCTGAATGATGCAAAGAGAATCGATCCATAGATATTCGATGCGGAACTTTCGGCATAGAATAACGGCATCTTGAAACGTCTTGGGCAATTTTGTCCATGGAATAAAGTCGTAATACTCGTCGATGGTTGATGACAATGTTTTTGAATAGATCAGTGTCGGATCACCCCAGCAGTGAGAGAGGCAGGCATATGTTCCAGTCTTGCCTTCAGTTATCACTAGTTTTATTCCAACATCAGCGCCGGAGTTGCTGATTTCGGTTACATGAAGAAGTCTTTTGGGAAGTGCGACATTTCGCCCAGAATTGCAGTTCGAGTGGCCATCTTCACATTGTTGTATCAGTTTGGTTGCTCTATCGAAAGACGTGGAAGAAGATGTGTCTCCAGTTAGCAGGTTTGATGGAGGCATGCCGAAGACTCTCATCTTTGCCCCTGTCCAGAGGTTAGCTGTAAATAGAATCCATAGGGGTTCTTCATCTGAACCAACGTCTAAATTTAACTAACCTCTGGGATAAAAGAATTGAATATATCGAGAACTCTCATTTTGGGGAGTGACCTCTAATGTAAATTGTGCTCCAGTCCATCTAAGTTGAGTATTGTCCGGGCTGATTTCCGGGTAGGCTTCGAACATTCCCGACAAGAGGAGGCGCAGAAATTCGCATCCTCTGCACCCACGGCCTGCCGAAAGGGTGACATGATCGAACTGGAATGGAGTTGTGTTAAACGAGGGTACTTTGCGATGCCTATAGGGAAGGTTAATCGAGAGAATTCAGCACCACAAGATGATCGGAAGTATATTTTGATTGTGGGTTACTTGCTTGTCACTTGAAGGCCTTTGGCAATTTGAAGTGCAGTTGAACGTGTCTGGTGCAAAATAACCCACATCTATTTGATCTGCCCTTGCATGATTTGCCATATTAATAATATTTTGAATAGAGACTGCGACTGATTCCATTTTGACAAAGAAATGGGTGGAATAAATAAGAGATGGCAATCTGGAAGTGGGAAGAGGAGGTTCGGGTACCCCGCGGATTGCATCAAATGCCTCCCGTTTTGATACTGACAAGAGTTTCAGGTTGGAGGTGCCATTTTGTTCTTTTAGATGTGGCTATCCAGAGTCTTGGTTTGTAGTAAGAGCTATTAAAAAATTGTAACTACTTTTGTAAATAAGTTTAGAGATATGCACAAGTTCCTATCCAAAGTGCATGGGTGCATCTTTTTGTCTGTGAAGTAGCATCGCATTGATATTACCTACTGACTACCTATGGAAATTGCCGATACACTGAGAATCTTCATTGCCTTTTCATTTACAACTACCTTCCTGGAGTAATACAGATAGAGATGCGGCATCGATATGATTAAAGCTCCGCCAAACCAAAGGATTTCTAGATAATGATTTGGGGCTATGATGGTGATGACAACGACAAGGGCAAAGCTAGGTGCTGCGGACCCATGCGAAAAGGCTTCTAGGTTGTACTCTTATACGAAGCATTGTTGATATATGACCAATGACAGAGACAGACGAATCAAAGAAGCTTCTCATCGAACAAAGCCCTGGTGAAAGAAGCTGTCCGAGAATGGACTAGAGGCCGAAGTGTGCCTAACAAGGCGTCCATTGGATGCAGTTGCAATTCCAATAGCGATGGATGGATTCCATGTTAGCAGCCCCCGCCTGGACCCTTCGAGAGCCCCAGCCGCAGTGGCTTGGATGCATGTTAGCAGAGCGGGATCAGCTTCAGCTCGGCCCTTCATTTGCTGCATTTGCAAGCTGTCAGCTCTTTGTTTTATTTTTATCTTTTTTTAATCTACCGGCAGCGAACAGCTCGGCCGCTCTCGTTTTGGTCCCTGCTGCTTGGATCCTTTGTTTGGACGCATTTCATCTTGCGAGCGACATTGAATGCCGGTCTACTCGGGCTCTTGTTCTTGCTGCGATCAAATACAGCGCTTCCCCATGCATAGCGTTGACGATTCTTGCTCTTCCGCGGCGATGCGACAGAGGAGTAGCTGAACGAGACGATCCGATTCGATACGACGCTTCTAAACACGCATTCAAGTCGAGACACTCTGCATTCTAATTTATGATACGGCTGGAGGAGGCGGCTTCTGCGTTTGTTGCTCGTTTGGACTGAAGAGCAGAGCAGCGGCTTATCATGGCCACTCTGCCAACTGGCTGGGAGTGGGACTATGACGGCAGTCGATGGCTCTACCGATACAAGCCTACCGGTCATGTCCAATACCATTTCCCCAATGCGGGCGACGAGTTCCCCGACTATATCGACGCCAGGTCTCCGGCCCCAGACCTCGCACCCGAGGAGCGGCTCGAGTCGCAGCAACAAGTCAAACGACATGCGAGTGTCAGCGGGACCGGCCGCGCTGGAGAAGACAGAGATGGATGGAGATCGCGCATGTCCGCAACGGCGCAGCCCGTCAGTGCAGTCTGGGAGGACGATTTTGGGAGGGAGGACAGTCATGTGGAGGAGGCCGAGGAAGAGGAGGGAGTGTTCCAGCCCGAGAACTTCATGTTTCTAGGCCCAGGCGCATATACGGATGTAAGCCCGCTGAATGAAGAGGAGGAAGAGGCAGCGAGGAGGACAGTGGTGGGAGAGCTAAAGGCTGGACAATCGACGGATACTAGAGGTGTCAGCCCCATGGTGAGCCAGAATACGACGCCAATGACACGGACGACCGAGACTGTGGCCAGTGGATCTACGACTGTCGTGAACCAACGAGCTGTTGAGCCACCACCACCTGTAATGCATCATGAGGAGCAAACAACATTAGTATCCCCGCAGGAGTATATCATGGGAAGTGATATCGTGGGAGAAGCGAGTGCACCAGTTGATGATGGAGGCTACCACTATGAGATGTATGAGCTTCCGGTTGAAACCGCCATCCCGATGCATCTCCAGTTTGATCCCGTGGGTTTCGTGGCCGAGATGCCGACGGAACACACAGCATCTGCCCGTGTCGAGACACACCCTGACCCCATTGAACTGGCGGACAACTACGTTATGGCGCCGATTGAGACGGAACCACGGCCTGGCTATGTGGAGCTGCCGGTTGAGTTTACTCCTTTGGAGGAGGGGGCTGTGAGGCAAGAAAAATTGACAGAGGAACAACAGTTGGAGCTGCGGCGACAGGAGGTGAGACGACAGCAAGAGGAGAGGCAGCGTGGGGTGCAACAGAGACAAGAGGAGCGGAAGAGACGGGAAGAAGAAGAGTTGCAAAGGGAGCTACAGCAGCAACAGCAACAGCAACAGCAGAGCGAGGTCCAGAGCCCATCTCAAGAACAAGGCAACGACGTCCCAAACCAATTCAAGATTGCCAGGAAGCCGACACTTCGAGAATCTAGCGCCGCTTACAATGCGTATGCTGGCAGTGGCCAGACACAGGAGGACTATCAAGCTTATGCGCCAGGCCAAGCTTTTCAGCAAACCGTACAGCTCGCGAACGCGCTTCCGGCACGGATAATGAGCCCGGCTTTGCAACGAGAGGCATCGCTGAACTTGAGCATGAGGCCGAGTGCCGAGTCCACGCCGCCGGTGGACCGATTCCCCTCTGTTCTGAAGCCAGCTAGGAACTCAGTCGTTCAGCAACAGCAACAGCAACAGCAACAGCAACCGCCGGCACCGACTCCGAATACCCCTGTTGCTCCCCAGGGGCAAAATGATGCACAACTTCAAGATAACTCTGTTCCCGGAGTGGTCAAATACCCTTCCGTTCTTCGGCCTGCTCGGGGGAAGCCTGGACAGGCGCCGGAGGGACAGGACGCCATGAAAGGCCCAGAGCAAGGTTCTGGTACAGACCCTACTAATAGAGATGCTCGATCATCGGGTTATAGACTCGTTGCACATGGACAACACCCGCCTTCTATGACACCTGCCCCCGTCCCGACACCAGCTCCGGCTCCAGTCCCGGCTCCGGCCCCAGTTTTCTCACAGCAAATCCCACCACAGAACCCCCCAGCTCCAGTTCAGCAATCTGTTGGCATCGCAACTGCTCAACCACCGGCTCCCATACAAAGACCATATACGACGGAACCAGACCTATCAAAGTCTAATCTACAAATTGCTCAACAATATGCTGCACCCCCCGTCCCACTCAAGGTCGCAGCTCAGCCTCCTTATCCAGTAGAACCGGTTACGATGCCCCAGCCGCCAATTGCTCGTACAGTCACAGCACCATATCCGCTCGACGACGGTCCGCCGGTCGCGACCCCGTATGGACCACTGCAGAGCCAACAACCTATGAGGCCTGCAAGTGCAATGCCTGTTCTTCAGCACCAGTCAGCGGGGTCTGCTCCAGGTCGGCCGCAACAGATGCCTATCAGAACAGGCCCTCCGCCTCCCGGGTCTGTGATAGTGCCGGCTGGAATGGCGCCGCGCTCGGCCACGGCTGGCCCGGCACAGCATCTTCAACAGCAACGTCGGCCATCTTATCAACCAGGAGGTGATCCGCGACAGAATGCCGTTCCAGCACAAAATTCCCAGCCTCCCAGACCGCAGAGTGTCGCTCATCCAGGGGTTTATGCTAATTTTGCGAGCCACCAATCACCACCGCCCCAAATGCGGCCTGTCCAGCGCCGGGGAACTCAAGATGAGATTCTGCCAGTGTCGCCCATACGATCTCGATCGGAGAGTTCTTCGTCTGGCCTTCCTATGGAAACACCGTCTCCGCTAGAGTCTCGAAGAGGATCTGCGAATTCTTCCGCTTACTTTGCCTCTACGCCAGGCTCTCAGAGCTCGGCCTCGGTACCCCCTTTGAATACAGCACTGGGGAGACCACCCTCTCAAGAGCCACTCCAGTCTCCAATTCATGGCGGTGCTCCGAATCCCAATGGGAAACAACCATCCGCATCTCCTGTTGGCGCTGGGTACGATAGGTCAAAGAGGCACTCGATGCCACAACAGCAACTGGCAAATGTGATGCAGGGAAATTCACAGGGCATGGCATCTCCCCAGCCTCAGATGCAACCAAGCCCAGATCAAAGGCAAGCTGGGGTGCAACGGTCCCAATCACTACGTCAATCCAGACCGAGTTCGGGCGATGTACCCATCCAAAATGCGCCACAGTCTCCCACGAACATGGGGCCTTCCTCCTCTAGTCACCTCCTGACTAGTATTCAGGAGCATGACGAGACTCAGCATGCCGCAGCTGTAGCTCCACTGAAGGTCAACCAGAGAAAGGTTCTCACTAAACCACCTCCTTTTACGACGCCTACGTCTCCGTTGGATAAACGCGGATCTCAGCAGCAGTTTGCCCAAGGGGCTCCGGCCCCGGTTCCTCAACAGATTCAGGCACAGGTACCGCAAAATAACCAGCAGCCACAAATGGTGTCGCAGATGCAGCCAGGCAATGCACCGCCGCTTCGCCAGAACGTCAACCAAGGTCAAGGAATACCAATACAGCAAAGTACTATCCAAGGTCAAGGCATGCCTCTGCAGCAGAATATCCAAGGCCAAGGAATGCCATTGCAGCAGAATGCTATCCAGGGTCAGAGAATACCTTTACAGCAGAATTTTATCCAAGGCCAGGGAATGCCACCACCTCAGGCAGTGGTTCCTCTAGGCCAAACCCCTCAAATGCATACTGCGCCACTGCCGGCTGGTTCTCTGAACCAAGGGGGCCCGATCTTGCAGCCCGGCCAAATTCAGACTCAAGGAATGCCTATGCAGGGATTACCAGTTGGTCAGCATGCACAGCCGCTTCCGCAGCAGTACCACCAGCAACAGATGCTTCCTCAGACTCACTCCAGTTCGCCTTTAGTGGCTCAGCCTGGTCCTCTTCCACCCTTGCAAACGCAACAACAGACGTCCCCTACTAGTCCCAAGGAGAATAGAAAATCATGGGGAAAGTGGTTCAAGAGTAGTGGATCCAAATCCGCTGCCCAGAGCCCGGTGGTTCAGAAGCCGCAGCATACTTTCCCACCTGTACCCATCCCACAGCCAATGCCCGGTGCAAACCAGTCATTCCATATGCAAGCTGGTGGTCAACAATATCCCATGGCCTTTCAAGGCGGACAGCCAGCTCCAATGGCTCAGCAGCAGATGCAATTTCAACAAGCCGTGCCAGGAGGTTCTACAATGCATAGTCGTGATGCATCAGATGCGGCATCAGTCTCTACGATATCGTCTGATCTGAAGTTTTTGCCATCAAATAACCAAGCGATTGGCCAAGCAGCAGCTCATAGCAATAACGATGGCTCGACGCAGCAATTCCCGAATGGTATGGCCCCTGCTCCGCTGTTCTCTGGACCGTCTACACCGATAAAACCGACTGCCGCTTCACAAGATAATAAGTGGGCTGGCAAGTCTCCCATAGACTATTCCGGAGGTGGTTGGGGGGATGATGATGACGACGAGTATTCATGATATACAGCGTATGAGATGTAGAGATTTTGGATGAGATGAGATCTATACCCATTTTCCTTTGTGGCATGGTGTTTTGCATGGGATTGCTCAAAGTATAGTGTTGGTATTATGAATGATAATTTTCTTTGGATAAGTCTACTAGGTAGTATCATGATGTTGATTGATTGAGCGAAGATACAGAGTTGAGGTGCCACTATCTACAGGTCCATTTATGCACGATTCATACCATCCATCTGATTAACTCTAACTACAATGCCTTTCTAAGGGAATGTCACTACTACCCATCTACTATGATCATTAATCTATTCTAATGTTCGTTACTACCTATACCTGCTATATTCTTCTAGTGTCTGGTGTTATTATCACTGCCTAGATGGCTCTAAATATAAGGTAGTGAATGCTGGGTAGCAAACTTGAGGTGCTGAAGTAGTAGCCACTACTCTCTCTAATTAGGCAACCATGCCAATAGCTAGAGAGCTGTAGCATTTAGTTCCAGGTCAGGTAACTCACTGAACTGCTCATGCACGTGATAGCGCGTTATTGTGGCGTACTGGAGAGACACTCCCCAAGGTACTCCCTTTCTCTCCCAAATGCCCCGCCAGATCCTTTTCTTGACTGCACTCGAGCTTTGCTACTCAATCTTCTATATCAAGAGACAATGCCATCATAATGACCCGATCGCGGCCGCTCACGCGAGCTGAGCAACTGGTATTGGAGGAAAATCCCGAATCGCAAGACAGCCAAGCCATTCTCGATGCTCTCAATGCAGAGTTCCGAGCCGCAACGGTACGTACCTCAGCTTGCCGGGGTCGTTTCGCGCGCTGACCAGCATTTTGACCAATTAGTATCACGAGCCCCTTGCATTGCAGCCACAGACCGGGATAGAGAGCGGCAGTGTTGCAGGAGGCGTCGAGAATGACGATGCTGAGGCTGAGGATGGAGACTTGGTCATTTCAAGCCCCAGGCAAGCTGTTCATCGGCAAGATGGTTCCAAGGTTTGTGCAAGCCCCGTAGCACGTATTCATTCTTTATGCAGCGGCCCTCTCGTATGACTGCTGCGTTTGATGGAAATAAAACTACTACAGCGAGAGAGACACGTGAAAGCTGACAAAACCCTGTGGGAAAAATAAAGAAGCAGCAACGGCAACTTACGCCACATGGATCTGTTGCCACTCCCAACGGCGATGTGAATAATCTCACAGGCACAGGCACAATTCACAGAGTGGGACGCGAGGACCCCCGGACTCACCAACCAACGTCGCGACCAGGGTCCCGCGAACAAGACTTGGACGATGCTGTCATAGCCGCGAGCAGCCCGTTCGGCCGAAATGCACATTCTCCATCCCCTCCGCACAACCACGATACCTCCAACCAGAGCCACGAGCCCCCTGCCGTGCCAATTGGCGCCGGTAGGCCACAAGTAAAAAGGATGGACACGTCACAGCAAACACCTACGCAACTCAATGTCGAGCGGGACTATGGCCAATTCTACGGACCTCCGCGGTCGAGCCCACCGCCTGATACATTGCGCTCGCATGACGAGCGTGAACGGACGCTGCAAGCTGACGACACCGGCGCTGTCAACTTTGGGAACTTGAGCCCTGGCGTGCGGCCTTCGTCTCAAGTTTCGGAAGATGCAGGGTTCGAAAATACTCGTGGCGAATGGAGGGTGCCAGACCTGACTTCACAGCAGCGGTCAAGCCATGGCTACACTCCATTGAAGCCCGGCGCTCTCCTACCAGAGACGCCGATGCCACCGAAGAATCCTTTTGCTGTTCAGCACAACGGAAACGCCGGCGTCCCTTTTGCAGGAACGCAACTCTTTGAGCAGACTCCTGTGGTGACTTCTGCGATTAAACTCCACAGCCCTACATCCTCTCGGCCTTCACCAAACATACTGCCCGATGCGATTTCTTTGAACATAATCGAGACATCTCCTCTGAGGAACCGCGACAATGTGTCCTCACCAACCGTTGTGCATACATCGAGCCCTAGTCGACCGAATAATATCACTACAAACACCAAGAAACTTAGGGTGTCTCCAATCCAAGAAGAAGCCTTGGACGGTGATCAAGATGCTCAAGATGATATGATCCCGGAATCACCGACCGCGCAGCCGCTGAGGCCATACGGGAATCGACAACCCCAAGCTCATTATGAGCCAATGAAAAAATCACAAGAACGCAAAGCAGTAGTGGAGGTCCCG